GAGAGGAAGCAATACCGGAGCAAGTAAAAGCCAACGCCTGGCTGCCACCGTCGGGGCACAGCAGCCAGGCCAAAGAGCAGTGAGAGTGCCCACGCCAGAACCTCCTAAACCCGCCCTAGTGATAGAAGTGGCGCTAGAGCTGCCAAACGGACACCCTCTAAAGATAAAGGCGCTGTTGGACTCAGGCAGCTCCTGCAATTTCATGAGCAAAGAGTTTGCAGCTGAACACCAGATACAGACGATCCCTTTAAGCAACCCCCTGCAGGTGACCACGATCGATGGCAGGGAGCTGTTGGGAGGAGAAGTCAGCTTGCAGACCGTCCCAATGATAATGAAGGTGGCAAGGCACACCGAACTGATAGCGTTTAATGTGGCCACCTTGGGAGGAGCTCCCATTATATTGGGGATGAGCTGGCTAGCGTTACATGATCCGCTGGTGGGCTGGCATCAGAGAGTGGTTTCTTTTGGTTCAGCACATTGCTTAGAACACTGCAAAGAGGGAAAGGGTTTGGCAGGGGCCCAAGCCACCCTAGCAGGGACTGAAGTAACGGAGAACGTGAAGGTACCACGACAATACGCAGATCTCCGCGACGTCTTCAGCGAAAGGGAAGCTGACCAACTACCCCCGCATAGACCCTTTGACTGTCAAATCAATTTACTCCCTGGGGCACAGCTCCCTGTAGGCAAGCTGTACGCCATGTCAGACAGAGAGATGCAGGAGCTAAGAGAGTTCATTGACAAGAACCTGAAGAGAGGGTTCATCAGAGAGTCCAGGGCGGTGGGGGCAGCCCAGTGTTTTTGTGGATAAAAACACGAACAAGCCGAGGTTGGTGTGTGACTTCAGGGCCTTAAATGCAGTGTCAGAACCAGTGGCCTTCCCTATGCCCAGGATTGACGACATTTTGACAAGGGTGCGGAAGGGAAAGATTTTCACAAAGCTGGACCTAAGGGGGGCGTACAACCTGATACAAATAAGGAAGGGGGATGAATGGAAAACCACCATGTTCACCCCTTTAGGGGCATTTGAATATTTGGTTATGCCCTTCGGCCTACAAGCAGGCTCCGCATGCTTTCAATCGTTTATGAACCACGTCCTGGGGCCTTTGCTTTACAAGAATTGTGTGGCCTTCTTAGACGACGTGTTGGTGTATTCTGAGAATGAGGAGCAGCATGTGAGAGACGTCAGAGAAGTGTTGAGCAGGCTGCAAGCCAACCAGCTGTGGGTGAAACTGGAGAAGTGTCAGTTTCATACCAAGGAGGTGGAATTCCTGGGGTATCGCCTGTCAGACAAGGGATTGGCCATGGATCCCGGCAAGGTCCAGGCGGTGCTGGAATGGAAAACACCCAAAACAAGGAAGGATGTGCAGAGGTTCCTAGGATTTGGGAACTTCTATCGTAAGTTCATCCGAAACTTTGCCCACCTGACGGCGCCCATTACGGACTGTCTCAGCAGTAAGAAGAAGTTCGTTTGGACTGAGGAGGCGGAGCGAGCATTTGAGGAACTAAAAAAGGGTCTTCGCCTCGGAACAACAACTCCTGCATGTGGATTTACAAAAACCGATGAGAGTGGAAACTGACGCATCAGACAGAGCGATTGGGGCGGTGCTTCTGCAGCCAGGGAAGGAGGAGTCAGAGTGGAGACCGTGTGCGTTTTTTTCGCGAAAGCTGAACAAATCCGAGAGGAACTACACGGTGTATGACCGAGAACTACTAGCCATTCATGAGGCGTTCCGGAGATGGAGGCACCTGCTAATTGGCGCACAACATAAGGTGCAAGTGTGCACTGACCACAAGAACCTAGAGTATTGGAGGACGGCACGAGTGCTCAACCAACGGCAAGTGAGATGGGCCCAGGAGTTCTCCAAATTTAACTTTGAGATTGGTTACGTGCCAGGCCCAGAGAACATTAGGGCGGACGCTCTCTCACGCAAACCTGAATATTTGGAGGGAGGGAGCACCCGAAGAGAGACATGTCATTCCAGAGGACCGCTGGGTGTGTGGGCGGCCTTGCTGGGACAAAGAGAACTGGTAGAGGAAACAGAGAAAGAAGAAGACGCCCAGAAGACGCACAGAGGTCTTAGGGGTGAGGGAGAGGAACCCCGGGGTTTCGCGGAAAGAAAGGGAGCTGTGTATTACAAAGGGGCACTGTATATCCCTGAAGGAGACTGAAGAGGGAGGGTACTCCACCAGTTGCACGACAGCCCTACGGCGGGGCATTTTGGACAACACAAAACCATGTGGTTGGTCACCAGGGAATTTTGGTGGCCTAAGGTGAGGGAAGATGTACGTGAGTATGTAAGAGGGTGCGAGCAATGCCAGCGAGCCAAAGGGGAAAGGCGGGCGCCGGCGGGGCTATTAGAACCCTTACCAACCCCAGAACGACCTTGGGAGGCAGTGTGGATAGATTTTATGACTGATCTGCCGAAGTCCAAAGGGAAAACAGCCATCATGGTGGTGGTAGACCTACTAACAAAGATGTGCCACTTTGTAGCTTGCTCGCATGCAGTCACGGCGGAAGAGACAGCGAAGTTATTTGTAGAACACATTTTTAGGTTGCACGGGGTGCCATTGAGGGTGGTCTCAGACCGAGGAAAACAATTTACTTCCAGGTTCTGGAGGAAGCTCATGAGCTTACTGCAGGTGGAGGTCAATTTTTCGACTGCCCGGCACCCTGAAACCAACGGGCAGGCGGAAAGAGCAAACGGTGTCCTCCAGCAATACCTGAGGTGTTATGTCAATGACAGAGAGAATGACTGGGTAGAAAAGTTGGCGCTGGCGGAATTTGCCTACAACAATGCCGAGAATGTGTCCACAGGGATGAGCCCCTTCTTGGCTAATTATGGGTGTCATCCCAGGGCTTTCCCAGGGGGAGATGGGGAGAGATGGAGCGTCCCGGCAGCCGAGCATTTTGTGGAAGAAATGGAAGCAATCCATCGTCAGCTCCAACTCAACTTAGAAAGGGGGATCAGGTGGAGTATTTGGTAGCGTGGGAAGGAGAACCGGAGTCAGAAAACACTTGGGTAATGACCGAAGATATCAATGACGAGGTATTGATAGAAACGTTCCATCAAAGGTTCCCAAGGAAACCTCAGCCTGTGGAGAGGTTCCGGAGGGAATACTTTGGGACCACTGATGAGGAGGAGGAGTTGGAAGGATTCCCGGACTCGGAAGGGGAAGGGGAAATGGACTCTGAGGAGGAGGAGTACTTCGAGACCAGGAACCGCAACAGGTGGAGAGAAGTGTTCGAGACATCGGAAGATGAAGGAAGTTCATTCCGGGGTTTTGCCTCCTCACCGCCCGTAGAGGAGGGGGCGAGAGGGGGTGAAAGGGGCCCTGGAGGGGGAGGTGGATGTCAGGGAACTGCCATCGGAAGGAAGGGAGGTGAAAGGGCTCACACAGGTTGGGAGAGACTCAGCAGCTGAAGAGGGAACCAGTAGGGGGAGAGGAGCTGAGCTGAGGGAAAGTGAGCTGGAGGGATGGCTCAGAGACACTTCCAGCGAAAACAGTGGGGAGGTTTCAGGACCTCCTGTAGGAACACCCACTCCTCGCCGGAAACTGTCACGCAGAGAGTCCAGAAGACGTGTTTCCGTTAAGGAGCTTTTATGTTGGAAGCGATTCCAAAGCAACCACTGTCGGAATCTGCTAGTGACTAGAGGAGCCATGTCTGAGGGGCTCCATCACAGACAGAGGTTTGTGGACTTGAACAAACTCTGAGGGGATACTATTTTACGCACAAGCAGCTCATCATCCCATCACAAGCATGTTTTTACATGAGTGGAATGTGTGCTTTTATTTAAAATGCATCTCTGGGTTATTTGTGGGGCCTGCCTGGTGTTTTTACATGAGTAGAATGTGTGCTTTTATTTAAAATGCGTATCTAGGTTATTTGTGGGGCATAGAAATTCATTTTTTTTCTTTTCAAAATATAGTCCGGCCCCCCACAAGGTCTGAGGGACAGTGGACCGGCCCCCTGCTGAAAAAGTTTGCTGACCCCTGTGCTAAACATACTGCTCTGCTTTCCTTTGGACCACATCAGCAAGGCTGGGCAGCCCAGGACCTCCTCCAAACACACTGCCCATGTTTGCACCCCAGGGAGGTTACTTTGGTGTTCCTAACTCAGACTTGACTTCAGCCTTGGAGGCGCACTCCATGGTCTTTTGAGACAGATGCCAACAACATGCTAAAAGTGATAATTCAGGCAGGGACTGGAAAGTAGGGGTGGAAAACTACTCCTGTGGATTTGTACAAAAATATTTGCGAACTGCTCTGTCTGGATCTGAGGAAAGGGAGCTCTTTCTTCAGAGTGTGCAGCTGACTTGTGAAATGCACAAATGGGGAAACAGCCTTCAAAAAGCTAAAACTGCCATGTTGCAAAAGTGACTTGGGTTGCTTATATGAGAGGAAGCCAAAAATACGTGCTTGTTCCCAAATGGTGTTTGGGTGTATCCAGATTCCTGCAGGGTTGGGGTGCAAGGAAGCCTCCTGTTTCCTGCTTTTGTTATCAGATGCTGCTGCCCTGGGACATTTTGGGAAGGAGTGTTGGTTATAAATGTAATAAACATGCAATATAGAAAGTCTTAGGGGATTATACAAAAGAGGTATGACCCAATCACAGCAACCTTCTCCCCACATGATTCCAATCAATTGCTAAAAAGAGGGACAGTATTTCCAACCATGGAAGTAGAATATAGTCTTAGGGTTAGATAGCCCCATAAATTTGTCTAATCTGCTTTTAAAGGCCTTGCTACATCTTTTGGGAGCAAATATCATAGTTTACAATGATGCACCTTTCCTTCCTGTGAAGCATAGACTGAGGTCTTATGGCTCAGCAGTTCAGGAGCTGCTCTAGAGTAGAGTTTTAACACAACCAGATTTCTGCAGCTCTCTGTGGCATTTCAGTGTGCGGCAACATGACATGAACTGTGTGTGACCTTGTGTCGTGTCAACCATGTTGTTCTTTTCATTTTTAATAAAGCAAAAGGAAGAAACAGAAAGCCACCCTGCCAGGTTTTTTGCTAACTTTATTTCATTATAAGTATACATGGCTCAATGTATGCAAAGAAAACTAGAAAACTATCCCAATAACTTAAGAACCTATGGTGGAAATGTCACCATCAAGAGCACCATCCATTGTTGGAACAGTAAAATATCTCATGCTTGTAAAAAGGAATGTGTTGTATATCCAAATGTGTTGCTAAAAGGAAAAAAATCAAAAAACACCTCAAGAATTAGGAGTCAATAACTGATGGAGGGAAACTACGTTTCGTTCCTGTTTTTGAGCTAAAATTTTGGCCCTTTATCTTACATAAAAATTATAATGAAAATACAACTAAGATAAAGTACTGCATAGTATTTTAATCAAAATACAGAAACCAGCATTGCTGTGTGACGAAGACTCAGCATCTCCTCTGCGTACGTTTCATTTCTGAATAGAGAAATCTAAAAGTTAATAAAGAAAGAAAATAGACCTAGTATTATATTCTCTAATAGGGTACACTTCAGGCAGAACGTATTAAGTACTACGAAAATACATATTTTCCATTCTTTTTAATAATTTACTTTCATTAAAAAGTTGTGAGGTCGTCACAAGAAGTTTATACAAATTCATTACTTTGTACTAAATTAACCCCACCCCCCAAAAAAATTCATCATCCAAAATCAAGGTCTTGTGTTTTTGTGGGTTTTGCTAAGCCCTGTTGTAACAATTATGCAAAAGAAAGTTAGGTGGGGAGACTACATTTTGGTATGAAGGAATATAAATTTACACACATTTTTACAGCAAACTCCTTATAACCCTAAGAACGTCTACAAAATTCACAGTTATATTACAAGCAAGTACAAGTTTGAGATAAAGCTGTTCGAATACCAACCCGCCCCAAATAAGGTCTTCTGCATTAAAAAAAATAAAAAACCAAATGAGAAAAAGATAAAATAAAAATATGCAGTTTCAACTTATTTGTACCGAAACTTCATTAACTTTGAACTGGACCGCAAGGTATAATAATAATAATAATAACAATAATAGGGTTTTTTTATTTGTACCCCACCCATCTGACTGGGTTGCCTCAGTCACCCTGGGAGGCTTACAACATATATGAAAGCATAATAAATCATTACACATTAAAAAGCTTCCCTATGCAGGTAAACTGCATTAATGGCTGAAACCCTTTCAGCAAACACAAAGTGCTTTCCTGGGCTGGTGGAACAATGGGTTCCCCAGCTTCTTCTGTCTTCGAAGGCTACGGCGCATGGCCAGCTTACTGGTGGTTTTGTGTTGGGTCGTCGTGGAGGACAAGATTTCAGGCTGGACGCTGACGTTCCTAGTCATCCCCCTCCTGGGCTTCTTTAGCAAAGGCCCCGAATTGGATTCTTCCAATGTCCTTTTGCAGCTCACTGTCGCTGCTTTGGTTGGCTCGCTTGGAGGTACCTTGAAGGCTTTTGGATCCATGCCTGCATTCCCAGAGTTGGAGGGAGAGAGGGTCCCTGGCAGGCTCCGTCCTTCCGAGTCGCGCATCCTCAACCCAAACAGTCGGCCGCACTTCTCCTCCTGTGGCACTGCATCCTTGTTTGACACCACTGCTAACGTTGGGGCGCTGCCTTTGGCGGCCTCCCCCGGTGGCTCTGAAGGTTTACTCAATGCCGTGTTGCGCGTCAGCGAAGGGATGGTCTCGGGGGAGCTGAGCCGTGGCCACAAGTCATCTTCTAAAACCTGGTGGGGTTCAAGAGAGTAAAATTATGTAGTAGTGAATCCAAAGACACAGATATTTCCCAGTATCTGTTTAGACAAATCCCAGAGAAGTTTGTGGTGGTCAGATAATCCGAGAGGTGGAGAGCTTTAAATGCCTCTTGAAAAATATGTATGTTTACCCAAGGTTTTGCTGGACTATTGACTCTTAAAATAAACTTTACACATATGGATAGAAGACTTTTTACTAGTGTTACTAAGTTGGAATTTCTCCTCTTAATTCTTTTTCATGCACTTCAGTTTTACTTAAGACAGACTTTTTAAAAGGAATTTTTAGTGAATATTATTGTTGTACTCTTATTTCAGGTGTTGGCCCTCCAGATGTTGCTGAAATACAACTCCCATCGTCCCTGGCTGAAACTTTTATTCAATAAGCACCTGAGCTTGCTCCCTTGTTTCTCATCCTGTTTTTCTCTGAGGTGTTATTTTCCTCATTCTGCTGCCATCTCTGAAGACAAGTCTCAGGTCCAATAAAATAAACTACAAGCTTGGAAAATTCAGCTTTTCAAGCTCTGGAACCCCAGCTCGACACCTTGCCATTATCCCAGTGAGAAGCAGCAAGGTTAAATGTAAGCAGAAGGTAAAATACAAACCTCCCAGGTACTGAATGCTCAAATATAGTCTAATGTCGTAGTTCCCAACATGGGGCACACGCCTTACAGGGGAGCAATTCAGGAATGAGTTATTAACAGTGAATGGCCTTTTAGGCTTCCTCCACGTGAATAGGAGTTCACTTTTTGAATAATAAGAATTATATGTCATGGTGCATGGCCAAAAAAAGTTGGGGAACCACTGGTCTAACATAACCAGCTGAAGCAGGGCAGCTGCTCAGAGGTGGACAGGTGGTTTGAATGGGGCTGCTAACATCAGAGACCAGAATCTTCCTGGACATCAGGTGACCACCCAAATCAGCCATTCACACAAACCAGCTGGGAGAAATTGTCCAGGGATTTGGAGTCCGCTCTCACTGATACCCAGACCATACCCAGCCTTCTTTAGAAAAAGGGTTTGTGTAAAGGCTAACAACATAGGGCTGAACCATAGTTTTGTTCCAAGGCACTGTGGTAGACTTAAATGGCTGAAATGCCTTGCCCCTTGTCCTTTTATAAGTCAGTCTGGCTGCCATCTGCCTAATTAGAATTTTTGTTCATTCAATTACTGTTAATATCTTTCAAGTTATCTATGGCCAATTATATACAAGGAGGTAATTTGCAGTTCAAATTATTCTATTTTCCCCCAACAAGCTGAGTTCTAAAATTTTACAATGAAATATATTGTTGAAAATTTAAAACAGGCCCTCCTCAAAAAGTCACCTCCGGAATAGCCAGGGAAGTGGGAGATCTTGCTGTACATCTTGACATTCTAGTTCTGTAAGGGGCCTGCCGTTTACACACAGTATATTTAAAGTACATTTAAGCACATGACTCTCCACCCCAAGATCCCTGCGAATAGTAGTTTACCCCTCACAGAGCTAACTCCCAGGACCCTTAATGGACTACAGCTCCCAGGCTTCTTTGGAAGAAGCCATGTGCTTTAACTGTACAGTGTGGATGTGATCCCAGTGAGCTTAAAGGCTGAGTGGCATTTGAACCCTGGGCTCCCGGGTCCTTGTCCAACACACTAACCACTCACTGGGGTAACTCACCCACATACCCTGCATACACAAGATTCCTTTCACCCCTGTGGCTACAATCCAAAACACACTGGCTCAGATGTAAGCCCCACTCAACGAAAAGGAAATTCCTTCTGAGCCCTTGCACTGCACCTCTGAGCATACACAGAGCTCCTTTCATCTCCAAATAAACAGAGCCTGCCAAGCCACCCAAACATCTAGCTTGCCAATACCTAAATTCCTGTGAGACCTCCATCTCACCTGTCCTGTGCACATTATAAAAGGCTGGGTGATACATCAAGGGTATTAAGGCAAGACAAATGTCCCTCCCACCACATACATACCCTTAGAGCATTTCTCATGTGAATCTGTAATTGCCTCTAATTTTAATAAATGAGGCTATACCATACTGTAACAGGCATGCCTCCAGCATTACATGTCCCTAATTGCACCCACTGGATATTTTTTGTCTTGCATTAAGGTAAAAAGTCACATGCCTTTTCTGGTACGTATTTAAATTAGGTATTCCTCAGCCCCAAGCGCCACCATTTGGGGTTTGTTTGTAAACCAAGTCCTCCACAATCCTGGGCTTTTTGGAGAAAAATTCTAACTTTTTTTTATTTTGCTTGTTTCTTTAGTTACTTCTTTGGGATTGTATTCAATTAAGTGCTGTCCTTCCAGGGTTTCTCTCCCAGCCTTACCTGAAGATGCCGGGGATTGAACCTGGGACCTTCTGCATGCAAAGCAGATGCTCTGCAAGTGAGCCACGGCCCTGTGCCTTGGCAAAGTGCCCTCTGGTGGACCTTCTTGGATGGCCTGACGGTGGCAGCAGCATCACTCCCAGCATTGCCAGGCAGCTGAGTCCAGCCACTGTTCTAAATTTCCCACAGTGGTCCAACCAAGGCACCACTCCGGGGCATTATGGGAAATTTAAAGATCCTGGCACCAGCACTGCTCAGGACACCATATGAGAAGTTGTGTTTTTTTTAAGGTGGAAGGTGTGAGCTGTGGACCCCACAAGCGCTATTGGAGGGGGGGACTGTCAAAAGATTCCCTGAGCCAGTGCCAACCTAGATACTACCCCAGTTACCTCTTGCCAGAGAAAATGAAGGGCTGCATGCTGGGACATCGTAGGGGCAGAGCCTAAAGCTGCCCTGTGGTCCCTTGCTGGTGAGAATCAGGGCTGCCACCTCCCTGCCATAATTCTGCCTGCACCTTTGCATAAAGGTAAAGGGACCCCTGACTATTAGGTCCAGTCATGACCGACTCTGGGGTTGCGGCGCTCATCTCTCTTTATTGGCCGAGGTAGCTGGCATACAGCTTCCGGGTCATGTGGCCAGCATGACTAAGCCGCTTCTGGCGAACCAGAGCAGCGAACGGAAATGCCGTTTACCTTCCCGCCGGACGTGCTTTCGAACTGCTAGGTTGGCAGGAGCAGGGACCAAGCAACAGGAGCTCACCCCGTCACGGGGATTCGAACCACTGACCTTCTGATCGGCAAGTCCTAGGCTCTGTGGTTTAACCCACAGCGCCACCCGCGTCCCGCACCTTTGCATAACCACATGCTAAACTTTGTGCCTTGATCACAACAGAGTGTGATGGAACGATGAGCATTTTGACTTCTTCAAATAATAATATAGACTGAATGTTTTCATTATTAAAAGGGAAGGAGGGGAGGAAGGCAGGCCCTGGGCTCCCTGCTGGGATTTGCCAGATGGACTCCTCCTATAAGCCCTGTTTCACTCCTTAAGAAGAGGAACATCAGAAGTGTCTCCTGGATCAGGCCAATGGCCCATCTAGTTCCGGCATGAAGAAGGTAGAGAGATAGAGGGGGGAATTAAGCCCTGAGGTTCAGTCAGACTTTACTAGGGGACTGAGCCTTTAATGTGGCAGGTCCTGCCCCGTGGAACTCCCTGCCAGTAGAACTCGGCAGGAATGGTCCCTGCCTGCTTTCAGACTTCTTTTGAAAGCTGCTTTGTTCAGACAGGCCTTTGAAATATGTAACTCTTTTCCCAAACCAGATTTTATGGCTGCTTCTACTGACACTTCTACTGGTGTTTTATCACTGCTGGTTTAATTTTGTATATCGTAGACTGCCTTGATTTTCTGGAAGAGGAGAGCGAGAGAGTGCGTGCAAAAGAGGCGAGTAGGATAAAGAAAATGAAAAAATGAAATAACAGAATGCGGGAGGTAAGGGAAGGAGGGGGAGAATGGAGAAAATAGGAAAAGAGGGAGTCAGAGAGAGAAAGTGAAAGAACAGGATGGAGGGAGGAGAGAGGAAGAAAGAAAAAGTGAAAGAAAGAAAGAAAGGCAAGCAGAAGAAAGAAAAAAAGAAATCCCACCTTTTTTTACTAGCTGCGCCTGTATAGAGACCCCTGAGTAGCTCATCCAAACTTTTGTGGGTTTTTTCCATTTTGCTTTGCCAAAGGAGAGCTATTCAAAGACTCAGGGGAACATCAAAGCAGCCAGAGCTATTCTGAGCCCAGTGGCGGTAATTGTCGGTTCCTTCAAAACACCCCAGCTGAGCATGACTCCCCTCCCCTCTGACAAGACAAGGACTGCTGTACAAAGGGCTTCCAGAAGGCAGTGGCGACAGAGAGAACAGCTGCAGCCAAAACTCCAACAAGGGGTGGGCAGCCACGGAAACATATACTGCACTCCAAGGATCTTCTATTTGAATCATGACAAATCAAGTGGCTAAGTGGAAAGGTATGTGACCAGACCAACATCGCCAAGGGCCAGGGATGATGGGACTTGTAGTCCATCAATATCTGAAGGCGTATTATTTATTTTATTTAGTAAAGGTGTAAGTTGCTTTCTCTGGCCCAGAGGCAACCCAAAACAAATTACAACCAAACAATCAGACAATAAACCCCACAAAGTTGCATTAAAACCAGGAGGACTGAGAAAGCATAAAAAAGCCATTCCACTTGCTTCTGTAACGCCACTGATTATTATTATTACCCCAGCCACTCTGGGCAGCTTCCAAAAAAGTATTAAAACACATTTTTAAAAACTCAGAACATTAAAAACCTCCCCGTACAAAGCTGCCTTCAGGTGTCTTCTAAAAGTCAGCCAGATGTTTATTTCATTGACAACTGATGGGAGGGCGTTCCACAGGGCAGGCACAACTACGAACCAAAGGCCTGGTTAGAGAGGAAAGTTTTTGCCTGGCGCCACAGGTGATAAGTTCTACCCTGGTGGAATCTACACACGTATAAAAACAGTTCCAAAAATGTTTTTCTTTAAAGTGTTTTTAAAAATACACTGAATTTTCCATAAGGCCCGCCATCGTCATCTAGTGCCACATTGTATATTGCACTTAAAACGTTTTATTTGCAGCTGCATGGGTGAGTCCCCTGCCATGACCTCTCGACATCATGACTCTGGATTCCACCCCTCTTTTCTTACCTTGACTGGAGGAGTGGAGCAGCGTGAAGGAGTCATTGCCCACATCTCAGGGCTGCTGTAGGACGGGCCTTCAGCCAGGTTGAAATAGAGCTCCTCCTCCCCTTCCAAACTGCTCTGGTCGCTGCGCACCGAAGAGAGGCTGATGACGATGGCACTGGTGTTGTCCGCCCGCAGCATGCGCTGCCTCCAACGTCCCAGTGCGCGGTTCACCAGCATTTTGGCCAGAGACTGCTGGCGCCCTCCCTTTCGGTTCCAAAGGTGGGCAAGGAGATGCGGAAGGAGAGAAGAGGAAAGTCACCATCCCATAACTACGACATGTATTTGAGGAAGTTTCATTTATCAGCTATGCCTTCAGACGGCCTTTAGATAGATGATGTGATCAAATTCTGCACGATGGCTTCCTGAGATCTGATAACATATTCATTTACATCCCTCCTTTTCCACCAGACCGAGACTCAAGGTAGCTTACGCAAAACACATATAGCTCAAAATATACAAAAAAATAACCAGAGAGAAAAGACTTTGCTACACAGGTTTCCCACCCAATCCTAGAAGGTTCCTGTCCTCTTTTTCCCTCACAGTGATAAGTTAAAGAAACCTGTTCATGAGAGACTGAGAGAGAATATTCTCAATTCACTACCCAGCCACAGGTACTCCACATTTATTTTTCTATCATGGTTTTGGCTGGAGGTGGGGAAATTGGTGGCTATTGGTATGGTTTCAGATTAAGCTCATGCTTACCGTAAAATACTTTTTCTCTTCATGGTCCTGGCACATAGAAATGGCTTCCTGCGGTGGGATCATGTTCCACAGCCCATCACTACCCAGGATGATATATTTGTGCTTTTGAGGATCTAATGTGTGCACACTTGTGTCCGGTTCGGGAGATACAACAAACTCGCCGCTGTAGAAGTCGTAGCTCCACAGATCACCTGGATTGGGAAGGGTACAAGAGATAAAACACAAAAAATAGTTTTATAAGTTTTAATTCATTTAACTGGGGTGGGCGGGGTAGAGAGCCTCTGCTATCAAATGCAACAGTTCAGGATGGAATCTGAAAATCAAACTCCCTGTGCTTAGAAAACAAAACTGCCAGGACTTTAGAAAAGAGGTCATACTAGCTTTCTCCCTACAGGGCTGTCACAGCAAGCTACTATTGGACTATGGAGGATTAGGCTCTCATTAGCTACTAGCCAGGGGGACTATACTAGGGGAGAGCTGTACATCCGTATACCCGGTTCAATCCACAGCATCTCAAGGTATGGCAATGCAGTATATATCCATAGAACATCCCCTTACTTACAATTTCTGGTTTTAAGGTTATATTAAGGTTATGCATCCATCAGCACCAGTTTGAACAAGATCCTGTTACCAGTCAGAAGCAAATGGTTACAGCTCTTGGCAGAGGCAGCAAGCACTAGGTCAGGCAGCCAAGCAAGAAACCCTGCCTGAAACCCTAGAGAGACACTGCCAGTCAGTGTAGACAAAACTGAGCTAGATGGACCAGTGGTCTGACTTGTGTAAGGCAATTTCCAATGTAACCCAAGAGTTAAGAGTGTTGAGGGTACAAACAAAAAAGCAATGACTTCATTGGGGAATGGCTTGATTTTATTATGTAGTCAAATATAAGACAGCACAACTGGACACACACAGTGCTGGTTTTCAGCTATGGAACTTGACATTCACCATTACTTCTTCTGAAAATGGAACTCACCTTTCGGTTTAACCTATCTATCTCATCTGGGATTGAGATCCTACTGGATTTCAGTGCTCTATACACATCCTAGCCCTTTGCTGTTAATTTCGATCAGTCCTTTGCTTGGCCCATAACTGTAAAACTGCATTTGTTTGGTTGCAATTTAGTGGTTTTATCTGGGATTGTTGTAATAAAGGTTGACTGACTTATTGTCCTATTTTGGAATGGAGGTGTTCCTGTGATAGGAGAAAGGGAAAAGGAGAGATGTATTGCTCTGTAAGTTTATGAGGCTCTTTACAGTAGCTGCCACGTCATGCCTGGTTGTTACAGACTGTTACTTTCAGTTTGTTTTGTACTGAATATATTTTTACACGGCTTGCATCCTGTATAAAAAACACCCCAAGTCAATATATACAGTTGCAATCAAAATTATTCAACCCCCATTGCAAATCAGGTTTGTTATCATTTCAGCTGTTTGCAATGAGCAGCACAAAAGCAATTGAAATCGCTCAAGCGGTTTCCCCAAATTCAGCTGGAATTGCAACTTATATTGGCTTCTCCTACTGCCTGTGAGGTAGGTTCTACTGAGAGGCGGTGATGGGCCCAAGTTCACCCAGTGAGCTTCATAGCAGAGTGGTGATTCGAACACAGGTCTCCCAGGTCCCAGTGTGACACTCTAGCCACTGCAGCACAGTGGATCTTAAACAGGCAAGCATCCCTTCGCATAAGCAGCCTGAAGGAAAAGATTTTCTGACTCGATTTTTCCTCATGTTACACAGCCCCTTAATGAGGGCTGTAACATATTTCGGTGTGTTACAGTACAGGTACGCCTGAAAAACAAACTGTTACCACTTGACAAGAAAAGGACCTAGGGCCGTAAGCCAAAAACAGTTCTACTCAAGAGTAGACCCACTGGACTTCATGGACCTGAGTTTGTCAGTCCTTTAATCTCAAAGGATCTGCTCTGGATAGCACAGCTACAACAGCTACAACCGCTAGCAACTGAATAACAGCATTTTGTATTTTTTAGTGTGTGTTTTTTGTCATCAGAAAGCTCAAAACCCTAAAGTGCTGAGGCCCCAGTAAAGGCAGCCATTTTTTTGTGAGCTCCGCTCCTCGCAAGGCTTCTTTTTCCGCCCACACAGGCACTTCAGAAAGCGGCAAGCCGCTTTAGGAAATAAGGAACCCAAGCTCTTTTGTTTCCTGAAGTACAATGCTCATTTCGCCATTAGCGCCGCGCGCCATCCAGCTGACAGCGTTTTCAGACGCTCAACAAGGAGCCATTCGAATCAATTACTCCTATTTACTACAGCCAAGCACAACCTGAACCGGTCCTCGTTCGAGAGCTAATTTCTGCCTCTGCTAAAGCAGAGATAAGAGGGAAAGGGAAGAACTTGTTCTCCCATTAACAAGGCTAATTAGGGGAAAACACACACACACACAGCATCCCTGATCGTAGGGGAGGCTATCTCCTCCGCCCACCAGTTAGCACAAAGAGGTTGAATCAGCTTATATTAAAATGGTGGGGGGATGAAGATGAACTGCATGGAATCAGGCCCTGTTACGGCCTAAGAATATAAAAAGAGACTACTGGATCAGGCCAATGGCCCATCTAGTCAGCATCGTGTCCTCACAGTGGCCTCCCAGATGCCTGAATGGGAGGCCTACAAACAGCACTTTTCTCACTTGGGATTCCCAGCAACTGACAGCACAGGTAGAGGATAGCCATCGTGCCTCATAGCCTCAGACAGCTAATTCTTTATAAAAATAGAAGAAAAAGCCCTGCTGGATCAGACGAAGGTCATAGTTACATCATACATTTAAAGCATTATGATACCACTCGGAACAGGCATGGCTTCCCCCCAAAGGATTCTGGGAACTGGTGCTGAGAGTTGTTAGGAGACACCCCCGTTTGCCTCACAAAGCAACAATTCCCAGAGTTCCCTGTGAAGAGAGATTGACAGAAACCATTCTGAGAATCAGAGAATTCTGAGAGGAGAACTCCCAGCACCCCTAACAAACAACAGTTCCCAGAATCCTTTGGGGGAAGCCATGCTTGTTTCAAGTGGTATCATAATGCTTTAAATGCATGGTGTGAATGTGACCAAAGGCTCGTCGAGCTCAGCAGCCAGCTAGAAGTCTATCAGGAGTCCACAAGCAGAACCCAAGCCTGACAACATCCAAAGGGCTACTGATTCCCCCCACCTGCTCCTGGCTCTCAGTGAGGCCCTGATCCGGGCTTGGGCTTTTGTGTGGCTCCTGCTCCTCCTGAGTATTCACACGTGGACCTAGGCAGACACTTTGCCAGCAGCTCCTAAGCTCCAGTATGGTTTTCTGCCTCTTATTTATTTATTGCATTTATGTCCTCCACCCTTCCCTTTTGTCCAAGGAGCTCAAGGTGGCATAAATGGTTCTCTCCACTCATCTAATCCCCACAACAACCCTGTGAGGCAGGCAAAGCTGAGAGGCAGTGACTGGCCCAAGGTCACCCAGTGAGCTTCATGGCTAAGCAGGGATTTAAACCCTGGTCTCCCAGGTTGCTGTCCAACACTCTAACCATATGAGCTCTCTGTCTCTTCTGCTTCTGGGGTGTGTGAAATAAATCCTAAAGGGGGTATATCTGGATCAAAGACTCCTCAGGGCTACAGACTGTGCAGAGATCTGGGGGGACATCCTCTAAGGACGCCCCACGTTGCAAGTCTGGGCAGGGCTAAACCTTTACACCAACGTTTCCACGCAGAGAGGTAGTGCCAATGAGGCAGCTAGTCCTGACATGTTAAATTGGTTACTCGTCACTCAGTGGCTATTGAGCATGCTCAGTCCTCATTGGGCTGTTTTTTGAGGGAGGGGAGGTGGAAGTTGCCCTCTTAGTTTTAATTATTATTTATTTTTTCTGCGCATCTGCAAAATGCAGGATTTCCTTCAAGCATGCTCAGAACTTCCCTCTTGATTTTTTCAGCAGCGCTGCACAGCCGTTGGCACTCTGCCACCCGACTTCGCTATTAGAGGCAGCAATATATAACAGGTTTACACAATCCAGTCGAGGAGTGGTTTTTTGGGGCACGACTGGAAGACTCATAAGCATATCCACCTGCAATTAAGCCTCCACCTGCCATTTACTGGCAAAGGAGCTCATCTGGAAAAATGGCTGGGAGGCAGCCAAGAGACTGTCGGATTAATTGCCTTCAGTGGGAGGTTTGGAAACGCTTGAGTCTCACTAAGGCAAAAAGACTGGGGGGGCGGGGAGGAAGTTCTTTCTATTCTAACACCTTAATACATAAATGGAATGCTGAGCTACTGCTGAGCTACAGCACTTCTTCAAAAAATGAAACAAGATCCCAGTCCTCATGACTCAATGAAGGACTGATTTAAATAGACCCTGAAAGCTGCCTTATACTGTGTCAAACCATTGGTCCATCTAGCTCAGTACTGTCTGCACTGACTGGCAGCAGCTCTTGTGGGTTAACTCCCAGCTCTACCTGGAGATGCGGGGGATCGAACCTGGGACTTTCTGTGCATATGACAGATACTCTACCACTGCCACAGTCTTTTAAAGGCTTTTCATAGTGCAGGCAACTTTCCACTGATGCACGTTCGAGTCAAGCACAACCACATGCATACACGCATTGCTGCAAACCCGGAAGTGGCACTTAAAGCGGCAATAACAGCCCCCCAAAAGTGCAAAAATGGTGCAAAAACAAGTGTCTAGCAATCTCTTGAGCCTTTGCAAATACAATCCCAGGAGTGCTGCTGAGTTTTCCAAGGGTTTCCAGAGGTTCAGAGGATGTTTGCAATCAGATCTTAATTCAGAGCCATGAGCCACTGGAATCTTTATTCTTTGGAGAAGAATGTATTTTGGCAAATATATATTTGCAGACAGGGGGTCTCAGATTCAATCCCCAGCACCCCCAGGTAAGGCTGGGAAAGCACCCTGCCTGAAACCCCTGGAGGGACAGCATTAGTCAGTGTAGACAACCCTGAACTAAGTGACTCAACATAGGGCAGCTTCCAATGTCCCTAAGCGATGGGAAGCCAGTGCTGAATGCCGCAGCTCAGGAGAAGCAGATCCAGCAGGCTGGGCGGCTCTTCTTTCTTGTTGTAAAAGGCCAGGAAAGAGAGGAAGAAATCTATTCAGGTGCAGAAGTTACACACACCCAACCCAAGAGGCCCCTGCTTGGGGGTGCAGAGGCTGGAACAGCGGGGTTGCAGGGAGAGAGAGAGAAGAGAAATATTTCCGGCAAGGTAAACAGATCCACATGTGCCCGAGAGCCAGCAATGTAAATTCAGCAGCGCAGGCCCAATCCCCGCACGGGGAAACAGCCGCCACTCATCCTGTTTTCGATTACGTTATTGTGTACACTTTGCAGCACATTTGCTTCCAGTGAGAGGGAAAGAAATTGCAGGTTTGCGCCAGGGGTAGTGGGAAGTGGGGAGGGCGATCAATATGGATAGCGGGAAGACAGAAAATCCCGTTTGCTCATGAAGCCTGGTTGTAGTAGGGTCTCGCTAAGGTGGATGTCAGGCAGGCAGTTGTGGTCAAGGCCTCGCTAAATCTAAGATGGATCCCAGATGGGTCAGGCCAAAAGCCCATCTAAATCTACATCCTGCTCTCTCAGTGCCAAACAGATGCCCTAAAGGGAAGGCTGCAAGCAGGACTGAGCACAACAGCATCCCACTTGCTATTCCCAGAAGCTGGTATTGGTATTCAAAACTGCTATTCAGAAGCACATTGCGTCCGACAGTAGAACACTGCCATTGTGGCTAAAAGCCTTATTCTCTGTGTATTTGCCCAATTCCTTTTTAGAGTCATCCAAGCCGGGAGCCACCACTGCCTCTTGTGGAAGTGAGTTCCATAGTGTAACTATGTGAAGAAGGACTTGGCTGCCTGAGTCGCCCAGCCTTCACTGGATGGCCCCATGACACAAACCTCTGCTCCCCAGGGACTTTCTCCACCCAATTCGTAATCTTAAACACCTCTGTCACGTTCCCCGATGGGGCGAATACACACACAGTAAAGGCTGGTTTCTCAAGAAGCAAAGATATCAGTGAAATTCCCAGAGAGAGACTGGGAACCAGAAGCTGCAACCAGAATCCACAGGGCTGGTGTGGTGGATCCCCCAACTGTGACAGCAAAGCAGAGGGGATAGAAGGGGTTAACCTAACTCGACGAAGTGTGTAATTAAAACATTAACCATCTGCTAAGGTCCATCTGGCTTTCATTTCCTTACAACTGGCACACAAAAAGGGGGAGGGGCTTTTTTTTTTAATTTGCTGAGCGCACTTCTGAAGTTCCTAGGCCATGCGGAGTCGAGGCCTCGCCTTGCCTTTCAAGCTTCTCCATGCACACAAACACTCACAGTCCTTCAATAAAATGATCTCCTGTGGGCAAGAACACAAGCCTGCCATATTACTCTGAGAACCCCAAGAGGAAGATAATCTACAAAACCTATTGTGAGGGAAGGGCGGAGGGCGGCGGGGATGGGAAATCAAGCGTATCCCGAGGCTTCTCCTCCTCCACTTTGAAAATTCACAGCACCGACTAGGCCTCGCATTTGCACAACAGCAGCAGCCCAAGGAGAGTATGGCAATCCAGCATCCAGGCCGAGGGCCACATTCTCTTGTGGGGATACATTGCAGGGGCCGCATACTATTGCTGGTCTGGCCGGGAGGCAAAAAAAAAAAAAGTCTGCAGCAACAGATATTTATTTAATTTATTCCATTTCTTTGAAATCTCTTCCAGCAAACTGTATCTCAATTTCGTGATAAAGATATGGCTCTTACCACAGCAAGCTACATTCCAGTTATGCAAACGTCAGAGGTTTCCATCGCTTGCCATGCAAAAGTCACCCGCCGCCGCCACCAATCTCTCCATCAGGGAAATGAGAGGCATTAATGCATGCCAAAGACACATTTCTGCCAGGAAAAGCACCCAAGGAGGGTGAAGGGACGGGCTGGGGAGGGAATGCAGCCCGGGGAAAGTCCTGAGGGCCAGACAGAGGCACCTGAAGGACCATATCCGGCCCCTAGGCCTGAGTTTCCCCACCCCTTTTGTAACGGTGTATGTAGGATAGCAGGTGCCGTGCCAGATTAGAAGAGACAGTCGGCTTCAAATCCCCACTCAACCCTGAAGCTCACTGGGTGGCCTTCATCCGCTCAGCCTAATCTACCTCACAGGGTTGCTCTGTGGACAAAACAGGCTAGCAACCACTTTGTGAGGCTGGTATATGGAATCAAAACATCATCCCCAATGGTGTAACTGGAAGCGCCCCTGTGAACATTTACTGCTGGGTTGCCAAGGCATGTCTCTGTGGTGTACAGAAATGGAGATGGAGCGGGAAGGGGGAAGGGCTGTGTGGCTCAGTGGGTGGAGCACCTGCTTTGCATGCAGAAGGTCCCAGGGTGAATCCCTGTCATCTCCTGGCAGGGCTGGGGGTGTGGGGAATCTTATTACAGAAGGATACAAGTAAACAAACCTAACGAGTTTATACGGGAAAGGGTGTGTTTTCCTTGATGTACTGGAACAGTAAATACCACGATCCATGCAACAAATTGCTTTTGGTTTATCGTGAGCTTTTTTTGTTTCGTTGGCTGTTGTCGGCATCCGTCTGTCTCGAGAGGCAATGGAGTGTGCCTCCGGGGGTGAAGCCAAACTGTGACATTAGCAGCACTGGAGCAACCTCCCTGGGGCACAAGCCTTAACTTTGAAATACTGTAAATCCTATCGTGTGCCTTCACAGCAGTCAAAGTGATTGGAGGAGGAACTTGGCAGAATGAGCCAACTATTGGAAAAGTGAGACTGTGTCTGGATCAGAGGAGTTATTTGAGGTCAGAGCACGCTTCCTTGCTCCAGGAGCTACTGAGGTAGGTGCATCTACGAGGGCAGCCAGCACTGGGCGCCAGCCAAGAGCCTGGAGCATTATTGACAACCTAACAGTTTTGAGGATAGTGGATAGAGACACACAGGGCAGCTTTCCACCCTCAAATGGAGCATGCAGCATTTTCCTAAAGCTGCAAGAGCCTGTTTGCCACCTGAGCCAACAAGCTTGGCTGCAAGGGGGGCAGGGAATGAGCAGCTGGAGCCCCCCCCCCACATGCGGCTGTGCTAGATTACCCAAGAGGCAGATTAAGCACATGCTTAGGGCACCAGAAAGGCAGGGGCACCCAAAAGAAAAATGAGATTTTTAAAAATAAAATGATTTGGCATTTGAGATTTATTTTTTTTAAAGCATCCAAGCAGTCCATCAGGACTTTGATAGACTTCATTACATTCCTCTACACACACTTGCCCTACTTTTTTTGTTCTCTTAACCCCACATAAAACCAGGGATACATAGTTCAAAATAATGAACATATTTTGAACATAGTTCAAAATAATGCGAGGAAATCAGATCCTATTATGTATTACAATCAATCTATGGGGGTTTTCTAATAATTACTTTTTTATTTTATGGTTTAGTATGGTTTTTGTTGTATTACATATTGGGGGACAATATTTTCAGTGCTTAGAGCCTCTAAAGTGGTGGTTTTCAGCTGGTCCAGACCCAAAACCCACCTCTGACCCACAAAGTGGGATCTGATTTCACATTTGATTTATACTTCAGCAGTGCTAACAATGCCCATTATTAATCCTAAAATGGCGGCTCACAGAGCACTATACCTTTGCATTACTAAATGAAATGCAGTTATTTTTATACTTGCTCTTACCCGAAAGAAGCCATTGAAAAGGAGCGATTTTTGCATCCCGAGAGAAGTCTGGAAGCCACCGAGATACACAAGGCAGCGAAGAAAGTGCCCCTGTGCCATAGGAGCTCCCACACCAGAGGCAAAAATATACGAAGGCAATCCATTCACAGACTAGCACAATCCACCGTCTCTCATGAGGCCTGCACTAGCAAAGTTACGATGAATGCTGGCCCTCTCAGAACCAGGATACAAAATCCACTTACAACCACAAAAGCCACTGTGGTTTAATGATTGTAGTGTTAAGAGAAGGGCCTGGGAGACCAGAGTTCAAATCCCCGCTCAGAAGTGACCTTGGGCCAATCGCTCACCCTCAGCCTAACCTACCTTGAAGGGTTGCTGAGAGGATAAAATGCAGAGAACGATATATGCCAGCTTGAACTCCTTGGAAGGTAGGTGGGATATAAATGAACCTGAAATGAAACTGTGGTTTCCAGTCCTGGAAATCTGGGAGGCCAATTTTATTCCTCCACTGCATGTTAAGTGAATAGTTTCCTTTCTCTCCTATGGGGAAAAAGTGCCTGCATTGGACTGGAAGCTGCAAGCTGCACCCCATTGCCCCAAAGGATATCCATAGCATTGGCAGTCAAGTTAGATCTCCTCCGCCCCCATCATCTCCTTGGCCTGGCCAATCGCTTGCTTACCTAGAGCCCGAGCCACCGCCAGGAACGGAATCTGGTCAATCACTGTGCTTCGCCGCACAGGGCCATTGTGGGTCAGGCGAGGCCTCTTCCACACGACCCGATTCACGCCGGATTTATTGATCACACTAAAAGAGTCAGGGTGGGGTGGCAGGGAGAGGAATCCAGAAGGAGGGAACAGAGAAGAAGAAAGAGAAGGCAAGTCAGTTACGAAGCTGTAAAACTGTCGAAGTGTGAATGATATCGTTGTTTTTATAAGTAGGAGCTGCAATAAAATGTTGCAGTGCAGAGCTGTGCTGCTCAGGGGTCTAGCCAGCTAAGCACCCTATTCCATCCCCTACTCACAATTTTTCCTCTAACTGTCACTCAGTATTTTGCAACAAAGACTTCGTGGAGCTGCTTTGGGTGTTTTCTCCCTACTTAGGACATTTCACCCTTAAAAGCGTATATGGCAAGCTACCTTGTATTGAGTGAGACTATTGGCCCATCTGGTTCAATACTGTCCATTATTAGGAGAACTTAATTCCCCTCACAGAGCTAAAATTATCATTTATCGATCAATTCCTCTTCCCAGGGAACTCTGGAAACTGTAGCTCTGGGAGGGGGATAGGGTTTTCCGAAGAATTATCAGCATCCTCAACAGACTATAGTTCCCAAGGTTCTTTGGGGGAAGCATGACTGCTCAAGGAGTTATAATACTGCTTTAAATGTCTGGTGCAGATGTAAGCTAAGTTTTACTCTTCAATTTCAGTGGGTCTACCTTGAATAAGACTGTCATTGGATACAACCCAGAATGTTCTGAGCTGAGAAACAAATGATAATAAAAATAAATAAATAAATAAATAAATAAATAAATACAAATAAATAAATAAATAAAGTGGAAGACAAAAGCTGTAGAGAGAACTCCTTGCCACTGGAAAACCAACAGCAGCAGAGGAAAAACAGAAGACTCATTCTGAACCCCCTAATGCGTCCAGTTTCAAGAAATGACAAAATAGTGTTCTCAGCTGCAAAACTTGGACTCAGATCTATCTGAAGCCTAGAAGCTGAGGGGCTGTACGGCCAAATGAAAAAGAGGGAACAACAAAGAAGCCAATCAGGCCAATGAGGAAACCTCTTAACACCGATAGGCTGCAGCTGATCACGTGGCAAGGCCAGACTCCCTATAAAAGCTTCCGGATCCCTTGAAACAGACAATGAAAGCGCATCACTGGCAGCCTAGGGGTGGTCCTTGGGCTGCTCCTTCCAATGTGTTTCTTTCCCCACCTCTGGGGTAGGGGAAATGGACACAAAGGCAGCACCAGACAAGTCTGTTGCCCAGAGATGCTACCACCTGCCACGACCAAATTGCTGATGTTCGAAATCTATTTTTTTATTTTATTTATTAATTGTTATTAATTATTATTATTTACTGCCTGCCCTTCAACCTGAGGTTCCATATCAAAAACCATTTTAAAACCAATTTTTAAGAAAGCTTGCAACCATAAAAATAAGATGGGACCCAAAAACATGCACCTCAAGTGCCAGAAACCAGGATACAGAGGTGCACCTTCAGCAATCTCCAAAAGCTGTATAATAAAGGCATTTATTTAGACACTTGCCTTGGCCCCTCACCAAAAGGAGGAGCAAAGACTGTTCGCATTAGCCTTTTAAAAAAAAACACAAAACTGAAATATGTAAAACTACCCAAGTATCTCAGGATTTTCCCCAGCAACAGTAAGAAGAAAGGAAGGGAGAAGCAGACGTCACCAACCCTCTGGCAAAGGGTTCGTCAAGGAACAAGAGCTGCACCTTGACATTTTTAGCACCTGCTCTCCAGCGCTTAACTAGCAGGACCAGTTTGGGAGCCAAAAAGCAAACCACAGATGCCAGGAAGCAGGTGTCAGTTAGCTGTTAATCCTTCAGAGTAGCAGAAAGGAGCTGTATGCCCAATGGGGACACAGAACTGCTGAGATGCGGATCAACGAAACTACAAGCAGCAGTATGGGGGCCACCTATAAGGTCACAGATAATATGGAATACCACCCCCAAAATGTGTTAGCAAACTGAGTTAAATAAAGCAGACAGAGTCCAGAGAGAAAAGGAATACTGATGGCACTTTACTGAGGAACCTAAACAAAAAAACAGTGTATAATTTGAGGAGAAATGAACAGAGAGGTTTTGGCTGTCTTCTTTCGGGCCTTGTATTTAGCAGGGAGACATTCAAACCAAACATATAGAGGAAAAACTCCTGCAAGAACTACACAGCTGATCAGATCAGACCACCTGCTACCTCAGGTTGCTCTGACCGGTTGCTAAGCGACACCCCCTCTTGGGTAGCTGACTAACACCCAGGACAGAATTAACCACTAAGCCACCTGTGGAATGACCTCTGGTTTTGTACTTCCAACATCACTCCTTCTAAATGAGAACGCAGTTAGATGAGGGCAGACAGGGCTGTAGCCAAAACATGGCCAACCAAAAGAGGGATGTTATCAGTGTGCTCAGATAACCCCAAGGTTTCCAGGAAGCATACAAAACAAATCTAAGAGGGGGCAATTCTTCCCCCACCCACCCAAAAGTAAAAAAAACACCAAGCTCAAGTATGGCCAATGCTCTCCAGCGCACAAAATGCCTAGTGCAAGTCAAAAAAGAACAATGAAAAGCCAACACAGGGAAAGTCTCAGTTGAGCTTGTTACAGCTTCAAGCATTCTAGAGGAAAACATGGCTGGCTAACTTGAATTCTGAACAGGAACACTTCTTTTACATGGGAGGGAAAAGAGAAGCCAGGGAAGCTACTATGAAACTAATAAGTGACCCATAAGTGCCTTTAGGTCAAATTGCTTAAAAATTTTGGGTCTAAGTACGACTCAAATTGATTTAACTTTTTGTTGTATGCAAGTCAACAATCCCAAAGTCTGAGAATCAGTAGCACAGACGTTGTAAAGGAGGAGTGTTGTGGTAAGCTGGCTGCTCTGTTGTGGCTAATACATTTCTCCGCTTTTTAACAGAGGTCAAGAGCTTAGAGCAATAACTATGCCCCGTGGAGCTAGTCTGGTGACTGTGAGCAGCTGCCGGGACCATATAACACCGGTCCTAAAGTAACTCCATTGGCTCCCAATACGTTTCCGAGTTCCATTCAAAGTGTTGGTGTTGACCTTTAAAGCCCTAAACAGCCTTGGCCCTGTCTACCTGAAGGAGCCTCTCCACCCCCATCCTCCAGCCCCAGACACTGAGGTCCACCTCCAAGGGCCTTCTGGTGGCTCCCTCATTCTGAGAAGTGACATTGCAGGGAACTAGGCAGAGGGCCTTCTCGGTAGTGGCACCCGCCCTGTGGAACGCCCTCCCAGCAGATGTCAAACAGATAAAGATCTATGTGATTTTTTAAAGACATCTGAAGGCCGCCCTGTTCAGGGAAGGTTTTAGTGTTTGTGGTTTTAATATTTTTTTTTTGTTGGGAGCTGCCCAGAGTGGCTGGGGCAACCCAGTCAGATAGGTGGCATATAAAACAAAACAACAACAACAGAGCAAGCCTGAAACAGGAGGGGATTCTCATCCTGCAACATGTGCCATCCCCTAGCGAAAAAACCCGATGTGCCTCTCCACCTGCTCTGTGCTCAAATAACTGGAGTTTAACGAGCCCCACAGAGATGCGGTGCTGGTGATGTCAGCGAGAAAAAACCTTCGGGTTATCTCTGTTTCAGAGAGACTTGAAAAGAGAGAGGAGGGTGGAGAGGGAACGGTGCCCATCCATATGCTGCAGCGCTTAGGGCAACGCTCCTATGAAGTGCTGCCAACTTCCAAGCCCCAGAGGTTTTGTTTTGCAACAGCGGCACGGCAGCTGACGGACCCCCTGCTACACACACACTCGCCTGCTCTCAAGATCCCCCCCCTCCCCAAATCCTACGATGGCTGGAAAAATCATTAAGCGCATCATGCAGCACCAGCAACAACTGTGGACTGAAAGATTGCAGGTGGAGGGCGCACACAGGATGTTCCGGGCTTTTGGGTCACACTGCAGCGTGACCACAGGATGGGAAGAAGAGCCCTGGTGGATCGGAACGGAGGTCAGTCTAGTCCTCCAGCGTCCTGTGCCCCACAGGAGACAAACAGATGCATCTTGGGAAGCCCATAAGAAGGCAACAGTCTTCTCTAGCTGATGTCGCCCAGCCACACGTTTTCAGAGGCAATGCTGCCTTTGGCCCTGTAGAATACAGTGGTGTCTCGCAAGACGAAATTAATTCGTTCCGCGAGTTTTTTCGTCTTGCGGTTTTTTTCGTCTTGCGAAGCACAGTGTCGGAAAAGTTTTGGAAAAGCTTCAAAAATCACCAAAGTCTTCAAAAACCTCAAAAAAGGCTACCACACCGCATGCTATGAGTTGCTCCTCGAAGTCAAGTTGCAACTGTATTAACGGTTTTAAGAAAAAGGAAACAAACTTGCAAGACGTTTCCGTCTTGCGAAGCAAGCCCATAGGGAAAATCGTCTTGCGAAGCAACTCAAAAAACCAAAAACCCTTTCGTTTTGCAAGTTTTCCGTCTTGCGAGGCATTCGTCTTGCGAGGTACCACTGTACATCCCTCGTGACTAACAATCCTTGGTTTGATAGGGGAAAGAAAGCGCTTTGTGCAGCACGTAGTTAAACTGCGGAACTTGCTGCCACAGGAGGCAGCGATGGTGACCAACCTGGATAGCTTTAAAAGAGGACTGATCAAATTCATGGAGGAGATGGCTATTGATGGTTACATGGCTATGCTTTGCCTCCACAGTCAGAGGCAAGAACTCTTCTGAATATCATTTGCTGGAAACCACATGAGGGAAGAGAGTCTTGCACTCGGGTCCTGGATGTGGGTTTCCCCCAAAAGCATTTGGGTAGCCCCTGTGAGAACAAGATGGTGGACTGGGTGGATCACTGGCCTGATCCAGCAGGCTGTTCTTACATTCTTAGGATCACCCCGCACAGCTGCACAGCTACACAGCTACACATTAAAAAGAAATCCAATTTCAAATCTCACCTTAGCAAAACTTTCAATAAGAGGCCTCTTATCTCAGACCAAGTCCCCACTGCCATATCTATGATATGGATAATAATAAAAATAATATTAATACCGGCCTATCTTGTTGTATGGAGTACTGAGGTCAAGAATGGTACATTCTTTGCCTGTGCTGCACTGCTTCAGAATGCAGGAGGGCTGACATGATTAAATGCTCCCCCGTACAAATAATAAATCACCACACACAGAAAAACCAACACGCCAGGGAGGAAAGTTAATGTTAGGCCTGACCAAGGTTTGCAACTGCACTTTGGAGTCTGGCTGGTCTGCAACTGCACCTCACACTCAGGCTGCAATGGAAACCATGACTGCCAGGGATTCCAACCACGGCTGATGTCAGCCAGGGTGACACTAGATCAGCAATAGCCAATGGGGTGTCCTCCATATGTGGACTACAACTCCCATCAACCCCAGCTGGCATGGCCAATAGCTTGGGAAGACTAGAGCTATAAGACACCACGTAGGCTACCCCGCTCTAGACTGTGTCTGCAGACAGCGGGGTGAAAGGAAGGTTAGCGCCAGCTTGACCAACCTTGCAAATCTACTCCGCCTCTGGTTGGGATGGGAACCCTGCTTTGTTGGCCTCTTGCCCATAGCTGGCATCCTGATTGGTTGGCATCCATGCCAAAATGACATCCAACCCCAGCAGGAGAGCAAAATGAAAAGGGGAGCTCCCGAGGGCTGGCTCATGATTTATGGACTACGACTCGCAGGGAGCCAGAGCTTTTTCTGCGCCAGAGCTCAGCGCCAGATGCCGGGGTCTGGCAACCAAAGGGAGCCATTTGCTTTCATGACTTTCTTTGCAAATTTCCCAGGAGCATCTGGCAGCCTGCTGCTGGAAATGGGACTAGACAGACACTTTGCTCTGATCCAGCTAATAAAGTCACACATTCATATATACATTTTAAATATTTCATTTGTTTGTCCATTTTAACAGCCAACCAGCATCTTCCTCTCACACAAATAAAACACATTTAAAAAAAATCCAGATAAAACAATTTTAAAAGGCTTAAAATGATTTGAAACCCTGAAAAGCTAGCAGTGTTTAGAAGCTGAGGGAAATGGAGAATTTTTCACTTAGTGCTGAAATGATAATGAAGCCTCCCCTTATTTTGGGCATTGATGGCAGCAAGGTAAGAGACGCACATCTCAGTGCAGGGGCAGGTTGATATCGAATTTATCATTTGGGGGGACATTTTCAGAGACTGCTGTATTATACGATCTTAGCCAAGTTTACCATCATTTAAAATCAGGAAACATTTATAACCATTGGCACCTCAGTTAAAAAAGGGGGAATCAGGTGGGAGGCAACTGACAACAAGGCTCTCTCTCCCCCCACCCCATAAATTGTCTGCCTGTTCATTTCCAGGCCCAAGTCACATTAATGTTCAAAGTCCTAAATGACTCAGGCCCTGAATATCCTTCACTACAAATCCCCTTGGGAGCCAAGATTGGCAGAAAAGCATCATGTGGTGTTATATGATTGACAGTCCACACCGGTCAAAATGGTCCACAGGGGGTGGAGGGAGTCAGGATCTGACCTGTTCGCCAGATCCAGCTGCCAACCCCAGGGATAGATGACCAGGGAGCCTTGTGAAAACGCCTCCTCTTGGGAGCAGCATGGGACGGGCGCGACAGCACTTTTTCCTCTCATGCCGTTGGGCCCGCTCTCTCTTAGATAAATTGCCCCCACCTCACTGAACAACCCTTTACCCGAAGGTTTCTTTTATTTTCCTCTTAAAATTCTACCCCAGTGTATCCTGCGGGGGGACCTTTGTGAGGGGATAACTAGTAAGTCGGAGTCTCAGACAGGTTTTCTTTAAATAAACAGTAAAGATTTATTTAAGGCAACATAGTATACAACACAAATGGGTTAAACTTAGGCTACTTCAGGAATACAGTGTGATTTCGCTTAAATTCGTCCTCAGTTGTTTTAGCGTTATAGGTTTGGTTCCTTTATGCGGTGATACTTTCTTTCAGTTATCCACCCCCTTTAACAATCCTGCTCCTGAGGTACTTTAAGTAATAGACCAGGGATGTCCAACCAGTAGATCGCGATCTACCAGTAGATCCCCAGCTGATCCTGGTAGATCGCGGGATCCTTATTGTGTACAAAAAGTTACGGGGGGGGGGGGGAGCTAAAAAAACTGTGCAACACCACACTCTGTCCTTCACAATACGCTCAGAGCAGAAGCTGCTTTTTTCCAGAACCAACTCTTTTTCCCATTAACTCTTTTTACCTCAACCTGTCTCCCTACCTATCTACCAACCTCAACTCCAACCCCCCTCAACCCCCCTCTTAACTAATTGTCTCTCTTTAAATCCTCTCCTTTTAAACTCTCCCTCCTGGAACCACGGCCAATCAGAGGCTGCCGTTCGTTAACCATTTGCTGGCAGGTAAAAACAGAAGAAGAAAAAAAACACTTGTTGATCCAACTCATGGGTAGGCAAACTACGGCCTGGGGGCTGCATCTGGCCCAATCGCCTTCTAAATCCGGCCTGTGGATGGTCCGGGAATCAGCATGTTTTACATGAGTAGAATATGTCCTTTTATTTAAAATGCATCTCTGGGTTATTTGTGGGGCCTGCCTGGTGTTTTTACAAGGAAAATGTGTGCTTTTATTTAAAATGCACGTCTAGGTTATTTGTGGGGCATAGGAATTCGTTCATTCCCCCCCCCCAAAAAAATATAGTCTGGCCCCCCACAAGGTCTGAGGGACAGTGGACCGGCCCCCTGCTGGAAAAGTTTGCTGACCCCTGATCCAACCTGTCCAGCAGAACCAACTTTTTCGTCACACAGCACAAGAAGATAAGACAAGATGGCTACCTGCCCCCGAGGCCTTCGATCCGCTGTCTCTCCTTCGGGAGCTCAGGCTTGTGATCCTGCGTCACCTCCACAGCCCGGATGAAGTCGTCCTTGGGGTCGTCTTGGACTCCGAGCACCACACCCGAGTCGCCGACGTGAGCCACGTACATCTTTGAGCCCCGGATGATGACCACGCTGGCGGTCGTCCCGGACGTGCTTGGCAGGCCGGTCATGGTCTTCGGCCACTCTGCTGCAAAGCGGGGGCGGGGAGAGAGAGAGAGGAGAAAATGGATTTTAACTTAGGCACAACATCCTGAACAAAAAGTACAGGCATAAACCAGGCCCACAAATACTCATTCCCCAAAGGGGTCAGGTGGCCTCGGTGGCCCAGAGTGCCTTCCATCAGCTTCGGCTGGTGGCCCAGCTGCACCCCAATCTGGACAGGGATAGCCTCACTTCTGTCACCTAGGCTCTGGGAACCTCTCAGTTCGATTACCTCAACGTGTTTATACATGGGGCTGCCGATGCAGAATTTGGTGACCGGGTTGCTCACTGAGACAAGACGGTTTGAGCCGATCCTAATCCGACTGCACTGGCATCCCATTAGCTTCCTGGCCCGATTCAAAAGGCTGGTTTTGACCTATAAAGCCTTAAATGGCTCGAGGACTGCCTTCATTATATATGTTTAGGTGCCAGGCGGAAACGTTCCTCTTCCATCAGGCCTTGGGCCGATTAACATATATCCTTTTAAATGTGTTTTTTTGAGGGGGGGCGGAATTGGTATGTTTTGTTCTGGTTTTTATTATTTATTTTGTTTTATCTTATATTTTAATGCTGTGAACTGCTTTGAGGCCTTTGAAGAGCACTATACTACTCCTACTCCTACTCCTACTATTACTACTACTAGCACTACTACTAATAATAATAATAATGGGGAAAGTTTCTCAGCATAAGGCCCACATTCCCTTATTTCCAGAAGCTGCATTCCAGCAGTGGGCAGGGCCAGAGTCAAAAGCAAGCGAAACCATGGAAGTGACTATTCCCCGTATCCAGTGGGCCAGTTCCCAAACCCAAAGGCCACATGCGCACCATCAACTTAAAGCACTAGCATGTGACTCTAAAAAGCCATGGCTTCTGCCACCCCTAAATAATTCTGGGAAAGGCCGTTTGTTAGGGGTGCTGAGAGTTGCTCGGAGGCGCCTGTCCCCCTCACAGAGCTTCAATTCCAAGAATAAGGCTTGTTAAACCACACTGTGGCTCCAGGAGGGGAACGGGGGGGGGGTCTCCTCACAGCTCTCAGGAAGGGGTCGCTTTTCAATGGTACAGCATCTGCTCCACGTGAGGAAGGCCCATGGGTCGGGTGAGACCCCCCCCCGCCTGAAACCCTAGAGAGCTGCTGCCAGTCAGTGTGGACAATATTGAGCTATATGGACCAATGTTCTGACTTGATATAAGGCCACTTCCTACATTTCCCAACTCTTCTGAGACACTGAGGATGCCTTTGGGGGGGCGGGGGCGAACACAACATATACACCACAAATATCACTGCACCACGGGGATTAAAGAAACAGCAGCACAACGAACTGTGTACAACCACAGTCAGCTCATGGTCAAATCCGTTTTTTGTTTGAGCCCACGCATACACAGAAGGCATGCTTAAACTCAGAGATCCAATCAAGACTTTTTGAGACACCTCTCCTCACCTCTGCACACACACACACACACACACAAACACTGGACAGATTTTTGCAGCCCCTTCTCTCTCTCTCTCTCCCTCCCCCTTGCGAACCAAATGCGCTCAGAGGAACAAAGGCAGGTCCCTCCCCTACCCCCCTGAGCCATTGGCCAGGGAACAGAGCCAAGAGTGCATCAACTGGCTGCAGCACGTGCCAATTGCCAGCCAGGATTCGGAAGCCCAGCTGCTAGGAGCAACCCTGGGTCTTGACACTGATTTTAAGCCCCTCGCTCCTTCTTGCAGCTCGTTCTTCTGCTCTGAATGCCCAGCTGCTGGGAATCGCAAGTGGGCAGATTCGCTGTTGTGTTCTTGACCTGCTTGCGGACTTCGCACAGGCAACTGGGTGACCATTGAGATGCTGGACTTGGTGGGCTTTCGGTCCGATCAACCAAGGGCTCTTTTCTTAGCTTCTTATGATCCGGAATTAACAGGAATGTACAGCCCCTGTCAGTCCTGCCTAAACCCTGATGATGATTATTATTGTTGTTGCAAGCATTTTATTTATTTAGCTATTATCTGAATCCCACTTTTCCTTCTGAGTAACAAAGCTGAAGGCAAGATCCTCAATAACCATGCAAAGCAGATGTCCATTTAAGGAGAGCTTGACTGCACCCAAGTCCACCCCGTGAGTTCACGGTTAAAGCGGAGATTTGAGTCCAGCTCTTCCAGATCCAACTCTAAGGCGGCATTCACATGGAAGCTTATTCCGTTTCCCTTATTCAGTTCAGCATTATATTTGAGCTTTCAAACAACGTAAAAGCTACTTCTTGAACTTTTAGTGGAATATAGTGCAAGTTCAGGGCTAATTTCAGTGTTATTTCTTTCCAGGAAAAGAAAAATCCATTTGTAAGTAATATGGAAATGGGTACGAAACTTGCACTATAGATTCGGAAGTGGCTTTTGGCATCATGTGAAAGCTCAAATGCAATATGTAAATGAACAGCTAAGGAAATGCCAATAAATAGAATACCTGCAAATAAAAAAATCAGGGTTTGGGCAAGAATGACAGGCACTGTACTGTACAGTGCAGTTAATTTAGGGTCATAAGAACCTAAGAAGAGCCCTGGTGGATCTGACCAAAGCCCCAGGATCACAGTGGCCAAATGGATGCCTTATAGTACTTTTCAGACCATTGGCCCACTATTGTCTACACGGACTGGCAGCAGCTCTTCAAGATTTTAAACAGGAAGTCTTTCCCAACTGTATCCCAAGATGTTGGGGACCGAACCCCATCACACACAAGAGGCTACACCTCTTTCCTAATATGACCTGCATTAAAAATGTTTTATTTTTTTTTTAAAAGAAAAGCTTCCTGTCCTATTAATCAGGAGCTCCTTTTTAGTCAGTTGAAAACATTTTGATCGATTCATCAGCTACACCTTGCAAATCTTAGCATGACTGCTGTCTTCCCAACACACAGTGTTCCCTCCCACCCAGTTCATTTATATCCCATCATTCTTCTGTGACCTGATCACAGTGCTCCAAGACCTTGCTATGCCATTGGCCGCTGAAGGCTGCCATTTTACTTTCCCAGGGCTCCCTGGTGTGACACTACACTGAGCGCGCCCCATGGCATTGTGGGGAATTTAAAATGGCACCTGGAGAGGCTGCCTCTGGATAAACTTGCAGCCAGGTGAAGGGGAGGGGAGAATAACATGGGGGGGGGCTACAGAAAGCAACCTGATACGGCCCTGATGCTATCTTATATAGCCCTGAAAAACCAGGAAAATGGGTAAGAGAAACAGACCCTAAAATGGCACACACAAACACACTCCGGTTCTGCTCTGCAAAACAATTAAGGAAGGAAATCTGAAATTTGACAGCCACGCTCCATTCTTTATGAGAACCGAGCATTTGCAATATATATTTCGGACATTCCCCTTGTTGTCACTAATTCAGTCCAGGCCTGTTTCCTGGCTACAACAAGCTGTAACCAATTTTGGCCATACCCTGTTTTAACAAAGAGCTTACAGGGGGTTTGGGATGGAGGAAGGGAGAGACAAAGGCTGAAATGCTAACCCCACTTTACCTGGAAGCCCACTGAATTCAACAGGGCTTACTTCTAAGTAGCACATGGAAGGATTGCAGCCCAAGCGAAGTAAGGAGAAAAGGGTACAATCTTATTAATGGATAGGAGCCCAGAGTTCTGCAAAGTGCTTAAAATGCACAAATGTTTCCTTTTGTGATATACACTGACAAAACGGGGCTATTAGGATATTCTGAGTTTTGTCTTAATTTTTTCTTCATTTGCACACATATCCAAGTTCAGGAACACTACTCAGCTTTCACGCTGCTAACCCCATCACATTTCAGGATCAAGGAAGGGGATAAATGACCACGAATTTCAGATAATGTACATTTTTTAAAAGGGGGAAAAGAAGTGAGAAGGCAGAATGAGCAGTGAAACAGTTGTAATGAAGAATTAAGCCTGCAAAGGGGAGGGGGGGTTAATTGCGGTGGGGTGTACAAGGTGACAACGTTACACACATTTAACCAGGAGTAAGTCCCACTGAAATAAGCAGGATTTTATTTTTATATCTCACCTTTCTTCCAAAGACCTCAAGACAGCATATGTGATTCCCCCACTCCCCCAGGTAGGTTAGACTGAGAGATGCCAAGTGGCCCAAAGTCACCCAGTAAAAACTTTCTGGCTGAATAGGGATTTGAACCCAGGACCCATGGGTCCTACTCTAATGACTACAAGAAACTTGCAAGTGCCTTAGAAGAGCACCTCTAGAGTGTGATTACAGGTGAATGGAGCTATGGACTAAAAGCACAAGCAATCCAAAATATTGGAAATTAACTGAAGAGTTACTGTATTTTTCCGTGTATAAGACTGTATTTTCTCCCAAATTTTTAAAGTTTAAAATTGGGGGTCGTTTTATACATGCAATGTTGCAATTAATTATTTCTTAATTTGGGGCTCAAAAAATATGGGTCATCTCATACATGGGAGTGTCTTATACACGGAAAAATACGGTAACTTGAATAGACTCTTGTCAACCGCCCTAGTGCCTCTGCATTCATTGACCAGTCAGGCAGGAGGAAACCATTGGCTTTCTAAGCAATCATACAGTTCTCTGGATGTTGATGGGCTTAATGCCATCAGCCCCAGCCAACACATTTAAGGATGATGGGAGCTGGAGTCCAAAAACATCTGGACAGCCACAGGTTGCCCACCCCTGGCTGAAAGTTATATGAAACCACGGGTCAACAGTTCCATGTGAAGATGAAATTCTGCCTATTCGCAGATGTGTGCAATTACTTTGTAAGCGAGACCCAGTCAACGCTTCCTCTACACACAAAGTCCCAGCTCTGAAGTCCGGTTCCATTCATGTGTTCACCCCAGAGATCAACAGGATTTGGCACCAAGCAAGCAGGAACAGAACTAAGGCCCAAGCCAACATCTACTCCCCATTTGGACATACTCCTCCCTACTTGAGTGTTCATAAAACTGAACAATTCTGCAGGTGATTAATTTCGGAATAAGCCCCACTGGGGTTAGGCTCCCCTTGGGAAAGGGGCTATAACTCAGTGGTTGAACATTTGCTCTGCATGCAAAGGTCTCAGGTTGGATCCCCAGCATCTCCAGCTAGTAGGGCTGGTAAATATTCCTGTCTGAAATATTCCTGTCTGAAATCCTGGAGTGATGCCGACAATACTGAGCTAGGTGCCAGTGTTAGAAACAGGTAAAATCACCAAATGGCTCCTTAAACCTGGGTTATGGTCAACACAATTAAATGTCTAGGTACCATGGGGGGGCAGTGAGATTTATTATTGTTATTAGTTTCATTTCTATACTGCTTTATAGTTTAAACAAAAAAAACTCAAAGTGGTTTACAACACATTAAAATATCAAATAAAACAATCCAGAATAAAACAAAGCCAAGCTTCAAGGAAAATATTTCAGATCCTTCTCTAATTGACATTTTGCTTTCCCCATGTTTATTTACAGTACCTACTTAATTTATATAGCTGCTCCACAGCAGGAGGACTCTGGGAAGCCAGTGTTAAAGTGTTGGACTAGGACCTGGGAAATCAGGGTTCAAATCCCCACTCAAGCTATGAAGCTCACTCACTGGGTGACCTTGGGAGTCAAGCACAGCCTCTTAACCTACCTCACAAGGTTGTTGTAGGGATTAACTGAGGAGGGGGTGGGTGAGCCATGTACTCTCTGGGGGGAAAGGTGGGGTATGAATGCAGTAAATAAGCTCTTCTGCTTACTTGCTTAAGAAAGCTGGAGAGGCCAGCCAGAGTGAGATGTTAATTGCCAACCTAGCATCCAGAGATCTCCATGGACCTGTGCCATTAGCAAAATGTGCCTGGTGCCTGACTAATTTCGAACACTGGTGGACCCCAATGGTCTAACTCAGCTTAAGGCAGCACCTGAATTCCTGTATTCCCACTCAATGCAGTAGGACACATTTCCTAGGCAACACACACAGGATCCAGCTACATGTTTGAATATGCAAGTCACAACTTTTTTTTATTGGCAGGTCAGAAATTCAGACAATCTATTATCAATAATACTATTTTTTTAACTAACCCCCCCCCAATCCTATCCAATGCATGATGCATAAAAAAAATTAATCCAAATGCATCGCTTGTAACAGCAGCCCAAAATAATACTATCCAATTTAGCCCGAGTCAGATTTAATCAGGATCTCTCTTCCCTTATGTGAATGCTACAGAAAGGAAGTAAAAACCTGGAGCTACTTTAATTCCAGGAAAGGAGGTGTCACGGAAGATGCTCCCCAAAACACAGACACACACAATGGAGGGAGCCCCTCTGCCATTGTAAATCCATTTGAGGGAGTAAGCTTCATTGAAAGCAAAACAATTAAATAACAGAATGAGTAACTCAGTGAGAGCTACCTCTGAAGTAGGCGTGAACAGGGGAGGACTTTGAAGCTGGCACTATAACACTGTGTGGCACAACATCCAGTATCTCTCTGAATCCTGTACGACTTACTTCCAAGGAGACCTGCACAGGCTTGCAAGAAAACGTGCTGCCATTCTGGAAATCCCACTGGATTCCACCAGGAAGATGACAGCCGGTTGCATCTAGTGTTCTACTTAGAGTCTAGCCACTGAAATCAAAGGGGCACGACTAAATCAGGTCTATGTCTTTCAATGGGGAAAAGAATTTAGTTGGATACATCCTTAGACAACTCCATAGGAGTTAATTCTGAGACGCTGCCCATAGCGGTGCGAGGCTTTTGCTCATTTACCTGGGAGCAAGCCCAATTCATAGAAGACAAACGCCTTCCTCCTGAGTAAACCTGCATCTATCCGGAGCAGCAGTTGCAATCCGAACCCTACTTACCCGGGAGTAAGCCCCACTGAACTCAAGCATGGCAGGGTTAGGATTGCGTTGTATAGTAGGCAATCCGAACCTCACTTACGGGAGGAGAGGGGGCAAGCCCCAGTGAATTCAGTAGGCCTTACTTCTGAACAAGTATCGTTAGGATTGCGCCCTTACTCCCGAGGAAACTCCGGCGCACAGTCCTGCTGTCATCGTACACCCATTTACTTGGCTGCAAAGCAAGTCCCGCTGTCTATATAGGGGGAAGCTGCGATGGGGGGGAAAGGTAAACAAACAAACAAACGTGGGGAAGGGGGGGTAAACAAACAAACAAACAAGGCGATGTGGGGTTTACAAGCAGCGAAGGGCAGCAGTAACTCACGCAGCTTCTTCCACATGGCCCGGTGGCAGGCGAGGAAGCCCTTGCGGAGGGCGGCGCAGACGGCGGCCGGCTTGTGGGATCGGAAGCCCTTCTGCTTCTTGATGAAAGGCCAGAGGTTCTCCCGGGCGAAATGGGCCGCCTCGCGCCCGCCGTGCCCATCGCAGACGGCGAAGAAGGCCACCGAGCGGTCGCCGCCGCCGCCATCATCCCCGCCTAATGCTCTGCCGCCGCCGCCGCTCGCTGCGCCCATCCCCGACGCCGCCTCTGGCTCCGGCTCGACCAAGATGCGGGTGACGTCCTCCATGTATTTCCTGCCGCCTTGGTCCGAGAAGAGGCTCACCCCCAGAGAGCAGGGACCCTCCATGCGGGGAGATCGGGCCGCCCCCTCTGCCTCCTCCCGACGGGAACCAGGCTGCGGCCGCCGCGGCCGCCCCCCCACCTCCTTCCTCCGCTTTATCCCTTCTTCTTCTCCTCCTTCCCTGCTCCCCTGAAAAGCCTAGAGATGATCCGCGCTCGGCTTCTTTCTTTTGATGCCCCCTCCTCTCCCCCCCCACCAAATCAATCAATCTCTCTCTTTCTCTCTCTCCCGGCCGGCGGTGACTTTATTGTTTATGACCGTCGGAGGAAGAGGAGGAGCCGCGGCGACGGCGGCGGCGCTGGCAGGCGCTGTCCAGGCATGCCCTGTTCTGGTTCTCCCTCTCCCCGTCTCTAACCCTCCGCGCGGGCGGCTCGGAGCGCGATGTAGCAAAAGGCGGAACAATCGCCGCTTCCGATAGAACGCCGGGGAGGTTCGACGTTCCAAGGGAGGAGCGGGGGGCGCGCCTCGCGTGCACTAGCCTCCGCCTCCCCCGCCGAAAAGGGAAAACGAGGGAGGCGCGCGCAAAGGACAGATTTGCCAGTTCTCCCTGTTGCTCCTTCCTCCCACGCGCTGACACTCAAATTTTTTCATGTTGTGTTTTAAGGACCTCCTTGTAATCTAGGCAGAAGATGGAATGGGTTGGCGGTTACAGTGTTGTTAGTATTTTTAAATTAATATTTATTTGATCGTTGGATTTGTTAGTCGCTTTACCTTACTCCAAAGGCAGCGGAAAGCGAAGCAAAAATAACCCCATATTAAAACTTGGGGGAGGAAGATATGCGTTCCAGACACCCCGCACACCTCTCAAAAGCCCTACAGATAAAGGATAACCGAGGACCCTTGTCATAGAAGAAAGCTTTTGTCTGGCGTTGATTTTTTTTAAATTTTATCGTTGTACTCCGCCTTGATCCGTTTTTACAGGACTCAGGAGTGCAAGTTATTGAATTCATAAACAAAACATTAACATTCCATTGTTAAAGAGTATATTTTAATTCATATTATTATTATTCTGTAATTAATATTTGTTACGATGGATTGAAGTATCATTATTAAAGCATGCTTTAATTCGTGTTATTATTTTTCTTCTTTAGTCAATATTTGTTGTTATAATTCATGCATGCATTGTGCAAGAAGTGGCCTTTTTGGAAAACGTTATCCCAAGTTGTTCGAAACCATGTATATATTGTTTTATTCAATAAAGTTTTCTTTGACTTATTTTTTTTAACAAAAAATAGTTTGATTCAGGTTAAAAGGTGTTTGCCTTTGATTTTTAAAAATTATTTTAATGGCATAATGAATTCATATTCATGAAGCTTTCTTGGCAGGGTCTCTGCCTTTAACCTCTTACTTGTGCTATGGTAACAACATATAACAGAAATATTTAGAAATTTGAATTTTTAAAAATTGTAATCAAAACAATGGGGTAGGATCTATACTTAGCCATATTTAAAGTACACATACTCATGATAACACCCCGACACTCTCACACACTAATTAGACTACAACAGGCTCCAGAAATTGTTAGTCTTATGACTGTCTTGGCCTTGTTACATACACAGTGGTTAGAATGATGGACGGTGAGGAGCTGCAATATGTTTTATGTGCCTGTGACACAGGGCCCTACCTTCCAGTTAAAATTATGATAATTAACCTTTGATATAGTTGACAACAGTCTGCCCTGCTTGCGTTTAATTTCCCTCTGACCAAACTGCTTGCATTTTTTACTACTTTGTGTGTGTGTTTATAATTGGGCATGGATAATACACTCCATGCAGCTGATGATGTGGACACTATTTCACGAAAGCCTATTATGCCATAATAATATGTCATTCCCATTGAGCTCAGTGGGACTCCCTTCCCAGGGTCATTAGGTATATGACTTCAGCCTCAGTCGTTAAGGTGTTACAAAACACTATGTTTCTTTATCTTTTTACCTGAGGCTCTGCAAATAACAGGTTTGACAGGTCTCTCTGTCCAACAGGGCTTGCAATCAAAAACTAGACAAAACACAGGAAGGTTTGTAACTTGGCATCTTACCTGGCTTTGTCACAACCAGAAACTTGCAACAAGGTGTGTTGAAAAGCGACCTGGATATCTCAAAAGTGCTAGATACCCTTTTAATTTACTTATTAAAATGTATATGCCGCTTAATAAAAAAATATATATCCTAAGTGGTTTAACATTAAATGATTCAGATTGTTTATTTAAAAATAGCAATAAAAACAGACTTAAAAACTGGTGACATAATACAGTTAACAAAATATAGATAAAATCAATGATTTTTAAAAACAATTGAACATAACAAGGTTTCACATATGAGTAGGCTTACCTAAATCAAAAAGTTTTAAGTAGGTCTCAAAAAACTAAGAAAAAAAGGTGCCTGCCTGGTAATAATAGGGCTGTAATGTTTAATCAGTTAGGTTGGTGATTTTTGCGACGGGGCAATGAGGAGAAAAAAGCTTAACTGACTCAGAAGGTGCCCTTAATTAATCGGACAGCAGATTGTTGTTTAAATAAGTTAGTCTTAATAAACGCAATCCTAAAAACTGTAAATAACAAACATTATTTTATGAGAAGTATTCACTCATTGTTTTTAAAAAAAGTTTATAGTCTCTAGGTTTTGTACATCCTGAGATATGATGCAAAATGTACCAGCACTCTTCTTAGTCAGTTCTGTGAGAAACTAGCTGTTGGTATATGTATTACACTTGTGTATTTTACAAAGAATGAATTAAAAAGGGGCAAGACAAATTCATGGAGAATGTGGCTGACCACAATGGCTATGTTCTCCCTGTGATAACAGGATACTGCACTCAACAGATCCTGATCCAGCAGGGATTTTCTTATCTTGCAGACATTTTTCTAGGACTTCTGTTCAGCCAATGAGGGGAATCAGATGCTGGACTGAATGGTCCTTCGCAATTATGTTTTTATTAGTTATAATATTTTGGGATGGACCCTACACCTTCAGAGGCAGTCTACCTCCGAATAGCAGCTGCTAGGGACATACAACAGGGGCGGGCTACTGCCCTCAGCTCCTGCTTATAACAGACATAAAGCTGGCGCTTCTTGGAAATCTATCCGCCAGACAAAATGGATCGTTCTCTGAGCCCAGGAGGGCTAAGCAGGAAGATCCATTGCTTGCAAGGAAGCAAACCTTTCAACCTCTTTTCCGCCACTCTTCCCATCATTCCGCGAGAGCCCCGGCGGAGAAGACTAAAACGTACAAAATACGCCGACCAATCAGAAGTGAGGGAAGGCGGGCGAGGTGAAAGAATAGTTCCGTGCGCGCCTGCGTGAGACGGATGAGGACTTGAGCGCGCCCCGATACGTTAAAGAATGTTTGGGCGGCCAGTTTGTGCGGGAGCCGGCTAAGCTGTTCCTAAGGCAACGAGGTGCAAGCAATCGAACTCAGATGTCTAGAACAGGAAATGAGAGAGGAAAAAGGAATAATATAGAACTAAAGCGAGATGAGCCCCGCAACACCAGAGTCGTTCGCGACTGGACTTAACTGTCAGGGGTCCTTTACCTTTTTATAGATATTTAAGTGGTGATAGTTTGCCATAGGTATAAGTAGCGAGCGATAAATACGATATCGAGAAATACCTAAAACTATAGCTATATATTAGGATGTAATCATCATCATCATCATCAATTACTTATACCCCAGCCACTCTGGACGGCTTCCAACAAGAGATTAAAAATACATTAAAACATCAGTCATTAAAAACTTCCCTAAACAGGTCTGCCTTCAGATGTCTTCAGAATATGCTTCCTTCTGCCTACATATATGATAGATAAGGCTATTGTCTGTTGCCGAAGGACTTTTTGAAATTCAGTATACAGTATTTATATCCTGCTTTTCCTCCAAGGAGCACAAGATGGCTACCCAATTCCTCCCTCTCCTTGATTTGTTTTTTTCTCTCTTCACAACAACCCTGTGAGGTAAAATAGGGTGAGAGGTATAATGACTGGCCCAGGGTGAGCTTCAGGATTAAACTAGGCTTTGAGTCTTGGACTCTGAAATCCTAGTTTTACATCCGTTGCGGAGAGTTACAGCGCCTGCTGTACAGGTTACAGCAACATTTTCTGTGCTCTTTCAATAAAGATTGTAAAGTATCCAAGCGCTTGAAATCACACATGACAACCAACACCTGTATACGCACAGTTGACAGGATGGAGAAAAGCAACCTTTTGGCTGCCTTAATTTTGGGCACAGTAGGATGGTAAAGTGCTAAGCATAAAGGATTACTAGTGAGTATGCATCACCAGCAAGTCATTGTGTTTCACTGGCAAAATACGTGGGCCGTGGCAATCAGGCCTCTGTTAAAGACCCACTGTGTAGTCTTGGGCATGTGACAATAATGCAGTCTCAGTTCTCCAGACTAAAATTGGAGCAAAGGTCACCACAATGTTGCAAAAATTGCAAGATTTAAAACATGAAGTAAGGAGTTTTTTTAATAAATGGTAAGTAATCACATATTGACTTGTTGTATACCTTCGATGCCAAAGCACTAGCTCTCAAGTATGTGATTCTCTTTATGTCATGATCATAATTCTTGGATTTGCCAGATGGGAAACAAATAGGGCAGGCATGTGTAGCAGGGAAGGAGGGGCATCTGGGTACACTTGCCCCAGGCCTCAAAGGGCTAAGCTGGCAGAGGAGCTCCACAAGGGGCCTGCCATACTTATGCTGTCATGCCAAGAATGCCCCATTTCTCTCAGCTGACCAGAGAGTTAATGGGCGAAACAGCCAGTGGTGAAATGCCCATGCCTGTCTGTATGCACTGCAAGTCTTCAATAGTAACATCTGGACCTGTGTTACCATGTCCTAACATGCAGCATCAGATCAACTTAGATGGCAGTGTCGTGCTGGCACATCTCATGGATAAGACTCCCGCCTCATGCCTCAGACAAGCTCTGCACGGGCCTGAAATAAGGTATTATTTGCCTAACAGCACATACCTTTGCTCTAACTTGGGGCTAGGCAGGACATTTTTTTAAATTGAAGCAGGGAGCGTGGCTGCTCAGAATGCAATAAAGCAGTGGCCTGATTCTGGAAGAAAACCAAAGGCTAGAGGTTGGCTGAGACAACTCTGCCCCTTGCTCAGAGGCTCTGATTTCCATATACTGTATTTAATGGTTGTAGTTCAGTGGTAGAGCATCTGTTTTTCATGCAAGAGGTCCAGGTTCAATCCTTGGCATCCCCAGCTGGGCTGAGAGTGCCCTCTACCTGAAACCCTCTGTTCACTGAATCACAGAATTTGAAGGGACCACAAGGATCATCTAGTCCAACCCCCATGTAAAGCAGGAATATTTTTGCCCAACATGGGGCTCAAACCCACAACCCTGAGACTGAGAGTTATCATGCTCTACTGACTGAGCTATCCAGGTGTTGATTATCTTCCACGGTCAAGAATTGTTATATTGAAGGAACAGCAGCTGAGAAAGACCCAAAATGAACTTTGTACATGTTCAGAAACCAAAGGTTGAATCCAATGTTAGTCCTACTCAGAGTAGGCCATACCTTAGGCCCTTTAATTTAAATGGGGCTACTCTGAGTAGAGCTTAGTTGAATACCCCACCAGATAGCTAGATCTATCTCCAGGGCTAAGCAATATTTTTGCAAACAGTGGGAGACAAGTCACGACTCAAATCAAGCCCAGGACAGCTTGTCACTTAGTTCTACTGCTTAGCTTAGCTTAGCTTAGCTTAGTTCTACCTCTGCTTTCCAAGAAGCTTCCCAATCCTACAACCTAAACTAGTTCAATGCACATGTCGTGTGTGACTACCAGTACACTAACTAAAATGTTGCACTGTGGTAGTCAGCAACTTTTGCAGCACAGTTCATGTACATTTCCATGAACTGTGTGCACACCATACATTTAAATAACAAGTTCCCCAAAGAATCCTTAGAACAGCAGTTTACCTCCTCAGAGAACTAGAATCTCCAGCACCCTTAACAAACTACAATTCCCAGGATACTTTGAGGGAAGTTTTAAACATGCTTTAAATGTTCACACTGTGTCACCATACTCAGCTCCATCTCTGAATATAAAGATTGTGGTCTTGTTGTTGTGAATGTTATTAATATATTACAGGTTATTGATGTGCCTGACACTCTTCTGACGCAAGACTGTCTCTGCCCCAAGAGCTTGCAAGCATGGGAAATAAGAGGCAGTGAAAGATAAAAGGAATAATCTGTGACACTTAAGATTTTCTTACAGGCTTAATTCAAATACAGCAAGGAAGGGGAGCCTGTGGTTCTCCAGATGTTGGACTACAAGTCCCTTCAACCCGGACCACTGGCTGTTGCTGGTTGGGGATGATGGATGTTGTAGTCCAATAACATCTGAAGGCTCACAGGTTGCCTCACCTTGAAGTACAGCATTGTAACCAGCAGGTTGAGCCAAAGGCTTTTCTGAAAAGTAAGCTTTGGTAGTAGTAAGAAGGTAAAGGGACCCCTGACCATTATGTCCAGTCGTGACTGACTCTGGGGTTGCGGTGCTCATCTCGCTTTATTGGCCAAGGGAGCCGGCGTACTGCTTCCGGGTCATGTGGCCAGCATGACTAAGCCGCTTCTGGCGAGCCAGAGCAGCGCACGGAAACGCCGTTTACCTTCCCGCTGGAGCGGTACCTATTTATCTACTTGCACTTTGACGTGCTTTTGAACTGCTAGATTGGTAGGAGCAGGGACCGAGCAACAGGAGCTCACCCCGTCACGGAGATTTGAACCACCAACCTTCTGATCGACAAGTCCTAGGCTCTGTGGTTTAACCCATAGCGCCACCCGCGTCCCTTCCGTAGTAAGAAAGATGGTGACAAAAAGGGGTTTGGGGAGATACTCCCAAGCATCAAAGTCATCTTAGGAATAAGGTGGCTGGTATCATGTACAAAGGGTGCGTTTAAATACACGTTGACGTTCCCAGATGTTGTCACACCACTACAAAGGAACATGAGAAGCTGCCTTATACTGAGCCAAACCACTGGTCTATCTAGCTCAGGGGTCAGCAACCTTTTTCAGCTGTGGGCCAGTCCACTGTCCCTCAGACCATGTGGTGGGCCGGACTATATTTTGAAAAAAATATGAACGAATTTGCCCCACAAATAACCTAGAGATGCATTTTAAATAAAAGGACACATACTACTCATGTAAAAACAAGCTGATTCCCAGACCATTCGCGGGCTGGATTGAGAAGGCGATTGGGCCGCATTCGGCCCACGGACCTTAGGTTGCCTACCCCTGATCTAGCTGAATGATGTCTGCACTGGCTAGCAGCAGCTCTCCACGTTCCAGTCCCAACCTACTGAAGATGCCAGGGATTGAACCCAAGACTTTCTGCAAGCAAAGAATATATCTGCCACAAAGCTACAGCTCTCCCCTATAAATTAAGTTTCCAGTCCACATGGTTCTGAATAAAGGACTGACTGAAAGCTGAGACAGACCATTGGTCCATCCATCTCAGTAATGTTTATGCTGACAGACAGTAGCTCTCCAAGATTTCAGACAGGGTTCTGTCGCAGTCTTATCTAGGAATGCTGGGGATTGAACTGTCTGTACGCAAAGCAGTCCATCTATCACTGAGCTATGGCCCTTCTCCTAATAGGACATCAGATCTACCACACACCTGGACAGCTCTTCAGAAAGGTGAGGAAAAATTCCACTTGTAGTTTGTAATGAGAAGGCACAGCACATATTTGAGGATCTTGGAGATGTTTTTCTTAAGGGTGCACTCTACACATGCCTGGGGGAACTATGTACAGAGGTCCTTTTTGAAAAAGATTTGTTTTCGCTTTGAGGAAAGACACAAGTTTAGGAACAGTTTTTCCTCTGTACCCTTAAGAAACTTATTTTTCCTTTGTTGATGCTTTTAACTTTACCATCTTCAAAATTTAAGCTTGGAGACCTCTTTGATTGTACTGCAACCCTTTCTTTTAGAAAAGCAAACAAACTACAATCTTTAAATCTGCAACCCTATGGAATGTGCTGCAACCTATTAACAACAGGAATTTATTAGTAATAATAGTAACAAATAATAACTTAGCAGTACATATCGTTACTAATATTAAAGTTGACAACCTTTAAACTGACAACCCTGTGGACCGTCTTATAATATTTTTTCTCCCACCCCCCTTTTGATTTTAAAATCTGGACTAAAAGGGATGAGGATAACTCATTTTTTTGTACCAATGTGCTTCCAAACTATACAGAAGAATTTCGTTTTCATTTTTTTAAGAGTTAACATTGCTGTTTTGTTTCTATTAAGAAAAACAGAACAATTCTGTTCTTTCATTTCTATTGTGAAAAATAAAACAATTGCTATTTTACTTTATTAAGAAAAAAACCAGGGTTTTGTTTCGTTTTCAAAAGTTAAAGATGCATTATTATTTTTAATGTTATGGGCGGGGGAGGAATAAAAGAAGTCACTTTGCTATTTTATTTTACTAAAATTGAAAAAATTCTCATTAAGTATTTTTATTCTCGTTGTTCTTGTTGTTGTTCCTGCAGGCGCACTCTTCCACTAACTCCCGAGACAGACGGATACCAACCATATTATTATTATTATTATTATTATTATTATTATTATTATTATTATTTCATTAGAAGCAGCAGCAGTGAAAAGACCGCAGCCACCGGGTCACACGCCAGAGGAGAGAGAAGCAGCGCGAGACCCGCGGCCTCGGCCTTTCCCCTCAGACCTCCTTCTCCCCTTCCTCGCGCTCCCTTCCTCCTTTTCCCTCCCTCCTTCCTTCCTTCCTTCGTTCCTTCCTTCCCTCCCTCCAAAGCGGCAGCAGCAGCAGCGGCGACGGCGCCCCCAGCGGCTCCCTCCCGAGCAGGCCTCGCCCCGCCGCCGCGGCCTGAGGCGAAGCAGCCGCCGCCGCCGCCTCATCAGCAGAGAAGGCGCTGAATCCCCCGTCGCCTCGCCTGGCTGGGAGGCGGAGCGAGCAGGAGGCCCCGAGCGAAGCAGCAGGCCGGCCCGAGCCCGGGAGCAGCGCCGGCGGGAGGCGGGCGAAGAGGCAGGCGTCGCCGCCGCCGCCGCCGGCCTCCCTCTCTCTCTCCCTCCATCCACCCCTCTTCCGCCCGCCCGTCCCTCGCTCGGCACAGGCAAGATGGCGGCCGTGGAGCTGGAGTGGGTGCCCGAGACGCTCTACAACACCGCCATCTCGGCCGTGGTCGACAGCTACGGCCGGGCGCGCCGCAGGGACATCCGCTCCTTGCCCGAGAACATCCAGTTCGACGTCTATTACAAGGTGGGCAAGGCCGGCGCCGGGCCGGGCCGGGGGGGACGGACCCCGCCATAGGGCTGAGGGGAGGAAGGGAAGGGGGCACCCCCTTGATTGTATTTGGGGGGTCCGCGCAAGGGCGGCACTGAGGAGCGCCTCTCTTTCCCCCACCCCCGCCCTGTACCGCTTTCCCAATTTGGGGGGGAAGGAAGATGGCTGCAGCCCAGCCCATTTTCGCCTCGGCCTTCCTTCTGCATCCAGCCACCCATTTCCCCAAACGGGAGCTTTTCCTTCTGCCGTCCGAGTGGACTCCCCCCCCCCCGAAAGCCATGCCTCCCCCCTTGCTCCTAAAGCTATTACTTGCGCCCCCTCCCGCTGTCAGATTTGGAACCCCCATCCTTATTTGTTTTGCTCAGGAAGCGTCCCAACAGTTTCTTTGCCCCCCTCTGTACGTTTCAGAAGGGGGCTCTGTTTGCTACTCGCATTTTATTTGCAACCCACGCCCCAGGAATCTTGTTTTTACCCATCGCCTCCTCCTGCTCCTTCAAATGGGGTTTGCACCCCCTTCTGAATGACCAGTATTTCAGAATTGGATTTGCTCATGTAAAAAACAACAACCACCATCCTCTTTGCTTGCGCTCCCTCACTGTAGAATGTGGACCCTCAGAGAATGTATGTTGCTTATTTACCCCACTCCCCGTTATTTGGCTTTTTCTCCCCTTCACTGCAGAGCTTGCCCCGTGTAGAATCGCTTTTTAGACCCTACCCGGAGTATTTTCACCATTTCTTGGAACAATACTCACCATCATTATAGTACCTCTCACTGTGATCTCTTTTTTATTTTGCCCCTTGCAACCCCCCCAAAAACCAACCCCCTTCTTTGCTGCCTTTTCCAGAATTTTCCTTCTCAAAAACTGACTGCCTCCCATTCCAGTTTTGCACACCCATCCTAGGCAAGTGCCCTGACACCCCCCAAAAAAATTCCTTGATCCTTTCTTTTATGTGCTCTTCTTACCCTGTATGTAAGCACCCATTCTAGAATTTGTCCCCTAGAAAAAACTAGTATCACTTTTTGCCCCACACCCCTTTCCTCCAGAACTTGGAACAGATTTATGTCTCAGATTTGGGGGGCACTTTCCAACCAGGCCTGTTGGGGCAGGGTGATGGTAGCAGTTAAGTCTGCATAGGAGCCTAAGCTTGCAATCCTGACTCCACTTATCTGGGGGCAAATCCTGTTTAATTCAGCAGGACTTGCTTCTGAGTAGATATGGTTAGGAGGATTGCACCATAAATGTGTAATTGATATCTCTCTTTCTAACCCTCGACTGCAGAGGATTAACTAGACTGAGTACTGTTTTGTTGGAGTGGGGTGTCATAATCAGCACTGCTGTGGCTGTGTGTTTCCAGTGTTGGTGTTTTTCTTGAGAGTGTAGAATGCTTTGTGATACAATGATGTTGGATTACGCTGTCTTGCCTAGACTCTATTGGGAGCAATAGAGAGAGATTTGTGTCCCTCGCCTCACTTCGGTTTGTAGAACTGGGGTGCTGAAGAAAATAAGGATTTATTCTCTCTCAAGTTTCTCATGACAGCTGGAGTTCTTAATCAGAAGTACCCTTTTAATATAAAGACTGCATGCTTTTCATTTTTCCTAAAATCGCCATCTCAGGTTAGTTTTATTGCTATTTGTTTTGCCATCCAGTTAAATATTCAAAGTGGTCCTTTGAGAATGTCAACTTTATAGATCAAGGGCAAGTCGAAGGATGCCTGGTATTTTCCTAGAGTTTGTATTCTATAAGCTGCTCTGGGTTGCGTGTAGAGTCTCCGCTTCCATCATTCTTCGATGTTAATCTTATTGTTTGTTATAGAGCAAATTGCTCTGTGGTGTTTATCCAGTGTTCTTTAAAAGACAAAGAAAAGTAATACTCATTATGGGTCTATTCTTGATAGTGGAAAAATAGGTTCAACTTCTACCTACACGTTTTGGGGTGGTGGGTATACTAACGTGTGCCCCTGCTTCTTAAGAAGGCAGAAAGAATAATAATTGATTCCATCCCCACCTTCCCAAGCCTTAGCATATGAGAATTGTTTTCCAGTCCTTCTGTATGTGAGCTTTTAAAAAGGTGTCTCGATAAAAGGCACCCCCCACTTTCATCATTGACCTAGTCTAGAAGGACAATCAAACAGGAACAGCACTGTAATGGGATCCATTTATGTCACTTCCAGATACCCTCTACCTTAGATATTGGGGGGGGGGAGCCATTTAAATATTCACATTTTAGCCACTGAATGGACAGAGCTTTTGGTTCAAGGGAGGCTTTTCACTCACCATTTCCAACACAAGAGAATCTTAGTTTCTGCAAAAGGCACCCCTTCGAAAGAAAGTAGTATATATTTATTTGTACGCTGCCTTTTTCCTTGATGAGACTCAAGGCATCTTATAGATAAAAATAAGAACTGCTAAAACATAGAAAAATCAATCAAACATAGAATGAAATGGAGATTAAAGCTGTCCCTTGATAGGATAGAGCTGCTGCATTTGGAAATGCAAGGATGAGCCTTGTCAAAGGCAGGGAAATCTGCAAACGTATATGTTGGCTGGAGTTCATATATCATATCCCCATTTATGTCATAGAATCATTGAACTGTAGACTTGGAAGGGACCATAAGGATCATTTTGTTCAACTCCCTGCAATGCAGGAATCTTTTGCCCAACACAGGGCTCAAACTCATGGCCCTAAGATTAAGATTTTTATTCTGTACTGACTGAGGTATCCCAGATGAGGAAAGCTGTGAATGCTAAGTGGGCATTTCAGCAGGTTTCATTGCTTTCATGTACAGTGGTGCCCCGCAAGACGAATGCCTCGCAAGACGAAAAACCCGCTAGATGAAAGGGTTTTCCGTTTTTCGATGCGCTTCGCAGGACGAATTTCCCTATGGGCTTGCTTCGCAAGACGAAAATGTCTTGCGAGCCTTGAGATTTTTTTCGCTCCCCCCCTTTTTCTAAGCCACTAAGCCGCTAATAGCCTTTTAGCCGCTAAGCCTTTAATAGCCGCTAAACCGCTAATAGCGCTAATCCGCTAAACCACTAATAGGGTTGCTTCACAAGACGAAAAAACCGCTAGACAAAGAGACTCGCGGAACAGATTAATTTTGTCTTGTGAGGCACCACTGTACACCAGGAATGGGAAACCTTTGGTTCTCCAGGTGTTGCTGAACTGCAACTCCCATCAGTCCCAGCAAGTGTGGCCAGCAGCCTAGGGTGATGGGAGTTGCAGTTCAGCAATATCTGGAGGGCCAAAGGTTCCCAACCCTAGTTTTAGATTAATTTATAATCATACAGCTGGGATAGCCAAGTAATTCATTTGCTATTCTCTTGTGGCAGGCAGTGGTCCAGTTTCTAAGCCATGAATTGGGTGGGACAGGGGGTAGAGGAACTTGTCACTGAGCAAAGGAAGTCAGACCAGATGCCCTTCCAGCCCCATTCCATTTGATCTGTATCTCCTGATAGTTACTCATGAGTGATGTACATTTTTAACTGTATTTGTGAATGACGCTGTCACCTAGCAGAAAGTATGCCACAGTTCAGATTCCTAGTTCTTCTCATAATGATGGCCTTGAGCAAGGTGTTTTGTCACATCTCTGCTTGTGATCTGAAGGACATTTCAGAGGAACTTTCCAAACCATATTACAGAAGTTACTGGCCCACAAAATAATGTTAATAGAACTCACAGCTCTGGAAGGGGGGTGGGAGAGAAAAACCATCTTCCTTCTCACTTACAAAAGTTTGTTTGCTTTAATCCCTGGTGATTATTCTGACTCACCAAATGACTATTTATAGGCCTGATTTTAAAAATGTGTATTTTCTACCACTCTCATTATTTCCATATTAGTGTCCGGATTGTTTTTCCATGGATAATTCTTTTTCTGCACTTTAAAAGTAAGAATTTCAGAATACATGCATTGCTTCCACAGTCTTCTGGCTGCATATATTCATAAAATGACAAATGCAGATTCCAAGATGTCTGCAAAACTCACTGCTGTTACCCAGCCTGTGCTGTAGTTCACATAAATCCAGCATTTTAGGGCACTGACTATTCTTTACATGTCTACTCAGAAATAAGGCGCAAGCTCTTTTTTCAGCCATAAGCCCAAATCCTTGAGCCTGATTTGAAAATGAAGCTGGTTCACAATGTCACATCTAGGGTGCTGTGCAGAATACATACCTAACGCATGTGTTTACAAGAACATCACAGGCTGCTCATTAGCTACTGAGCCATGTACAGGATTCTGTTATTAACATCCAAAATCATGAAGAACTTCAGACCAAAACACCTAGGGCACCATATTCCCCTGAACGTACCCAGTTGATCATTACGGTCATTGGAAGAGGTCCTATTGGCCATGTCATGGCTAGCAGATCAAGTGACAGCGTGGAAAGCAAACTTCTTGAAGTGGCACCAACCCCCGCCATACAATTTGAAAGGCATTGACACTGATGTGTTTTGGGCACCTACTGAAAACGTACTTGAGCATTTCCTGACCATTTTTAGATGGCACACCTCAGTATTTGTTTTACCCTTTAGCATTTTGCTTTAGTGTCTCGATCCCTTCCCAACATAACTCTGCTGAAGAGCATCTGGTTTGCATGCAAAAGGTTCCAGCCTGGCATCTCCAGGTAGTCCTGAGAATGTCCCCAGTTTGAAACCCTGCAGAGCTGCTGCCAGTCAGTGTAGACAGTACTGGACTAGATGTACCAAGGGTCTGACTCCTTATAAAGCAGCTGTCTATTCTCCTATGATTCTTATGGATAGTACATATTTGCATTTTGTTTATATTCTAGCCTTTTGATTTTATGGTTTTTACTTTATAACCCATTTAAGAGATTGCCTCCACCCAGGGAATATTTTGAGGAATAGCAGTCTACTGTAAAGCTATCATACTCATCTCTCCATTAGGCATTTAGACATCCCTTCCCATACTTCTAGTCTGATATATGTAATGTTTGTGCATTAACTTAGGTCATCTGGGATACAGCAAGTGGTATGGATTCTGAATCCTTGTTTAATCAAATTTATGGACAAGTTTCCCCAAATCACTGGTGGTTTCTCTTGTGTCCTAAAGGTTTCATCATAATCTTAATAAGTACTAAAAGCTATTTCATTTTTTTTTAAAAAAAGTTTTATATATTAAACACTCCTTAAATTTATTAAACAAATGCCTGTTTGTTTAATAGCCTTAATAGCCTATATTCCCCTGTAATGTTTATATTTTAAGGAAACAAATGAAGGAACTGAAAACTCTTAACATATTAATTTAACCGCAGTGAGTAGTCACTGGGGATAAGTCATCTGGGAGCAATGTTAGTATGCAACTTTGCAATTGTCCAGTGCAACTAGTATTGCATTTATCCCTTTATGTAACGATTTGGTGTTTTTGAAACAGAGGCAAGGTGGTGGTTAGGGCTGGGTGACGACTGGTTTTCAGTATAGTAATATATCACCAGCTAAACATCACAATATATCAATATACTGTATCACGATATCTGAAATAAGGAAGGTACTATACACAGGCAAACAGGACAATGTCCTGGCAACTGCTACTACTTATGGGTCTAAAACTGATAAATGCTGATATTATCAATCACCTCATGGTCACTTTCAGCTGCAGGCAAGCCAAAATGCATCCAAATGAGACTTTTGGTTTTGGGCTTGGCTACCAAATGGTGGCATTCAGGACACCCCAGAGTACGGTGATGAGTCATAGAGAATACAAATAATCTGAGACTGCCAGCAGGCCTGCTAGGCAGCAGAAGCCTCACCATGGCACAGCCTGTGAGGCCTTGTTGTGGTGGCAGTAGTGGTGGCCTGCAAGGCTTTGTAGCAGTTGCAAAAGTGTTGGCAGCCTGCAAGGCCCTGTAGTGGCAGCCTGTAAGGCCGTGGCAGTAGCAGTAGTGGCAGCCTGTGAGGCCTTGCGGTGGCGGCAGACTCTGAGAAAACATAATAGTATAACTTGCACTCTTAGATCACTGTGTTTGATTCCACTTCTTACTGAGCTAAGGCTGTGTACACACCATACATTTAAAGCACATTACCATTCCCAAATAATCCTGAGAACTGCAGTTTGTAAAGGGTTTTGTAGCTTGCGGCTGGCGCTGTGGTTTAAACCACTGAGCCTAGGGCTTGCCGGTCGGAAGGTCGGTGGTTTGAATCCCCGCGACGGGGTGAGCTCCCCTTGCTCGGTCCCAGCTTCTGCCAACCTAGCAGTTCAAAAGCACGTTGAAGTGCAAATAGATAAATAGGTACTGCTCTGGCGGGAAGGTAAACGGCATTTCCGTGCGCTGCTCTGGTTTGCCAGAAGCGCGGACAAATGCTGGCTCCCTCGGTCTATAGAGCGAGATGAGCACCGCAACCCCAGAGTTGTCCGCAACTGGACCAAACAGTCGGGGGTACCTTTACCTTTACCTTTAAGGGGTTAATCACAATTCCCAGTATTCTTATTTCTGGGGAGTCATGTGCTCTTCATGCATGGTGTATTTGCAGCCTGCATCGTCAGTTGAAAAAACACTTATGCCTATTGTATTTACAGGTGAGGAGGCTAGATAAGGAGGCTGCCTCCAAACAGAGTCCCTACAGGAGCTTTTTCTTCAAAATTTAAAGTGACTAGTCTAAGGACTTTTTTATTTTTATTTTAAAAAGTGAACAGCCTTACGTGTTACTTGGCCCATGGCATAGGTTTTAGTTCCCCATGTGTTGTTGGCCTTTCTGAGCTTTGCTGAAACTTACTGAGTAAGCTCTCATGGTGTGCTGGCTGGATTGCCTCTTTAATGTGCTGCAGTGCAAACTCTTTACAAGGCCTTGTATTTCTTTCCATAATACAAACAGCATCAGGTAGGAGAGCAGGGGTAATAATGCGGAGCCCTCCTGATGGTTTGAGCTCCAGCTCCCATTATCCCTGACCAAAGGCCACACTGGCTGGAGCTGGTGAAAGCTGTAGTTCAGGAGATCTGGAAGGCAGCAGGTTGGGAAAGATGACTTAGAAAATCATACCACAAGATGTGGTTTGGTGCAGGATTGATTTTATTTAAATCAAATCGATTTAAATCGTGATTTAAATCACTAGTCAGTAAGACTTGATTTAAATTTATTTTTTTTACAGAAAGACTCATTCTTGCTGGTATAATCTTAATATTTACAACCAGATGAAGGTTTCATTTTTGGAATAATAAATTTTCAGAGTAGTTTTTACAGTTATATTAAAAAAATACTGAGTTGGTTATACCATTAGAAAAACATAGACAGATAATTATGAAATTATTGTGAGGTTTAATAAGTTAACTGTTATATTTGGACAACTTTTCTGCTGTACTTTATTGGAAGGAGAAAAATAATCATTTCCTTAATAACAATTTAAACAATTTATTTAACTAAAGCAATAACATTATAGCATATGTATCCATGTTTGTTAACTGATGTGGTTAAACTTTGGGGGGGGGGGGATCTTTAGAAAGATTTTTCCTCCAAAAGCATTTTATTTTAAAAATCCGATTTAAATTTTAAAAATCTGATTTAAATTTTAAAAATCTGATTATCATTTTTTTAAAAAACGAAAACAAAACATTGATTTTTATCCACCCTGGTTTGGTGGAATGTCTCATTTGAGCCACTGGGTGATTTCTTAAGACCTTCAGAATCCAAAGTTTGGAGGTTCAGAAAGGAGCAATGGCTTCCAGTGCTATCCAGTTGCAAAATATAGTTTGCTACGGCATGCAAATGCATCATATGGATGCAGACAAGAATGCCAAACTTTGGCTTGGTTTGAGGCCAGACTGCAATTTGAGCAAACCCTAGTTTGCTGCATCTGAAGCGACAGCAACTAGAAGTGGGAGCTTTGAAACTCTCACATTCAGAGATTAGGGAGGGAGGAAGGATCCTGATCACAGTTTGAAGGATAATCTGAATGCGGCCACTGTGGCTAGACATCTGAACAGAGCCGTGTGGGGCTCTCCGTGTCTGTTGCCCTCTATTTGTGGGTGCAGTTAAAAGATTCCATTCACTGGTTTATACAAATATGGAATTTCTTACCAATCTGGATATCAAGCTGTAATGAGCCCTGAGGAAGTGACTTGGTGGGACTGGCTGCATGAGGAATGGGAGGTGCTCAAGGAGCTGAGGGGCTCTGATCCTGGGAAAGGAGCTCAGCGCGTTCAGAGTCAGAGGTCAGGAACTGGGTGAAGGGCTGTGTCTCTGTTCCCATCAGATATGCTGAATGTTGCCTTGATACTGAATGATGAGGCATTATAATTTTGTATATGTGTAGAACCTTGCCATACTTTATGATAGTGTGGATTAAAAATACTACAGTTAACAAACACGCACACCACAGAGTTTGTTCTCGTCCAAATGCCTTATCTGTTCTCAGCCTTATCTATGCCATGCAGGTAGGTTTGAATGAGAGGAACTGTACTGTACACCTCCTTATTCTTCTGAAAGGAAGGATGGGATGCAAAGTTGAATTACAAATGAATGAATAAGTGAATTTTTGGTATCTTCAAAAATGGAACACTCACTATTCAGTTTGCTGGCTAGCTTTTCTGTCTACAGACTCTTGATCTTTCATGAGCACTCCATTTTACAAAGTGTGTGTAAAAGTTAAATGAGCAGACCCAGCAAAGAATTACTAAAGCGTATGCTTCTGTAGTCCTCACGTGAGACTAGGTGCTTCTCAAGATAACATGTGAGCATATGCTCTTCATAACATACTGTTCCTTAATCCAACTCCCGCATTGATTTCCCCCCCCCTGTGTAATTATTCTAGGCAAAGATGCCGCATCTCAAATTGTGAAAACACACAGTCTTAGCTTGTGGCACCTTTCCTTAAATTATTGTTTGGTATATTTTTCCAGATCAAGTGCTGTATACAATAAAGTTTTACTCAGGCCAGGTCGATTGAAATTAATGACCCTAAATTAGTCATCCCCACCAGTGTTCAAAATTAGCCAGGTGCATTTTGCACCTGGGTATCGGCCACTTGCGACCAAGTGAAGATGCCTGGGTGCCAGGATGGCACCTGACATTTCCATCTTCTGGAGGTGCATGCCTAGGCATCATTGGATCTTGACTTTTTTCACACACTAATACAACATCCTGAAGAATTGTATCAGTCACATTTTATCTGCGCAATTGGAATGAATTTCAGGAAGCAGAATACTTTTTCTATGCAGCCTGAGCAGGAACAGGGAAGAATGTTATAGTTATTTGTAGCTTGTCTTCACTTACCCCACCACCTTACTCACAGTTGTGAGGAAAAAGAGGTAGGATAAAATATAAGGGACACTCCACATATTGGCCTGTTCCTATCCCTTTTCCTTAATGGTGACACAGACCATTCATAACTTAAGAATTTTCTTCACAACTATGAGCAGGGTGGTGGGGTAAATGAAGACAAGCTACAACAGTTAACTATAACATTGTTCACTGCTTCTGCTCAGGTTGCACAGAAAAAACATTTTGCTTCCTGAAGTCCATTTCAGTTGCCCAAGAATGGCAACGAGACTTTCCGTTTTGGTGACTGCAACCTTGGTTTAAGGAGCCATTTGGTGCCTACCTTATATATCTGAGTTTGTAACAATGCATGCCCCTTAATTTCAATGAGTTGGCTCTGAGTAGGGCTAGCCTTGGATACATGTCCAAACGCAATTAGACGGCTCGAAAATAGTTTGTTGTTTTGGTTATGCTTCTTCCATGTTCTTCATATGTTTTGGATATGCCTGGTGCCCACATGGGGGAAGTACATAGCCACATATCTTATTGTCATGTGAAAATTAGTGGAATTACCTGTTTTGCCAAAATTGCAGCAGGTAGTTTAAATTTATGGGAACCAATACCATGTGATAGCTAAGAGTTCCGCAGTGCTATAAACATTTTATTTTGGCATATCTTTTAGTCGACTGTTTACCAGATGCATGGATTGTTACCTGCATTTGGCATGTACACGGGCGTCAAGGGGAAATTTGGAAAACAGTGGCATCAAGAGGCCATAGAATGTGGGGGCATGATTTACCGAAAGTACGCAAAATAAAGGGCATCACTTCAGCCTACACCCCCCCAACAGCATTTATTTTCCCCTGCAACCATTTCTTTCGTAGACATCAGTCCCAATTCTTCAGATTCATGACCAGTTTATGTAGCTGTAGAGAAGGGATGTGGAAGCTGTGGCCCTCGAGATGTTCTCGGGATTATGTCTGCGATCATCCTTCACTATTGGCCGTGTTGGCTGAGGCTGTTGGGACTCTGACAACATCTGGAGGGCCACATATATGCCTCTAGGGCAGCCTTTCTCAACCTGCGGGTCCCCAGATGTTGTTGAACTACAACTCCCATCACCCCTAGCTAGCAAGGCCAGAGCTCAGGGATGATGGGAGTTGTAGTCCAACAACATCTGGGGACCCACAGGTTGAGAACCACTGCTCTAGGGGAAGCCCACAAGCAGACCCTGAGTGTAACAGCCCCCTCTCCCCTCCTGCGGTTTCCAGCAACTGGCATTCAGAAGCACCCTTGCTTCCAACAGGAACATAGTCATGGGGGTTAGTAATCACAGATAGCTTTATTCTCCATGGTTGGCATCTGGGTGGCCACTGTGAGACCAGGACGCTGGACCAGATGGGCTACTGACCTGATCCAGCAGGCTGTTCCTTATGTTCTTATCCACAAGCAGCTGCCTGTCCTTTCTTGGAAATGGGTTATTCAGTGAGGTGGACTTTCATTCTGACCCAGTTCTTAGCGATACATATTTGGACCGGCCATTTCACTGAGCCTCTTCTGCAGGCAGCTAAATGGATTTCCTTTTGTACATGTTATCTTTGTTTCTCCAGCAAGAAACAGAGGGGGAAAAACATTTTCAAAATATGATTAGGACATCGCAAAGGAATTATATGGTGTGTTTTTTAAAAAAATATATTCTGGCAGGATTACAGTGCTGCATACAAATTATCTGAAAAGGCAACACTATATTAGGGAAGGAGAAGCAAAAACAATCCGAGAGAGGATTTCATGTCGTTCTTTTTCTCTGGGATAACAAGATGGAGTTACAATTTAAGGTCTTTAATCCTGTCGTGAAGTCAGTAAGACCTTTATTACTGAGAGTTTCATTTGGAACAAGGAGCTCCAGTGAAACACTAATATTGCACACTGAAGGAATTTTTCTTTAGTAGTTTTGTTTCTTCCTCTTTCTCCTAAGAGCATCTCATTCCAGTTTTGGGGGTGTGGGGGTGTGTCCAGGTGGTCTCCTGAATAGATGCTGGCCAGACTCCCTACATATTCATGTCCCACCTGCCTATTAGGCCTGGATAATATATTGCCCAGGACTGGTATGAGGAGGAGACCCCGATGTTGACTTCAGTCAGCGGTATATTGCTGGTAAAACCGCCACTGCTCCTGAGTTCCTCTGCTAGCAGCATCTTCTGGAGGGAGACAATAGTCCCTTCCTCCAGTGGGCACTGCTAGCAGAGGAACTTGGGAGAGGTGGCGGTTTCAGCAGTGATATACCCCTGAGTGAAACCGCCATCCCACTCTGCCCTTGTTCCTCCTCTTTAAACTGCTCAACTGAGGAGTGTGCAGCTGCCCTTGCTTCAGCCAAGCAGTTAAAGGTGCCCCCAGCCCAGCACGGCTCCCCCCAACTGAGCTGAGCAAAGCAGCCCCAATGCTCCTGCTGCTTGCTTGCGGGGGGGGGCGGGACTGTCTTAGTGGGCGGGGGGGAACCTTCCCTATCCTCAGCTGAGCTGTTCAAACAAGCTGCATTGTCCCAGTCTCTGAGTACCTGGGTGAAACCACCTCAGCTCCTGCTGTGTGAGCTGGGGCAGTCTCACCCGGTGCCCAGCATGCAGAGGCCAGTGCAGTTTCTTTTTTCAACATTGTGGTATATCGCCAAACCGTGGTGATACACCGCGATGTTGAAAAGCTGATATCGCCCAGCCCTACTGCCTATAGCGCACCAACCATGTATTTCGCAGCTGAGAGTAATAAGTAAATCATCCCATGTGCTCCTATGTATGCAAGGCTTCTGGGCTGGGTCACTGATCCAACATTGGCATTAGAAAAAGGAAATGAAGACCTTTGCATACAATTAGGAGGAGTTGCCAAAGACACACCATTAAAAAGCAGCAGCATTTCTTCCGAAAATAAGATTGGGGTAATGGGCTTAGGAGGGGACCTGTCGCATCCCTACAAATCCATTGCGGATCCCTACATCAGAACTGATTTTGTAAGCTGCTCTGAAAAGCCTTTTAGCTACTGGGCATGGTATAAATGCAGCTACATCATGACTCTTTAGTAGAGGGTCATTAGTCCATCCGTGTTTTGCTTGTCTGGTGAAGGGGTGAAGATTTCTCCTGCCACTGGATCCTTCCCCTCCCCCCAAGAACTTTTGAGTTCACTTTCTGCATGTACGTGCCCTTGCCCTGTTCACATGTTGCCTGTGGTGTAGTGGTTAAGAGGGTTGGACTACTAGGATCTAGGGAAACCAGGTTTCAAATCCCCACTGGGTCCTGAACCTCTTGCTGGGTTACCTTGGGTGCCATTCTCAGTCTCCTGGCCTACCCTACCTCATGGGGATGTTGTGAGGATAGAGCAGGGGAAAAGGAAAACCATCAATGTATTCCATCTCAAGCTTGTAGGAGAGGTCGGATGTAAATGTAATAATAATAGTAAAATTTAAATAGCCTTCAATTTACTCATATGGTATGTGCTCCTTACTTCAAGTGGTGAGAAGTTCCAGGGGCTGCATGGCCTAGGTTTGGTTTCTTTTGGAGGTGAGGACAGGGCACCGAAGGCTTAATGGCATTGGGAGGGGGGGAAAGTGTGTGGTTTATTTACAAAAGGCAGGTAGCATATGCTCTCCTTCTGGGCAGCAGATCCCATACCTCCCATCTGATATCCACCAAGGGACCCTTTGCACACCAAACTGCTTCTCACTTTTAGCTCCTATCTGTTCCATTAACTGCCCTTTTTGTGCGCTCTCTCTCTCTCTCTCTCTCTGTGTGTGTATGTGGCTTGTGTCCTTGTTCTCTTTCTCACCCACACCAACTCACACCCTTCTCCTTAGCCAGGGATGTCATCATCTCCAAACACTTTTATCATGGATAAAGCTATTAATGACCACCAGCCTTGAAGGCAGAGGCAGCGTGGCTTTGAATGTCAGTTGCTGGGAATCACAGGTGGAGAGAGTTGCTGTTGGACTCAGGTCCTGCTTGTGGTCTTCCCTTGGGGGCACCTGGTTGGCCACTGTGAGGACAGAATGCTGGACTAGATGGGCCTTTGGTCTGATTCAGCTGGGCTCTTCTGATGTTCTTCTGATGGTGTTTTCATTCTGCACATTCCAGGGAAATCTCTTTTCTAAGGAACCATCTTCTAAGAATTAGCTCCCAGACAGATTAAAAAACACAGAAGTAGCCATGTTACCTCTGTTGCAGCAAAAACAGCAAAGAACCTTGTGGCACCTTAAAGATTTACCAGATTTTGGTATAATATTTTGTGGGTCAGAGTCCACCTCACAATATGCATGAAGAATAATCCCCAAGTACAGGTGTGGTAGAGGACTATAAAGTAGTGAGATCAGAGGGAAATGCAAAGCAAATTGTGCAGATAGTGACAACTCAGTTAGTGCCAGTGCGCATGCAAAGTAAGCACAGTCACCCTATATTACTGCAGTGATAGGTGATAAAACTGTCAACTTGGCAGTGCTGAGTTGGTTAACACCTACAGAACCATAAAGAGACTATAAAGAACCATAAAGGCAGAAGATTTCTAATTGTGGCCTGCAAGCTCCATGCAGCTCTGCAGAACGATTGTGAGACATTCAAAAATACCTGGAACTGTATACTGAATTATGTTTTTTTCCTGATGACTGAGATGGAGGCTGTTTTGAACAGGGCTGGAGTTACCAAACCAGCTAATAAGATTGATTAAGGGACCAACCATATTTACTCAGAGTAGACCCAGTTAAATTAAATTAGTCATATTTAGTTGTGCCCTTTAGTGTCACTAAGTCTACTCTGAATAGAACTCATTGATTTTCATGATATAGACCGATGCAGACTGCTAATCTGTCCCTTAAAAGCTACCAGTTAAAGGGACAGCAGTCTGGGCTAGTCCTGGGTCTGTGATTTTCACAGTATGGGGCTGCTTTTTGTGATAATCCTGGAATGGAAGATAAAAGTTCAATAAGTTGTTTACAAAACTGTGAAGTTTGAGAATAGCTGCTTAAAGGCAAGCCCACAGTGTTATTCCAATACATAGTGATAATCGCGCCCAGAATAGTTGAGTAGAAATTTTGTGTAAAAGCAGAATGGGATGTGGAACAAGGGCATGGTTCCTTGAGAATAAGAAGCTATATTGGACTGCTTTAATGAAAACAACAACTCAAGACTTCTTCTGAACATTTACCTTTAGATTCCATCCACACTGGCCAAAAATGGGGAAAGATTGATACCCACTTTTAGATTCCCCAATATGGGAATTCATGAGGTTTTCTGTTTTATACAGAGTGGCTTGGAACCCAAAGCGCAAAGATCAAAGCCGGTAGAGAGCATAGAGTGACTCAGAAACAGAATGGAGTTTTTAAAAACACGCACATAGCAGGTGAACATGTATACTGACTGGAATTACTCCTGGAACCATCACAAAGTAGACTGTGAGCTGCTCAAATCTTTTCTACGCCACGAACTACCGGGCAGATTTTTGGCAAGGTGACATATCTTGACCTTGGCACGCATCTAATGGCACATGATAGGGCAGGTTTCTTCTTTCTGGGTACACTTGCCTAGATGGGAAGAAGAGTTGTAATGTTAAGCTAGCATTGCTGTACTGAATGCTAGAATCTCAAAATGAAATTGCAAACAAAAGCATAAAAAAAACCATGGAGCAAGAGCTGAAACAAATTCAGTAAATAAATCTGCAGTAGGTAGATGACTGCACTATTCTGCCTTGCAGCACACTTGCAGGATTGCTGAGAAATGAAGCATTTTTCAAATACGCTGTAAAAATGTTGAACATTACTATTTGCAAGCCTGAACCAGGATTCGACAGTGCAACAATCATTGTACACTTGTTAGTTTAGCGAACTCATGAATGATTATGGTCCGGATATTATATTTGACTTTTTTCATCTTGGGGGCGAAAAAATTCTCAAAGGCCTGACCTACTTCCACAGGATTTATATATTTTAAAAGGCTAATTATCTAGCTATGGGCTGGCCTGGATTTTGGCAGGCAGCTGGAAATGAAAGTGAGCCTACATTGTTGCTGCTATGTGGAACACTAAAATGGGTCCAAGTTAATGGACAATCACAGTGTTGTGGTGTTAGAATGTCTAAATGGGGACTAAGGAGACCCATTTTCAAATCTGGTATGAAGCTCTCACTGGGTGACTTTAGCCCAGTCCCAGCTTAATCTTCCCCTGCCAGCAGGACCAATGATCAAGTTTGACTCCAAAATATGGAGAGGGGCACCTGGTTGGGGAGGACTGATCAAGCCCAGTGCTCCATCTCCAGCAATGGAACCACCAGCATACATTTTAAAAGGTAAAGCAGCAATAAATACAGATAACATCATTAGGAAAGTCATAATATGGGCAACTCCACACTTACACTTGCTCGTCTTGTGCACAACCCGTACACACAGCGCCAGGAAATAATTCAATTCATATCCAGAAATGGCGGGAGAGAGCTGGAAAGTCCTTGTAGCTCACAAGGAGACCCTCTGTGGATCCCAAAGATGATGTCAGTGAAGAAGTGGGTGGAGGTGCAGTGGGGCTTTGTTTGGGATGCTCAGCCTCCCTGCCTAACAACTGGTGTGTGGGGTAGCGCAACAGCATCTACTTTCCCGTGCGTCCTATAGCTTCCTGCCAGCCCCAGAGCTTCCATTCTAGTTGTGGATATTTTGGGATACAGTATGTATTGAAGAAAGTGGGGCAGAAAGGGTATTTAGAGGGCGCTTCCCATTTTACACAATTTCACTTATGTGCGCGGTCCCCTGGAATGTAACCCCCATGTAAGTGGGGAGTCATCTGTATCCTATTTAAAACAATACACAAAACTGTGCATCTAAAAGTTGCAGATCTTTGCCTACCGCTGGAAAGTTAGCGCCAAGGGTTTTCTAGAGTCAGGGCAGGGGGCACAAGGATAGGGATCCCTGTTGCTGGTCCTTATCTAATTCAGCATTGAATGGTAAAGATAAGGAGGGAGAACGAGAACAGCTCCCTGAAGAAGAAGATCTCAGCATCCAGGCAGGTGTTTATTCAGGAAACGGTAGTAACTTAGTCCTCTAGGACTTAAGAGAATATCTGTGTGTCCCAGAACAATTTCATATTTAAGAAGTTCAGAGGTGATGGGGAAGCTTATCTTTTCAGAGACATTTGTTTGCCACTTTCATATTTGAGGAGGCCCAAAATTACTTCCTAAGGAACCTGAGGATTCCCCAGAACACAGCTGGAACGGAGCTTTTCAAAGGAAACAGATCATTCAATTACATCTTTGCGTTAACTTTCAAATACCCTCCTCCCCCCACCACATCAAATCACTCGATTTTTCACACCATTTGGGTATATATCATTGAAATCCTGCCACAGATATATTCCGTTTAAACATGTTTGTTGGTATTTAAGGAAAGAGATTAGCAGTGATATGCCAAGCTGTCAGAATTTCTGATAAGGTTAATAAAGACCAAGGCAGCCTTCCAAAACAGCTTAATCCTTGTGGGTGAAACTGGCAAATTATGAGTCGAGAAGCCTTTCTGCTTCCTCTTTGGGGGGGAAAAAGAGGAGTCTTTAGACCTAGTAAACAAGCAACCCGGAGTTTTGTACTGTGTTACAGCTTATACATATATATCATAGTTGCTGACAGGTATCTAGTGTATTAAAGCCATTGTGATTGCTCAATGTGTTTCATCAAGTTCACTCATATTCTTTGGTGTGATACATCCAGTTAGTCCAAAGAAGCTAGGGGATCAGGAATATAGATGTGGACTCCTCATGCAAAAGTTCCCTTCCCCCATAGTTTGTATTAACCCTAGTGTAGAATCATTCATATATTGGTGCTAACCAAGGTTTATGGTATTCTTTTTAACCCTATGTGAGACCATGCTTTGAGGTAGCTTTGCAAGCCATAGTTAGGAGGCAATTCTGGGTAGCATTAACTGTGATTAGTGCCAGCATGCCCACAACACTACCCTATGCTAAAGGAAACCTTGGGAAAGTGTCTATAAAAGCCACTGTATATGCCTGATTTTACGAGATTGGAAACACGGTTACATTGGGCTGTTGAGAACAATGGGATTTTCTCTCAAGTAAATGTGTATAGAATCTCCTTATCTATCTGCCTGCACATTATGATCAATGGAAGAGGCAGTCCTGGTGGTTCCTAGGTTAACTGAGTTGTGTGGTTCAGGTGCCCTTGGAAGATCCTTTTCAGTGGTGGCTCCACATCTGTGGTATGACCTCACTGCTGAGATGTGTCTCGCCCCAACTTAGTATTGTTTCAGGCATCTCTTTTTTGTTTTTTAAAAAACATATTTCACTGGGATTTTAGTGGCTAATGAGGTAATTGTTCTACTTATGCAGTATATGAGAATTACTTTATTGATTTATTATGCTTTCATATTATTATTAATTTTTAAAGTAAATTGCCAGTATAGAATCTTTCATAAAACTGCATCCTTGAACATACTTTGCTTTGACCTATACTCCTAAGAACTGCAGACATTTTAAGCTTTAGCTGTGTTGCATCCTCATTATGTTTTCTCCCATCCTTTGCGGGCCAGAAGAAGAGTTTTGTTTTCTAAAAAAATTAACTGCTGTGGATCTATGTAAACAAGCTCTCAAAACTTCCTAGAGTTCAACAGCCTTTGTGGGAATTCCCTTCCATATAAATGTTTGGCAGTCAACCAGTTAGGTTGGCAGTCTGGATCAAAGGTTGCCACTACTTGGTGAGCTTTAATAGGTGATAGGCTCTTTTAAGCACTTGTCATGCATGGTCACTGAATAATCAAGCACAGCTTCTAGCTATTTACACTAGCAGTAAAGATGCTTGGAAATCTCATTTCCCCCAAGGTTGTTGTACATAGAAAGTGCACATGCTGGAGTATTTGCAACACAATTTCTGTAAAGTAAAATTGAATACCCTGAGGATTACAGTGGACGCTTGGGTTGCAAACGTGATCCGTGCAGGATGCGCAACCGCCGAAACCCGTAAGTACAGTGGTGCCTCGCAAGACGAAATTAATTCGTTCCGCGAGTTTTGTCGTCTTGCGATTTTTTTCGTCTTGCGAAGCACGGTGTCGGGAAAGTTTTGGAAAAGCTTCAAAAATCACCAAAGTCTTTAAAAACCTCAAAAAAGGCTACCACACCGCATTCTATGAGTTGCTCATCGAAGTCAAGTTGCAACTGTATTAACGGTGTTAAGAAAAAGGAAACAAACTTGCAAGACGTTTCCGTCTTGCGAAGCAAGCCCATAGGGGAAATCGTCTTGCGAAGCAGCTCAAAAAACAAAAAACCCTTTCGTCTAGCGAGTTTTTTGTCTTGCGAGGTACCACTGTAACCCGTTCGGTACTTAAGGGTTTCGGTGGCCCGCAACCCGAAAAAACGCAACCTGAAGCATCTGTAACCCGAGGTATGACTACTACAAAGAGCAGAGGTTTTCACTTTTTTGAGTCCAGTGCTCCCTTGGCCAACTATATTCTTTCTGCGGCACCCCCGTGGGGCTCAGGAGCTCAGTTATGTCACCCCTTGCCTGCAGAGCTGGCAGCCTCTCACCCTTTTTCGAACACCCTCCCTTGTGGAGTATTCCCTCAGCCTCCTCTCCTCTCCCCTCTCCTTGGGAGCCCTCAGGGCAGCCGCAGCTACCGTCCCTGGTCTCTCCCCCCCCCCCACCCCAAAGAGAGGTGCCTCATCACACTGCCCCCACAGGGGCCTGAGAAGAGGATGTCATAGAGCAGGGGTTGGCAAGGTGTTTACAGACCATGGGCCAGATCACTCCCATGGAGATTGTCTGTGGGCCGGACTGGCGCAGCGTGACGCCGGATATCACGTCTGCGCATGTCCGTGGCACCGGAAATTGCTTCTGCGCATGCCCAGACGCCGAAAATCGCGCCTCCACAGAAGCGATTTTCGGCGTCTGGACATGCGCAGATGCAGTTTCTAGTATCTGCATGTGTGCAGACGCAATTTCCTCTCAGCACGTCCCTATGCCGGTTTAGTGCAGCGTGTGGGGGACTTTCCAAGTGGGCGGCTCGGTTCAGGGGCGGCTCATGGGCCGGTAAAACAGTCTTCATGGGCCGCATCCAGCCCATGGGCCACACATTGCCGACCCCTGTCAGAGCATGGGGTTGCCAGTGTGGTGCCCACATGCCCCCAAGGGTCTTCCCTGGCGTCCCCAGGATTCTTCCCCCTGCAGAAAGTCAGCTTAAAAGTTTTTCTTGTTGCCTGTGAAATAGTTTGTTCTGAATGCTTGGTTGCTGAGTGTGTGTATCATGCCTTCGGCAAGTTTCTCCAGTTTTGCTGGTGACCCCTGACATAGAAGCATAGTGAAACAGTCTTGCCAATGTCTATTAAAAGCTACTGGCTCGTACACTGATATTGTTGTTTTAAAGTACCCTAAAGACATGGTCAATGTAAGTCATTTGTGGCATGACAACACAGAAAGGAAGTGGGGGAAAGAAACCTCTCAGGGTTCAGTTTATAATAAATTGAGCCATATCATGGTTAAGGAAGCCTAACTGTGGCTTTCTGCTGTCTCTGTGAAGTGACAAACCACCATTTGCAATTGGCTGGCAAACCAGAATCTGAAACTGTAGTTTGAAAGCCATGGTTTGGTCACTTTGGTGTGATGTCTGAATTGTCAGGCTATCACTATAGAAGGGCAGATGTTTAAACCCTTGTTAGCACAAAGCATGATTTGGCTCGATGCCTGAACAAGCTTTCTTTCCCTATTGCCTGGAAGCAGTTCTTTTTCGCCATGGGCGAGTCCATACTGGACTATTTACAAGCCTGACTTCCTGGGACGGGATGGTAGAGCAAATGCTTTGCATGCAGAAGGTCCCAGGTTCAATCCTTGGTTGTCTCTGTTTATATACGGGTCCAGTAGCAGCTGATAACAGAGACCCTTCCCAACCAGAGATCTTGGAAGAATTGCTGCCAGTCAAAGTAGACAGCACTGGGCTGGATGGACCAGTAGTCTGAGCTAGTATAAGCCAGCTTCCTATATCCACAGGGGAGAGACCATAGCTGAGTGGTAGAGCATCTGCTTTGCATTCAGAAGTTTCCAGGTTCAATCTCCAGAACCTCTACGTAAGGCTGTCAAAAGATTCCGTCTGAAAATCTGATATGCTTCTGCTGGTCAATGTAGGCGATACAAGAGTTCAGTGAACCCATGCTCTGACTTAGCAAGCTGCACTTATACAGTGGTACCTCGTGTTACATACGCTTCAGGTTACAGACTCCGCTAACCCAGAAATAGTACCTTGGGTTAAGAATTTTGCTTCAGGATGAGAACAGAAATCGTGCTCCAGCGGCACGGCGGCAGCGGGAGGCCCCATTAGCTAAAGTGGTGCTTCAGGTTAAGAACAGTTTCAGGTTAAGAACGGACCTCTGGAACGAATTAAGTACTTAACCCGAGGTACCACTGTACTAATAAAACGCAGTCCTTTAAAAAAAGAAAACCCTTAAACAATATTTTCCTGATGTAGACATTTTTTACAACAGTGCTGTTTCTAGTAGCTTCAGTCCCCAGAGAATGGGGCAGACTGCTGGACTTCAGAAAAACATGCAACGTAGTAAACAAAATTTTGCTGGCTTATCCTCTGTGTACTGAGGGGTGTGTGTGTGGAAGTAATGCATTTTACTTGGCAAAGCGAAGCGTAAAAAGCTGTCAGAGCCTGATGGCTCACATGAGTGTTACAAAGAACAAATACTCTACAATCCAGAAAGCTTTTTTTATCTTGTAGGTTCCTTCCTCTCCTCCTTGTGATTAATTCTGGCAAGCAAAGCTATGCAACTCACTGCCCTTGCCATATAACTTTGCCCCTTCTGGCCCAGCGATACCATCACAGCTGGCAAAGTGGATGGGACCAGACAGATAACTTGCTAGGTTAAGCTTAAACCATGAGCAGAGACGTGTTTACGGGAGGGCAAATGGGATAGTTGCCCAGGGCGGCAAAGCTGAGAAGGTGTTGCCATGTGCACACCACCTGCAGTGACCACCCCAGGGTGCAAGGCGGGTTGCATGCCTAGTTCTTTGACAGGAGAGGCTTTGCCCTGCTGCTGCCACCACTAGTGCTGCCAAAACCACACCTGAGCAGGGAGGCAGGCAGCGGATAGAGAGGAAGAGCACACTACCACATGGGATTGTGAGGCCTTTGGGACTTGCACTCTGAAGTTGAGTCAAGGTATCCCCAACACACATGCAAAGAGGAAGGAATTTGGTGCTTGTGTGCTCTGTTGAGGTTGCACATGAACAAGTTCCTGGGAGGATATACCGGTACCACTTCTGCCCAGGGGTGGCAGACACCTTAAAAATACACCACTGGTCATTAGGTGTACCAAGTAGCCTGATTTTGGGTAATGAGCAATGTTTTGTGACCCTGTTTGTCAGCAGAGAGCAGCCATGCCCTGAGCTAGAACAAACAGTGTGCCACACTCCTGGCTTGATATTTATGTCACTCAGTACAACTCATAAAACTCTTTTCTCCCTCTTCCTGCAGCTTTACCAACAAGGCCGACTATGCCAGCTGGGTAGTGAATTCTGCGAACTGGAAGTTTTTGCAAAGGTGCTTCGAGCTTTAGATAAAAGGTAAGTCAGTGCTTACAAAAATGGCAGCTCCTCTCACTTTGCAAGATGAACATTTCCCCCTGTAAAATATAACTGGATGCAGTCCAATCACCACTGAGCATTTTTGAGCCCCACCAGTTTCAGTGCTTAACTCTGGTTGGAATCTGTGGGTGCTCAGTGCTTAGAATGTGACTGGATAGCACCCACCCTTTTGCGTAAGGTGCCTTGCCCAATAAATTTGTGTTTTGCAGCTGCTTTCAGCCATGACTTCCTGTTGGTTAGCTTGGCTACCAGCATGTAAATACGGTAGTCATGTTCTGACTTAAAAGACATAGCTTTGTAAAGATTTTAACCTGGAGGTGTATCACAAATATGCCCTACAGTGTAAACCTAATAAATGTAAGCACCATTGGGTTTAGCAGAACCCATAGGTAAGTGTATCTACAGTAGAAGCTTTCTTTAAAGCTTAGTTTAAGACAGAGGGGGCGAGGCCTCCCGGGTCCTAGGAAGACAATGGTCAGAATCTACTAGTGAGCCTTTCCTCTTCTATGTGCGTTCTCTTGAGCTTTCGTGTCTTGAGTCCAGAACAAAATTTAAACACAAAAGAAGACACAGACACAACTCTCCCAAGTTCTCTATGTATGTAAGAGAACATAGGAGAGAGGAAGGGAATCACAGGCAACCACAGATAAACCAAACTAAAGAAGCTTTCTCAGACAACAGGCTCTCACTGGATTCGGTATCCTCTGCTACTGTGGGCAAGGAAAGGTTTGTGGGGGTGGAGGGAAGAAAAGCAAAATTCTCCCCAAAGTATGTTTTGTTCTTTTGCTTAACAGCCCTGTTAACAGGCTCTGGCAGCTGCTTTTGTGTCGGGGTGGTGGAAGTTTGATTGATTAAGAGCTCCCAGCCTTGTGGTGCTCGCATAATTCATGTGGCTGATATTGGCTGTAGCAGGAATTCCGGATGATGGATTGCTTCCTGTTTTTGCGAATCTGGGCTGGAGGTGGCATTTTGGATTTTTTTGTGAAAATTGCAGGGTTTGGGGGTGGGTGGGTGTCTTCTACCCCACCCCATCTCAAGGACACAGCATAAATCTGTTCTGTGCTGTAAAATGCGGCAGCTGTTTGTGTTTGAGTGTGTATGTGCTAGTCGTAGACGAATGTTAAGCTTTTCTGAGTTCCTGTATTATGGCAGAGAGAGATGGTGTTGTATCCAACTAAGCCCTATCATTGAAATGACTATAAGGTAGTCATACCTATTAACTTTGGTGGGTCTGCTCTGAGTAGGACTAGCATTGGATACCACCCATGGATACAGGGAGGGCAGGGAATGCATCTGTTCCAAAGGGCTTAACCAGATTGTAATTTGTGGTCTCTTTATTTTTTAGTACAGAGTTTTTCAACCTTTTTGAGTCCACGGCTCCCTTAACCAACTACATTCTTTCTGAGGCACCCCTGTGGGGCTCAGGAGCCCAGTTATGTCACCCCTTGCCTGCAGAGCTGGCAGTCTCTCACCCTTTTTCAAACACCCTCCTTTATGGAGTGTTCCCTCAGCTTCTTCACCTCTCCCCCCTGCTTAGGAGTACTCCGGGCAGCTACTACTGCTGTCCCTGGCCTCTGAACTGCCCCATCAAACAGCTGTGCAAGCCTTTGGGAGGCAGAGATGCGAGGGCATCAGAGGAAGGAGGGAAGGAAAGAGGGTCAGAGGCCTGTGTTGCCCGCAGCACCCCTGACCATCATTCATGGCACCCCAGGGTGCTCCAGCACACTGGTTGAAAACCACTGCTTTAGTAAATGGCTTGATAGTTCAGTGCCTGTTACTTAAAACAGAAACTCACAGTGAAGTTCCCAAGGGGTAAGCCCCTTAAACTCATTGGAGCTTATCCTCGGTAAGTATACCTTTGGACTGCATGCACAAAGTGTTTGTTGGAAGGAGGTAAAACGTTTTTATCTTCTCCCTCTTCCTTCTGTTTCCCTTGCAGACATCTACTTCATCACTGTTTTCAGGCATTGATGGACCATGGAGTAAAGGTGGCATCCGTGTTGGCCTATTCGTTCAGCAGGAGGTGTTCCTACATAGCAGAATCAGATGCTACTGTAAAAGAAAAAGCTATCCAGATTGGATTTGTCTTAGGTAACTGTGGGTGAAATAGGATATTAGTCTATCTTGCTTGCTTGGAACTTTGTAAGAGGCACATGAAGAAGAAACTGAAATAAGATTTTCTTTCTCCCCTATTACATATTTTACTAAGGATGTCGTCATGCTGCAGTTCGCATGGCTGCTGAAAGGCGGTACTGCGAAGTACAGCATGACCATAAACTGGGCAAGGAAGAGGGAACCAGAGATGGAGGCAAACGGGCACCTGGCCTAGGCCAGTGAGTGGAGGTTCAGAGGGGTAAGGAGTAGGCAGTGTTGGCGAGTGAAGCGAGAAGGGGAGCAGCCTATAGAACACTGTTTCTCAAACTTGGGTCCCCAGCTGTTGTTGGACTACAACTCCCATCACCCCTAGCTAACAGCACTAGTGATGATGGGAGTTGTAGTCCAACAACAGCTGGGGACCCAAGTTTGAAAGGAAAAAAAACTGCTGGGGGGAGGGGAGAGAAAGTAAAGAAATAGCTCAATTCCTTTCTTCAAAAGGAAGTCAATACTGTGTGGCTTGGATCCAGAGAATTGCCCAACCGCTAACAATAGTAAATAAATAAAATGGGGAAGTGTAGGACCCTTCTCTATGGTAATGGCGCCCTGGTTGCACAACACCTTGTCCATGTCCATTGCCTTTGTAGGAGGCTTCCTCTCGGACGCCGGCTGGTACAGCGATGCTGAGAAGGTCTTCCTCTCCTGCCTTCAGTTATGTACGCTTCACGACGAGATGCTCCACTGGTTTCGTGCGGTGGAGTGTTGCGTGAGGTAAGCCCTGTCCCCATTTTTTAGCAAGGGGGTGAGATGCTCGTGCTGCAGGGTGTGTCTGTGCTTAACGCGAGTAAATTATGAAGTGGCCATGATGACTAGTTAATGGGCTGCTGTTCATCGAGGCCACCTGTGTAGATTGTGGAGGCCTTTCCTAGTGCCCATCCGTCCCCAGCGACTGTGACTCTCACGGGACAGAAAACAGCTAATGCGGGGGTCAGGTGTCAGGCAGGTTTAGCACACCTTTTGCTTCCTGCCCTTCCCTCTGGTTGCCATGGTCTGTGTTTCTGCTTGATCCTGCGCTTTAAAGCACACACATTTCCACTCCATGGCTTAGATGGCTTTAAAAGGGGCCAAACAAATTCCAGGGCGGTCAGTGACTCCTGCAGCGATGGCTATGTTCTACTTCCTACAGTCGGAGGAAGTATGCCTGTGGATACGAGTTGCTGGGAATCGCAAGGAGGGAGAGTGCTGCTGAACTCAGGTCCTGCCTGCAGGCTTCCCATGGGCACCTGCTTGGCCAGTGTAAGGAAAAAGCATTGGACCAGGTGGGCCACTCGTCTGAGCCAGCAGAGCTCTCCTTACATTCTTCTGGGATTACCCTCCGGAGATCCATATGTCCAAATTGGACCTCCCCAGGGTTTCCAGCCAGTCCTGCGCAATGGCTGCTGGAATGGGATTCATCGGCAAGCAATCTTGGGAGATGACGTGCATCTGTGAGTGTGTACGGTTAGCCGATCACTCACCCTCCCCATTCCCAGAGTTGCTCTTCCATAAAACTAGTGGCTGACAAGCGACAAGTGAGACTATCTGTAGCTGAAAGCCTTACGATACAAAGCTTGTGGTGATGGTTCTTTGGGGTTAATAATAATAATAATAGTAATAATAATAATTTAATTTATACCCTGCCCATCTGGCTGGGTTTCCCCAGCCACTCTGGGCGGCTTCCAACAAAACCCTAAAATACAATAACATATTAAACATTAAAAGCTTCCCTAAACAGGGCTGCCTTCAGATGTCTTCTAAAAGTTTGGTAGTTATTTTTCTGTTTGACATCTGGTGGGAGGGCGTTCCACAGGGCGGGTGCCACTACCGAGAAGGCCCTCTGCCTGGTTCCCTGTAACTTCCCTGTAACTCGCAGCAAGGGAACCGCCAGAAGGCCCTCGGTGCTGGACCTCAGTGTCCTGGCAGAACGATGGAGGTGGAGACGCTCCTTCAGGTAGCCCTGTGGGTGTGACTGCACCCCATGATTCCCCATTCAGAGAACCACACTTGCAGGTAAGGAACCTGTTCTTCCTCCAGTGTCCCAAGGACCTCTTTGTTACCTAGTCTGCACTTGTATAAAAAACAAATAAATCCGAGGCCTGGGAAGTACGGACTGCATGTTCAGGGCCATGGTCTCAATCAATCTTGCTGTGTGCTGCTGATGTGCAAACAAGGTGACATTTCCTGCCTGGAGAGCCAGGTCACTGCTGTCCCCCCCCCCCCCACGCCTCCCTTGTCCTCCGCCTGCTTGTTATTGACTCTTAGGGGGTTGTGCTGACTTAATGCTTAGCTGTGATTTCCTGCAGATCCTTGTACTGCAGAACTGGCAGAGGACTTTGTCGTTTTAAAAAAAAAAGGCTGGAAGAGGAGACAGGCCCTATTCCTGTTTTATTAATATGTGCAACTCAATACATTAATAACATTCCAGTACAAGATGGCTGTTTGGAATTATTCCTAGTCGTCCTTGCAAGAACACACTCACCTGCTCGGGGCTTCGTTGAATGCTTTATATCCACTTTTAGGCTTTCCCTAATAAATCACTGTCCTGCCAACCTAGCAGTTCGAAAGCACGTCAAAGTGCAAGTAGATAAATAGGTACCGCTCCGGCGGGAAGGTAAACAGCGTTTCCATGCGCTGCTCTGATTTGCCAAAAGCGGCTTAGTCATGCTGGCCACATGACCCAGAAGCTGTACGCCGGCTCCCTTGGCCAATAAAGTGAGATGAGTGCCACAACACCAGAATCAGCCACGACGGGACCTAATGGTCAGGGGTCCCTTTCCCTTTAATAAATTACTACTTAAGGTGGATTAAACAGAGTAACTTTCACTTGTCTAGGAATTGAGATCTATGGTGGGAATAAACTTTCAGATATCTTACCGCCCCCCCCCCCCCCCCCCCAAAAAAAGAGTTTTGCCTTTTTTCTGCTCTGTCATGAGAAGAAGTTTCTTTGGTTGCTCAGGAGCAGACATGTCCTGGTTGTTTAAAAGCCAAGAGCCCCCCCCCCTCCTGGGAGGCATCTTAAAGTGGGTGAGGGGAGGCTATTAGAACAGGAGGGTGGTTGTGAGAGTGGAGGCACTCCTTCCAGTGCTTTCAGTCACTTGCAGGCTGTGTACACACCGTATGTTTTATCTCTTTATTGTTTTATAAAAAACATTTCTATACTGGAATTACATTTGAAAAAATCAAAGAAGTTTACAACAATTAAAAATACATTAAGAACAATACAAAAAAAAAGACCACCAGCTGACATACTATGAAACATATTTTTCTTGTCTGCATAAGCCTGACAGCAAGGAGAAGTCTTCAGCAAACACTGGAAAGTCATTTAAAGCACATTCCTCACTCCAAAGAATCCTGGGAACTGTAGTTTATTAAGGGTGCTTGGAGTTGTTCTGTGAGGGGTGAACTGCTGTTCCCAAGATTCTTTTGCTGGTGGGAGGGAATGTGCTTTAAATGTGTGATGTGTATGGAGTTGTAGTGCCTTGTAAGATAACCCTTAATCTCTGGCCAGTTTATTGGTGTCACACACTCACTGAATTAAATGGTCAGATTACCAGAGACATGTGTCCAAAGTACAATCCTTTGGTGTATTCAGATAAAAGGTGGGAAAGGAATGTGCTTTAAAAATACATATATTACAAAATGTACAACTCATATGATTAATACAAAATTCATTAACCACTCATTAATCATAGCAATTCACAATAAATAAAACACACACAGAGCTGTGTAACCTCTTGTAATTCGTTGTTCTACGATGCCACAAGCAAAATCTACTTTCTCATAAATCCATCAGTATTATCCACCCTTTTCTTCAGAAAGCAAAATACCTCAGACACATCTGCAGTATGCCATATTTTTAATCTGTAATTGAGGTCGGGGGCAGTATCTCTTTTCCAATAAGAATGAGTTTTATTTTATTTTTCAATCCTGTGTTTTTAATGCATGCTTTTAAAATGCATCTGGTATTCTGTGATATACTGGCTCAACAATAAGCTCATTACACTTTTCTTGTGCACCACAATGCAAAACATTTTGGTTTGTTAAACCAGAGTTTCCTGTTCCATCTGAACTGGACAACTGTGGTTTAATCCCTGACTACAAACTAGAATTGGTTTCCTATCTAGGTCTGTAGTCAAAGGCCAACCCAGTCACTGGAAGCTGGTTTAACAAACCGCGGAGGTCTTGCATTGCGTCATCCAGGAGAGGGGAAGAGGAACACATGGGCGAAATACTACTTCTTGACCCAGTAAACAATGGTTTGTCGAACCAACACTCTTGCATCTGAACCAGGCTGCTGCCTCTGAACATGTCTTCCTGCCTGTGGTTTGGCGGCATGCATTAAAGAAATTACTTAGGATGTTAAAATATTATTTAACGGTGATGAGAAGCTTCCTTGTTTCATTTGAGGATGCGCAATCACAAAGCCAGTAATCGCCTTTTAATAGTCTGAATCGCTCAGCAACTTTCCTGCTCAAGGTTTCAAGATCCTTTTGTGTCTTGCCCTAGGTTGCTGCATGTCCGGAATGGCAACTGTAAATACCACCTGGGAGAAGAAACGTTCAAATTAGCGCAGTCTTACATGGACAAGCTAGCAAAGCACGGCCAGCAAGCCAACAAAGCTGCTCTATATGGGGAGCTGTGTGCCCTGCTCTTTGCAAAGAGCCATTATGATGAGGTGAGCGTCTTTCGCAGAATCCAGCCTAGAACATCTCCGCATGGGAAGTAGCTCAGTGGCAGAGCATGTCTTTTGTATGCAGAAGCTTCAGTTGGGTGCTAAGATCCTCAGTCAGTGTGAGAGCCAGTGTGGTGTAGTGTAGTGGTTAAGAGCGGTAGTCTTGTAATCTGGGAAACCGGGTTCGTGTCTCCGCTCCTCCACATGCAGCTGCTGGGTGACCTTGGGCCAGTCACACTTCTTTGAAGTCTCTCAGCCCCACTCACCTCACAGAGTGTTTGTTGTGGGGGAGGAAGGGAAAGGAGATTGTTAGCCGCTTTGAGACTCCTTAAAGGGAGTGAAAGGCGGGATATCAAATCCAAACTCTTCTTCTTCTTCAGTCAAGCACCTTCCCTCACTCCCATGAACACCAGAAGCATGGTTGGTGGTGACATGAGAGAGCCTTTTCTGTGGCTACTCCCATATTGTGGAATTTCCTCCCAAGAGAGGCTAGACTGGCTCCTTCATTGCTGTCTTTCCGATAGCAGGCTAAGGCCTTCCTATTCAGATAGGCCTTTGAAAACCAGGTGCAGACCATGTTGACCGCTGTCAGGGCAATCAGTATTTTAATGCCAGTTCGAAATGTGTTTTGCCGTATTTTAACTGTTGTTTTTAACTAGCTTGCCTTTATTAATTTGTGTCTTATAATTATGTTTTTAAAATGGAAGCTGTTTTGAATCCCAACTTGGGAGACAGACAGGGTATGAATATATTTAATAATAATCCCCGATGGCATCTCTGGCCAAACTAGGAGTGGCCTCCACCTGAAAGCCTTCTGTGTAGACAGTGCTGAACTAGGCGGACCAGTGACTTGGTACAAGGCAGCTTCCTATGTAGTCAGAACAGGCCAGCTATTCTTTCCAGCACAAAGTGTTCTGTGGGTTCACTCAGCAGCAGCGCGTGGGCAGACAAAAGCAGGTTTCACTGAGGTTTGGTGACAGAATTCCAGCTGGTAAGGTGGTGCCAAATAAAATTAGCATTTGGCTAAAGCTAGCATTTGGCTCAGGTTCAAGTGCCAGAGTTTGCAGGAACCGAAGTGTTTTCCCAGCCTTTGTTGGGATAGCGTTTAAATCCTCAGCTGGGAACAAACAATTTAGGAACATAGGAAGCTGCCCTATATTAAGTTAGGCCATCTAGCTAAGTATTCTCTACGCTGACTGGCAGTGGCTCTCCAGCGTTTCAGATAGGGAAGCTGCCCTGGCTCTACCTGGAAATGCCAGGGTTTGAAGCAGGGACCTTCTGCATGCATAGCAGATGCTCTACCACTGGGCTACGGCTCTTCCATCACCCTGGAGATTGGTGGCTCCAAGATCTCTTGCAGGACTCTTGCCTCCATGCTGTTTGCCAGAGTGCCTTTCCCTAGGACTGCCTGTTCCTCTGCTCTTGACTTCAGCTTTACATCTTGACAGACACCCAGACACACCATCGCAACAGCTGATAGTCTTGCTAGAACAGCAGATTCTCGCAGTTCAGAGTTTGAAAGCCAAGTTCTTGGGAGCCTCTGTTTAGATTTCTATGAACATCTTAAGTGCTGGATTAAGGACTGGAGATCTCCCTTTGGCCAGGAGGCCAAAGGTCGAAAGATAAGTGGTGGGGCAGCGAGGCTCCTGCAAAGCAACTGCTCCTAAACTTTATTTGAACGACCAGGCTTGGAAGTCAGGACAGGAGAAGGGATCTGCAAGCCCCATTGGGGGTTCTGCACCTGCCTCCCCACTCCCAGCATTCTCTCTGATTTCCATTAGAGATTACACTCTCATCTCCATAGAGGTTTAGTTGAAAAGGCAGAGTGGTACTTCAGTGAATAAAGTCATGTGTTTGTGTGTATTGTGATATTGGAACCCAGTACCAGTTTTGATGGACAGCCCTTGGGCTTGACGCCCTCAATTCTACCCTCCGCTTCCCTCACGGAGTGTGTCTTCTCTCTGCCATTGTTGCCACTGCTGCTTCTGCTTCCTCATTGGTGCCAGACAGAGCCAGTGAAGTTGAAGGCAGTGGCAGCTCCTCCTCTTGCTTGCTACTTCTGTTATTGAGAGGCAGGGTAAACCAGCAGGTTTCCAGTGAAGGGACAGGTCTAAGAGGCTCTTCTGAATGGATCCCCTGCTGCATTGAGGGTTCTTGGCAAATGCCCAGGCACATCGACCATTGACAGTGACCCTACTGGAACCTGAATTTGCTTGGTTTCATCATCCCTCCCTGTTTCCTTTTTACCTTTGGCTATCAGATTGTAAACCTGCCAACAAGAGCTGCTTTTGCATTTGGGAAAAAAATAAATAATTCTGCACAGCACATAGAAAATTTGAGGCTTTTAATAAAATCTTAAATAATCCTGACAATATCCTTGGGTGCTCCACAGGCTTACAAATGGTGCATAGAAGCCATGAAGGAGATCTCAGTTGGATTGCCAGTAAAAGTAGTTGTGGACGTTTTACGGCAAGCTTCTAAGGTAAATCTAACTCTTCTACAAATAGCCTGCATGCAATTGAGCAGGGATGGAACCTATTCCATGTTTCTTGCAGAGGGAAGTGGGCAGCATCTAGTACTGTTAAGAATCAGCCCTAAAGGAGAAAATCAACAAATGAATTCCAAAAGCAGCATTTCAGGCGTGTTGACCTTTATGCTTTTCCTGACAATTCATTGCTCTGTCTTCCCCCTTTTTAATGGGGCAGGCTTTCTACTCAGTTTAGCAGTTGATGGCCATTCTTGAACAGTGGCTTCCCATAGGCAGGCAAGAATGCCTTTGCATATTCATGGTCTCTCATGCCTGCTTTCTCTTCCTCTTGGCTTAGGCTTGTGTTGTAAAACGTGAATTTAAGAAAGCCGAACAGTTAATAAAACATGCGGTGTATCTTGCACGGTGAGTATATGCCCTGTTTCCAAATGTTATTGCCTGCTGCATCTTGTTTGTGGTTCTAAGTTGTGTTCCTATCTTCCAGGGAGCACTTTGGAGCCAAACACCCAAAATATTCAGACACACTACTAGACTATGGGTTTTACTTACTCAACGTAGACAATATATGCCAGTCGGTTGCAATTTATCAGGTAAGGTCCTTTGCTGCGTCTGTGCAGCCTTCAGGATTCTATTAAGTGGTTTTGTGCATGTGTGTGTTTGTTTCTGCTCAGAATTCTTTACTGCAGGTGAAGTTTTGTTACCGTACTTACTTTTCTCGCCAAAGTAGATAAAATTTGCAGGCATGGTAGCCCCATGGTAGCGGATTAATCCTACCAGACTTCAGAATGAAAGCTGTAGTGATTTTCCTGGAAGAACAACCTTTGCAGTTTGGGGCGGTTAAAAGAAGATTCACTTAATCTCCTCTAGTGTTTTATGGGCAATTTTTATGAAAATAGTAGAAGAAAAAAAAAATAGCAGTATCCCTTGGTAAGAAACCCAAAAAAGACGTCAAGAGTGTTGTGGGTGGAGAACTAAAAGGGATTTGCTTCCCTCCCAGTGGTTTTTGGGCACAAGTTTTATTACTGACATTGCTGGGAGTGCCCTAAAATTGAGATTTCTTGGCAGGGGATCTTTAGGGAGATTTCTTTAATAACAAGACCGAGCATCACTCCCTCCCCCTACCTGGCTCTTTTTGATCTATATATAGATGTGGATAGAGATCTAAAAAAGAAATAAAGAACTCATTTGACACCTATTAACAGCAGCAAGAGCAACTAGCACAATTCTAGAAGACATTTGATTTAGACAACTTAGATTGCTGGTATGCAAAAAGTCTGGCAAATTGCTCTTCTAGAAACAATTTTCCATGAGTTGAAAGTGCTTGGAGGACATACTGCAGGAAACCGTTCTTTTGTAATATGGCACAGCATTATTTTATTTACAAACAAAGAAGCCCATGGCCATATGGTCCCTCTGGTTTATTCCAAGGTGTGGGCTTTGTGAAAGTATGTCTAGGCAGACAGATGATCTTTATAACAAAAATAATAAGTTTACTACTTATATGCTACTAGAGAGGGCCATTGCTCAGGCACAGTTGGGGTGTGTGTGTGCAAAGTGACGTGAGCCACCCCGTCCTTCTCAGCCGCCCTCCAGCTGCAGGTTGCCCAAGAAGGATGCAGTAGCTCAGGCTCCCTGTGAGCCCAGCCTCATTTGCAAAAGCCTGGTGGTCCTCAGATAAAGGGTGGTATAGAAGTTTAACAAATCATCATTATGTTTCCAATTAGATTTTACCCATTGGTGACTTGTGTCGACAGCTGTGTGAGATACTACTTCAAATAATGCTTCTTCTGTCCCACACAAGCCATCCTTTTAAAAATGTCTATGGCAGCTTCCAGATCCTAGCTAATTTAGCTGACTTGAATATTGTCTCTCACTCAAATTGTTTCAGACCGCACTAGACATCAGACAGTCGGTATTTGGGGGCAAAAACATCCATGTTGCAACAGCTCACGAAGACCTGGCTTACTCTTCCTACGTTCACCAGTACAGTTCTGGGAAGTTTGACAATGCGCTGTGAGTACTCTGTTTACACTTTTTTGGACCCAAAGGTTTTCTTCTTGCGTAATGTAAATATATATATATATATATTCAAATGTTAAAAAGCATGTGGTATAGTCTTGCTGGGGCTCCCTCACGTGGGAGAGATTGCAAGTCAAGTCCCTTCCCTTTGTTGCTGGCAAAGCTTTTTGTGGTTGCTGTTGTTGTTTGGAGAACTTTTGGAGCCACCTGGGCTGCTGTGCTAGGAATGTCAATGTGTGTTTTATATTCTCTGTAAAACACTTTGATGTTTTATTTACAGTTAAATGGTATATGAATGTAATTTTTTTTAAAAAAAAAATCATTGTTCTGATACTGGAGATAGTAGATGGCCATCATGACTAGCAGCCATTGGTTGCCCTATGCTCTGTGAATTTGTCTAATCCCTCATTTAATGCCATTGAAGTGGGAGGCCATCATTACTGCATCTTGAGCACCTGATCCTGTGCTTCTTACTGTTCCTCCCCCTTGGCCTTGTTAAGGGTGTCTGGACTGTATTCTACTCTTTCCATGATGCTGAGTTGGTATTGATACTCTGCAGTAATAAATATGCATTTATTTACTTACAAAAGAGTTGGTTTTATTGATTTTGGGTGGGAACCAGAACAATCTGAACAGAAGCACTTGATACTGCAACATTTTGTTGCAGGTACCACTGTCTCCCGCCCCTGCCCCCTTACAGATAGCTTTAAAAATGTGGTCATGACAGCCTTGTAAATAAACTACTAACTTGGACATGGAAGCTGCTAGTCTATTAGCAAGCTAGTAAAAAATATGCTGCCAGGAGCCCTCTCTCTTGCTTACGTAGAATTCCTAGTGACCTCTGGTAACCAATGTAGTTCTTAAATATGAGCTGAGTTGCGAGTTAACATGTTGTGCAAAGAAGACTTTGCCCCCCACCCTAAACTTGCCAGTTAGGTTTGTTGGATGATCTGGAAGAGAGTATGGGAGATGGAGAGAAAAAAACATTTCCTTGTCAGGAGGAGAATTTCCTCCCATCTCCTTACCACCAGGCAGACAAAGGCAGTCTTTGTTTCTAAGGTGAAAGTTGTGCCTTTTCCCAAGATGTCTTGCAAACATACCAGAATCTCTCACATAAGTCTTTTTCATCCTGTTCCTCCCCCCGTGTTCTTAGCATGTGCTAAACAGCTGCCCAGTGTCTACAAAAACCCACAGTATGCTAATGCAATTCCCACAAAGCCCTCTGTGCATGATTTAGATGGCCCTTCTGGGAACTTGCTGTTTCTGTGTTGACTACTCAGTAACTTTCCAAGAGATTTCCCCCTCATGTGTGCCTGTTTGCTCTTGACCTTAGATTCCATGCGGAGCGTGCGATTGGCATCATAACCCACATTCTCCCAGAAGACCACCTTCTCCTTGCCTCCTCCAAAAGAGTTAAAGGTACCTCCATGCTGCTTTTGGCTGCGGCGCTTAGGGAGCAGAAATAACTGCTGGTACTGTAGCAAATGTCAAGGACAGGCAGGGAAGGAAATGTGTGGGAAAACAGTGCCTCCCTCCACCGTGTCCAGCATCTTCCACCTGAGGCTCACGCCTCACTCTTCCCAAAGGCAGGGTCAGCTTTAAGTGGCTGATGTGTTTGAGCTTTGCGTACACCTTCAAAGCGGCCCAATAATTGGAGTTGGGAAAGGGTTAGGGTTGAGCTGAAAGACTTTTCAGATAGTGCAGAAGTCTGCATTCACTTCCTCGGGGTCCTAGCTGATGCCTTTAATGGTGTTGGGTCTTCTAATGTGTCTCTTTCCTCCCCCCTTTCCTGTGCAAGCACTGATCTTGGAGGAGATTGCCATTGACTGTCACAATAAGGAGACAGAACAAAGGCTACTCCAGGAAGCCCACGACTTACACCTGTCTTCGCTCCAGCTTGCCAAGAAAGCCTTTGGGGAGTTCAACGTGCAGACGGCAAAACACTATGGTAACCTTGGCAGGCTTTACCAGTCCATGAGGAAATTTAAGGTAATTATTGGGGGGGGGGGAGCAGCAAATATTATTGACATGTCTTCCTTGAACTGTATCTCTGGCTCTCTTGACAATCATCTTACTAGACCAGCAATTCACCATTGTCTTAATTTTGTGGGCGTGTTCCAGGAAGCGGAAGAGATGCACATCAAAGCGATCCAGATCAAGGAACAGCTTCTCGGCCAAGAAGATTACGAAGTTGCTCTTTCTGTGGGACACCTTGCCTCGCTCTACAACTACGACATGAATCAGTACGAAAACGCCGAAAAGCTTTATTTGAGATCCATAGCAATTGGTGTGTAAACACTTTTGAGCCTAAGCTTGCATATACAGCGATGTTGTCTCTCCGGGGGCGGGGGGGGGGGGTAGGTGAGGTTCTCTTTCCCCTGGAAGAAGACTAGGTAAAAAAGGAAGGATGATTAGGAGGTGGGGAACCATAGGCCCTCCAGAAGTTCCTGAACTACAGCTCCCATCATCCTTGGCCATGCCTGCTATGAGCTGGCATCCAACAACATCTGGAAGGCCAAAAGTTCCCCACACCTGGCTTGGATTTGGGGCAGGCTTCAAATTCCTGCTCTCCCATGAAGCTCACTGAATGACCTTAGATCAGGCCCCATGTCTCAGCCTAGCCTAACAACACACGCTGCCTCAGTTTCTGTGTTACAGCAAAACCATAGTTAACTGTTTGCAACAGACATGTCTTCCTGAGCTGTTTGTCTCCATCCTGCTTACACAAATCACAATCCTTAGTTTAGGATTATGGCCAGACCATGAGTCTGGTTTGTTATCATCCAGCGTGAGCCAGGATCAGATAACCATGCTATGGTTTCTGGCTTACCACTGGGATTGCCAGCAAGGTGTCTGTGGGTTCCCCAACACTCCCTTGGCACCCTCCAGCCCCTCACAATTGTTCAAGTTTCTTTTTTATTATTATTAAAAGAAAATTAGTCATTGGGAGGCAAATTCTTGTTTCCAGCCATCTTTGTTTCATCTTCCCAGAATGCCTCTGGGCCTCACAATCATTCCTAGAAGGGAAAAAGTAGAGGGCAGCTGTAGCTGTTGATTTGTTCTCCCTCTTGCCCAGTCAAGCTTTGATTTAAACAAAAGAGGTTTGAGCTAGAGGGGGAGGGAAGAGGATTCTGTGTTGCATGGTAAGAATTGGGATCGGTGCTGGGAGAATGGTGGGGAGCGTTGCCTATTTCATTGTTGTGGTTGTGTTATTTTGGGGTGTGGCCACAGAAGAGGATAGATGTGCTGTGTTGTTGCCTGGGTTTGTTCTGTTTTCAGGGGAGGGATATTCCCTTTGCGGGTTTGTTTTTTGACAGGGTGTTGTTGCCATGAGCATCCCACTGCCACAAGGTTCCTCCAACCATTTCAAGACAATTCCTCACCCATCCATTCATTCAAGAACCCTTTTCTTCTAATAGAAAACCCAGGGGTGGCTAGCAAGAACTTGATAAAGCAAAGAGAGTAACAACAAGCCAAGCATTGTGGGAACTATCCACCGATAAAAGTACTATAATAGCCTGCCTACAAAACAAGGATGCCCTCCCACCAGAGCCCCCTACTGTCTAACCAGTGCTTTTCAGGTGTGTCCCCCCAGACTTCCAGAGAAGCTTCTTGCAGAGGAGGCAGGAAAGACAGGTGGCTTTCTGTACACACAGCATTTGGATCCATCCCAACGTAAAGGACCTAGGGCAATAGCAGAGGCCTGTGAGCAAATAATTGTGCTTCGTTTTAGCTGGTGATGACGTCCAACACGCTGGACATGGTTTTGGGGAAGATGTTTGAAGGGAGCAAATGTTGTCCCTTCTCTACCAGTATTGGTTGGTTTAATCATATATTGAGTTGCGGATATAATCTGTCCCGGAGGCACGTCTGCAACTTGAAGCGTTTGCATCCAGAAGTGCTGCGCATGCGCAAGGCGCGATTTAGCGCTTCTGCGCAAGCGTGATCTAGTGCTTCTGCGCAAGCGTGATCTAGCGCTTCTGCGCAAGCGTGATCTAGCACTTCTGCGCAAGCGGCAAAACCCGGAAGTAACCATTCTGGTACTTCTGGGTTGCCATGGGACGCAACTTGAAAAGACATAACCTGAAGCAGACGCAACATGAGATTTGAGGTGGTGGGGATAGCACACACCCAAGATTTTTTTTTTTTGAGGGCATGCGGGAACCAATATAAATAGCAATGTCTTCTCTGTTCCTTTAGGCCGGGGGTGGGGAACCTGTAGCTCTTGATATGCTGCTGGACGTTGCCTGCCATCAGCCCCGGCTAGCATGCCTAGTGGTCAGGGAGGGTGGGAGGCAACATCTGGAGAGGAGGGGAAGACACAGTTTCCCCGCCCCAGATCGGAGAACATGGTAAAATATACTCCAGCTGAAAGGTATCAGATTTTTACTTAATAAAATAAAATAAAGAGCAGGCTTCTCTGTTAGGCAACACTGAAAAAAGTACAGCATTAATTCTCCTTCACATTTTGTTTATTTTTAGGGAAGAAGCTTTTTGGGGAAGGTTACAGTGGACTAGAATATGACTACAGGGGCCTCATTAAACTGTACAATTCCATTGGCAATTACGAGAAGGTATTTGAGTACCACAACATTTTGGCCAACTGGAACCGGTTGCGGGATCGGCAGTTTTCAGTGACAGACGCCCTCGAGGACGTGAGCACCAGCCTGCAATCCACTGAAGAAGTTGTCCAGTCTTTCCTGATGTCTCAGACCGCCGAAGGACAGATTTGCTAAGGACCTTGGTCAATTTTACCAACAACTATTCCCCCCCCTTCTTCTGTTCCCTCCTCCCCAAATTTACATGGGAAAAGTCATACTGTGAAATTTGAAACCATGTAGTTTTTTGTGTGTGTTTTTCTCTCTCTCTCTGAGGGGGCTGCAATTGCATTGAAACACTGGTCCAGTCCATTAGAAATCCCCTGTTTTCTCGGGGAGGGGAGGAATCTCAGCTTTGAATGGAGTGACCACAACAGACGAATGTGTGCTAAAATTCTTACCAGCATGAGTACGGCATGTTTTGTTTTGGCTCACGTTTTCAACTTGAGAGAGAGAGAGAAAGAGATACATATACATATATATAAATATATATATAAAGGAAGAAAGAAAACCCCCATAAACACCCCTAACGATGTTCTCTTATTTTTTATTTTTTGTCCAAGCGAAGCTACTTTACACGAAATCTCTGCGAGAATGGAAAGAGAGCAATAAAGCCATTAAACCATTCTGAGAGTTGCATTATTAATTGGTGGATAAGGAGGGTGCCCACTGACCAGTGCTTGTGACAAGTCTGAAGTCCTATACAACCATATGATTATTCTTGTTATACAGTGTAAAAACAAGGAAAAACTTATTCGATACGGATTGTTGAAAAAAGTAACCACAGATATTCATACACACACGAAAAAAAAGAAAAGGGGTGGGGGAAATCTTCGCTTCTTGCCTTCTGCTGCCTTACGAAGAGACATGGCGAAGAATTTCCTCCTGGGAAGTGATGCTTGCTTGCTCTGCCTCCGTCTGAACCACCGTTTGCACTTTCAAAGAGCACCCAAAACGGACCAGTGTTCACCTGAAAGTGGTAACCACTGGCAGAATATTTTAGTCTCTCAGCTTTCTTGGTTTATTTTATTTTGTTTTTGTTTTCCGTACAGGGCAAAAGAATTTTCTGTAATAGGACCGGGAGATTTCAAGCGGACCATCCCGTCCTTAGGAAAAGAGTCTCGGACCAATGGCTTTCAAGTCACAATTTCTGCCCTTTCGCATTTGCTTTTTTAAACTCGGTAGGATTATTTCACGAAGGGGTGTATTTTCAAGTGATGAATGGAGACTTTATATACATACGTGTACTAGATAACAAAGCTAGGAGCTTCAACGTTCTTCGGCGGTTTCAAAGGCATGTCTTTTTAAAATACTAAGTTTACACAGGTAAACTAGATGTTTAGCACTGTAAGCAAAGCATAGCAAATGCTATTCCTTTCCCTTTCCCCTCTCTTTGAAACGGGCTCTCTCTAAAGGCTATAACTTGCTTGTGCTAATTAGATTGGTCGTCGTCATTAAGGGAAAAAAATCTGGTTTTGTTTTAATATCTGCAGATGATCTTTTTTTTATTGTACAGCTTGCAGGGGTCAATGGATAATGCCAAAAAAAAAAAAAGAATAAGCACAACAGGTCTGTCTTTCTTTCTTCCTTTCTCTCTCAGCTTCATCATATTTTTTTTAACGTTAAACAAAAACAGCCAGAACTCAATTCTTTTTATATATATATTTTTAATGTCTGTCATAATATGTTTTTTAAAAAGCAAAACAAAAAAATAACTATGCCTGTCTCACTAGCTTGTCTTAATTTTGGGGTATATGTGTGGTTTGTGGGTTTTTCTTTTAATTGTACCATCTTTTAAACACCGAGGTAGTAAATGAACTTTGAAAGACCTATGTAGCATATAGTAAGCTAGGCTGGAAAGGAAGGAGGGGGAGAGTTCCTATTTACCTCGCTTCTTAATGCAGAGATGCAGGCAGCGTCTCTGTGGTTAAGGGTTTTGTCAGGTGTTCACCTCTATTTTCAGGGGGTTTATAAGTTGCCCAGGGAAAGCAGGAGAGAGAGAAAAAGCCTCTCTAGTGTTTGGAATGAGTTTCATTCATTTCCCCCCTGTAATTTGTGAGGTCTTTGGGTGGGGGATGGAAGGCAAGTGGGGGCAATCTGTCGTCAAAAGAGAAGCATCAACAGTTAGCGGTCGGTGGCTTTGGAAGTTACTGAGAGTTCCTCATTTAATAGCAATAGTGTTTGGCTTTTAACCTGGAATATTGCAGGCGGATAGTTTTTGGTTGTTTTTAAAAAATAATAGTGCCTTTTTAAAAGATACTTCCTTCCCTGTGCGTGGTGGGTGGGGTATCTCGTCAACACCCTTCTTGAAACAAAAGGTGTTGATTTTTGGAGCTGTGGCTTTAGCATCTCTTGTTGTTATTAAGGGAATTGCCGGACACCAGAACCACACAGGGTAGGAAGAGCTTCCTGGATTATTGCTGCAGGCCCAGAATCGGCCTCCCTGCGAGGTGCTTTCTGGGTGTATTTCTGAACCACAAGTCTCCGTGAGCTGGACAAGTATTCTGAAATAAAAATGCCATTTCCCCACCCACCCACCATGTAAAAAACTTTTTTCTAGCAGAAGTGTCCCTCAGAATAAAACTTTGCAGCTGTAATCCCCATAGATACCCAATGCTGGAGATGTCAGATCTTCAGCAGGGTGGCTTCCCAGGAAGTGGCCATTAAAAGTTGCTTTTGACTGACAGCTTGAGTGTCGAACCGGGGTGGGCTAACGTGAACCCCTCCATGCGCTCCCAGATTAGTAACTTCCTTCAGTCTTCACAAGCCTGATGGGAGTTGGAGTCCAAGACATTTGGCGAGGCACCAGGTTGGCAGTTGCCAGTCTAAACGGCCACAGTTTAGCTGCTGTAAACCAAACATCAGAATAGATTGGTTGTTGGGAGTCAAAGGCTTTAATCCAGTTGCTAAAGTCGCAGCACATCTGTTGCCATTCTAGACGAAAGTAAAAAGAGAAAAGAAAAGCCCAAAGTTGCAAAACACTACCATTAATACAACAATGCCAATTATATTGCCTCACAGAGCAAAACCGAATAAATAAATTTGATTGCTGTAACTACCGTACAAACCAGCAAAGCTTGCTGACTTAAATAATAATTACGGGCCACCTTTGGTATTAAAACGAGCCCTTAAACCTTGTTCAAGACAAGGTTTCAAGGGAATTCCTCTCTTGCAAGTACTGACATAGCCTCATTATCTTCTGTGGGATTACTCCAGTGTAGGCTGAGCTAGAACCTTGATACCTAATATACTTGCTGCTTAATCGGTGGGGGTGGGCGCTTGTATTTCAAGATTATAACAAACGGGAGCTTTGAAAAATGGCACCTCCCAAGTGCGGTCCTGAAGCAGTTGAGGCCAGAGTTCTTTTGGCTCATTTTCTCCTGCATGTTCCTCCTTGGTTCTTGCTTGCAAATGATCTTGCAGAGGGAGGAAAAGGCTCCTCCTGTGTCGAACCCCTTCTGCCAATTTGACATCACTATCTTTTATCAACAGCTGCTGTTCCTGAGCATTTCAACCTCCCATTTATTCCGCCTCCCATGCTTGAGGCCCGGTACCACCATGGATGGGTTATTGATTTTGTTAAAAAAAATTAGTCTTCTTTCCTCTTCCCCCTCTCCTCACCCTCAATCCAGTCTAAATCATGTTGGCTGCATTCTGGGATATGCCCAATTAATTGCATGTTGGAAAGAATCGAGTTGCTTTTATTTGTGTGTGTATTTGTGACTGAGGGTTGTTTAGACTTGCCAGGTCTTTCCAAGTTCGCACAACGAAAGGTTTAGTTGAAATGCTCTTTTCCCCCCCTTTCTTTCCCAAGTGAAGACAATGGGAAGTTTTTGCCTCAAATCTTTTAGAAGAATCTAGATCGCTTCTGCCTGTCAGGATGGTCTCTGAGCTGGTTGTTGCTGCCCAATTTCCTTAGCCCACAGGGCTTGACTGTGTTGCATGTGAGCCATGCTTCCACATCTCTGCTATTTGCAATTCTTAGGACCTTGGAAGCCAACAAAAATGGTACCTTAGGAATACCCCCTTTCCACTGGGAATATGCTAACTTTTAATGAGCGAATGTTAACAGTGGCCCTCAGTTGGTTGTGTAAGTGTAACCAAGGTTGATGTCTGGACAAACCCGGAAGATATTTTCAATTTCTGCTCCTTGAATTTTTAGAAGGTTCTTTTTTAAAAATAAGAATGGAACTAAAACCTTGAGAAATCTGGAATTCTCTTGAGGTTTCTGCTCTTGAGCAGAGACCTTTTGAAGAAAAACCTTTGGGAGTCAGAGGTAAAAAGAACCACATGATAGGTACTAATTTAAAGATTGCGCATGCACAAAAATCATGGGAACTGTAGTTTCTTAAGCGCTCTGGAACTTGTAGCTCTTTGAGAGGTAGACTACAGTCCCCAGGATTTTTTGGAGAAAGCCACGTGCTTTAAATAAATAGCATTTACAAAGCCAGATCCTCTAGCCTGCTAAAAAGGGGAGATAGAATTGGAAGTGTCTGTGTGGGGTTTTTTGTTGTTGTTTTTTTAACAATTTCCTTTGAAATGGGTTTAATTTCCTGCGCCAGGTTCATGTGCAAAGGCTACCATGTGCCTCTCTAGATTTATATTGAGGTTTCCCTTCCTTTGAAGCTCCTGCTGATTTTCTGGGGCTGGGGGGCGGGGCTGGCATTTTAAAAGCAAGGTGTTGATTTCTGAAAGAGTATTCTATTTTAGTAATAGTGCTCACATTATATACTAGGCCACATTTTTCATGTACAGCACTGTAGGGGATCCCACTCCTGTGCATGAGAAAGAGAAGGGAGTTCTCAACTCTGTTTTCCCCCACCATACTAGATAATAAACTCACTTGAAACAGATTGAGTCTTCTTTTCTCTCCCCAAACAATCACACCGCAGAACAAACCTGACATTTCAATATTATAAATCTGCCTCCTCCTTGCCTCTTGAGCAACTTTCTCCACGGGAGTGTACTTCAGCATTAAAGAAATGGATTATTATTTTGTTGTTACTGTTCCAGAAAGCCCTCGAAACAAAGCCGTTTTAAAAGAATGAATGAGTCTTGTGAGAATCCTCACAGTTTCCATCCTCTTCCAGTTTTTTTTAAAATTTGTGTCTTTCCCCTACCTTTGCAAATTCTGATTTCATTTTAAAATCAGATTGGAGTGGTTAGGATGAAAGGAATAGCAGAGGCTTTTTTATATGGACTTGCCCACCCAGCCCAATAATCAAGTTGTCATGGAAGGACACTCCCCTCCCAGCTCCCTTGGTCCACTTCAACACAAGGCAGCAAATCTTGCTAACCATTGACTTGTCTGTCTCGTAGGATTCTCCAGCCGCTTAACGGCAGAGCAAGTGCCGTTTGCGTCGCTTGGAGGCAACTGAAGCTGGTCTTGCTTGTAGAGAGGCCAGTTATTTGAGGCTTGGGAAGCTGTCACTGGCCTATAAGCATCAGACACAATCCACTCAAAAGCTACATGCTCCCAAGTCCCATTGAGATTTAGTCGGGAGAGATGACAAGCCCATGTTTTTAAGTCCCATCAGTTTTCTACAAGAACGCTGAATACTTGCTTTAGTCCAGGCATCCCCAACCTGAGGCCCTCCAGATGTTTTGGACTACAATTCCCATCATCCCTGACCACTGGTCCTGTTAGCTAGGGATCATGGGAGTTGTAGGCCAAAACATCTGGAGGGCCTCAGGTTGGGGGTGCCTGCTTTAGTCTTTCCCGCTGAAATTACAGGGACTTGTGAAATGGGCCGAACCTTCGCCGCCTTCTGTAATCCCGTAACGTGGTGAGATGCTGCTCTCTGATGCTGGCTTAATGAAGTTGGTGTTGCGTTGTTGCTTGTAGCAGTGCAGGAGAAGGAGGTGGGGGAAGAGGGTCTGTTTCTCTCCATCCTTTTAGTTATGTGTCGAGCCTAAAACCCACTTATAAAGATGTTGGCTAAAGTTAACCGATGACCAGCTTGGATTGCTTGATAGCAACAGTTGCTCTTTGGAAGTTCATCTATCTGGTTGCCTCTGCAGATGTTTTACGATATTAATAACTTAACGTTTCGTAATGAGGGCCTTCCTTCTCCCCTCCCCTCCATCCCACCTACCACCTTTAAGAAAGATAACAATATTGATAGAAAAAGGCTTGTTCTTACGGTTGTAAGGAAAGGCAAAACTGCCCAAAAATAGGATTAAAGACGCACCCCCCCCCCAGTGGAGCCACTTGGCCACATGCGTGGTGGAAAACTCATTTCTCAGTACAGCTCCTCACTGGATCCACATGGTGCCATTTTGTTCTGGAATCTACCATCGGGTTGGGTTTGGAGGAGCCGGATAATGTTCCTTCACCACCTAACCCTTGCTGGATCAAAGTGCTATTACTGCGATTTGAAATATCTGTCCTCCTTTGGGATTTATTTTTCTTCTTAATTCAGTTGCTTTTTTGTGTCTTTGACACAGGTTTAGCCTGTTGCACATTTTCACCTTTTGGCCTTTTGGGGGGAAATTCCTTTGCTAGGTATCTTTTTTTGCTGTTGATAATGTTGTGTTGAGAAGGTGGGGAGGGAAGGAAGGAAGAAAAAATTTCCATGTAGCAAGAGAACGCTTGCGCAATTCCTTTTCGGCAGAGCTCTGGCGGTGTTTGCCCACCCCCCCCTTCCCCAAACTCAGGTATGTTTTAGGCAGTGAAACCGGCTTCTTCCCTGTCCTGTGAGAAATATATCGCCGTTTGGTTTCCAAGTTCTCATTAGCAAATACTTTCATTGCAATCCTAAGCAACTTATACCTTGGAGAGGCCTTAGGAAGTTGTTTTTCCAAGTGCATATTTTGTTTTGTTTCAAAAACTCTAAAATAAAAAAATAAAGATGGGGAAAATATATATACTATATAAATATATAGAGATATCTAGAAACTTGGTGTTTGGCACACAGGTTTTTTTCAGTGTTGGATCACTTTTAACTGTCACAGGTACCATACGTGTAACTCTTAAATCTTCCATCTGCTTTCCTTTCTGTGTATATTCCTTTATAGGAAGCTATGTTGCCATGATTTTTTTTAAAATAATAATATTTAAACAGAAAAGAGAGAGATAATTTTTTTAGAGTTAACTCCTCGGAGGTGAACAAACTTTTACATTTTTTCCCCTTGGCTATTACCGAGTTCAGTACTAATATATGTGTTGTGGATTTTTTTTTACTGATTCAGTGGAACTTAACAAGGGATTAAAAATACATGTATATACATATATATATATGTATACATATATCACTGTACATTGGAAACAAAAGCTACTAAAATTGGAGCAAGCGCACCTCCCGGCGGCTCTGAATCTGAACCCCTCTTTCCTCTCTCTCTTTTTGTGCCACGGTTATTTATATGAAAGCATCTTGATCACTTTCGGACGCTCATCCTCCTCCACTCTTGTGCCACCCTTTCCCATGTCCCCCCCCTTTTCTTTTTTGTATTCCAACATTCGCACCAAGACTGCAGTGCCCGACTTTTATTCTTTGTAACCATCAAAACCCATACTGAGTATGTTTGTAACCAACATTGTGATAATTCTGTAATTGTATTGCTAAAAAATGGATAATTGACCTAATAAATATAGTGTTCCTGCGTTCGTGCAGACGTGCTTTGTTCGGGACGCAGAAGGCTTCTGTGCTCTTTTGGAAAAGACTAAACAAAAAAACGAGCGAGCTTCTGTTTCGGCTATCATTTGGCACACTCTTTGGAAAACTCCCTGTGGGGGGGAAAGGGCAGCGTCAGGGGAGATATTTTACTTTAGTGTTTTTATATCTTCCTATATATATATAATATGTAAGGTGTCGTCACGTTCTGCAGCTCATGTGGCCACTGATAGGCAGCCATGCCAACTGCAGCACGAGGAACAGCAGGCTGACCCAGGTAAGCTGTTCCCCCTACACTGAGGCTTCACACAACAGTTCAGAAAGCCACTCTGTGAAGCGCCCCCTCCCTTTAAAGGGGGTTGTGGGGAATGGCAAGCCTTGGGGTGAACTGGGGGGGACGGATGAGGGTGAGTGATCACCCTGAGCCGAGTGATTTCAGTCTTCCTGTAGGGAATGAATTTTCTTTTGGGGTGGGGGCAATGCTCAGCTGGGTGAAATAATGCCCAAGGGGGCCCTATTGGTTGTTTTACCACCCTTGGGGTTGTGGGGCATTCCCTGTGGCAAACCCCCAAGCCGTAGGACTCCTCGCAGAGTTGCGTCTGGCACCTTCACTACCCCGTTTTTCACCGAGTGCAGGAAAGAAGCACCTCTTTATCCTGGCTTTTCGATGGTTTAGGATCCACCTTATTTCTGGGGTTGCGAGCTGTTTTTAACGGTTCTTAACATTATGCTTTACTTGTTACGGCCCACACTAAGACTTTGAGGTGAAGGATAGATTAATAATACTAGTAATAATAATTAAATGGCTGGGACAGAGGTAGAGGAGCAGGGAGAGCCCTCAATACCATAGCTGTCAACTTTTCCCTCTTCTTGTGAGGAATCCTATTCGGAATAAGGGAATTTCCCTTTAAAAAAAGGGAAACATTGACAGCTATGCTCAATACACAGCCGGGAACAGCAACATGGAGGGAAGCTCTGGAGCTAATTTTTTTTGGGGGGGGGCTCTCTGCTACTGAGCCCTTCTGTTTGCCTGACATCACAAACCAGTGACATGAATCGTGCTTCCAGTCTCCCTCATCCTCAAAGGATTTGGCTCTCATTCTGTCTCACACACATTTTCTTCCCTTTCTGTCCCTTTGACAGGTTCTATTATTACTTTGCGCCCCCTCAGTTCAGTACCCTGTGTAGGGGAATGGCCCACACCATCCTAAACCGCCTGTGGGCAGCAGACCACAACTCCTGCCCTCCTTTAACTTTTTGAGCCCATTGTTCTTATCTCCTCTGCAGGGTGATCAGGTACAAAAGAACAGGTTGTCTCTACGTTCTACGCAAGAGTAAATTCACAGAAACTAATCAACACGACCATGACTACCACTGACTATAGCCCATAGTTAGCTGATTGTTAGGAGCCTTAAAAAAAGATAAAGGACCCCTGACAGTTAAGTCCAGTTGAGAACAACTCTGGGGTTGTGGCACTCATCTCGCTTTACTGGCCAAGGGAGCCGGCATACAGCTTCCAGGTCATGTGGCCAGCAGGACTAACCCGCTTCTGGTGAACCAGAGCAGTGCATGGAAATGCCCTTTACCTTTCCGCTGGAGTGGTACCTATTTATCTACTTGAACTTTGACGTGCTTTTGAACTGCTAGGTTGGCAGGAGCTGGGACTGAGCAACGGGAGCTCACCCCGTCGCGGGGATTCGAACCGCCAACCTTTTTATCGGCAAACCCGAGGCTCTGTGGTTTAGACCACAGCGCCACCCACGCTTATCTAGTGCCAAATCTTAATTACGGCCATGTTCACACCACACATTTAAAGCACCATTACAACACTCGTGGCTTTCTCCAAAGAATTTTGGGAGCTGTGGGTGTTGTTTTTTTAAGAATCCCTTTATTCCCCTCACTGAGCTACAGCTGCCAGAGTTCCCTGTGAAGAGACTCTTCAACTACTCTAGATAATTGTAGCTCCAGGAACAAGTCTCCTAACAACTCTTGAGTATCCTTAATAGCAGCTCCCAGAATTCATGGGGGGAAGCCATTGACTGTACAAAGTGGTATCATTGTGCTTTAAAATGGATGGTGCAGATGTGGCCTGTGACCACTCCCATGGGGAATCATATAGAACTTTGGTTAACAGTAGAGCCGGCCCCATAGTTAGCTTGGGATTACAAAAGGGGCATCCTGGGCCTACAAAGGATGAAGGCCCTTGCACTATATTTAGGCCTTGTGTGGTATACACTAGGAGGCATGTGGCCACTAGGTGGCACTGCTGCTTCATTATAGTTCAGGATGAAAAGACTACAGTAGTTGCTAAGGAAGTGACTTTCTAGGAAAAGTTAACTTTGCTTCTTTCACCTGGGGACAGTCTCAAGGGCCCTGTGGAAGGGCTCAGAGAGCTGCATTCTGCCCTCAGGTCTGGGGTTCCCCATCCCACTTTAGAGGATTTAAACATTATATGGAGAGAAATAAAGGTAAAGGGGACCCCTGACCATTAGGTCCAGTCGTGACTGACTCTGGGGCTCATCTCACTTTATTGGCCGAGGGAGCCGGCGTACAGCTTCCGGGTCATGTGGCCAGCATGACTAAGCCACTTCTGGCGAATCAGAACAGCACATGGAAACGCTGTTTACCTTCCTGCCGGAGCGGTACCTATTTATCTACTTGCACTTTGACGTGCTTTCGAGCTGCTAGGTTGGCAGGAGCAGGGACCGAGCAATGGGAACTCACCCCGTCGCGGGGATTCGAACCGCCGACCTTCTGATCGGCAAGTTCTAGGCTCTGTGGTTTAACCCACAGCGCCACCCGCGTCCCATGGAGAGAAATATTAAGTGCTAATTTGCTACCACAAACTGGGAAGGGGTTTCCCTTCTGCCCTCTCCTGCAAGAGGTTTGATTTGAATGGTTTTTCATCAAATCCTCACTTCCTTTAAAACCTCACAAAGCTATCACCAAAGCAAGGGAGCTCTGCCTTCCTCATCGTGCCCCAGCCCCATGTGTTCTGGACATGATCCCAATTTGATCCCAATTTGAATGGCTGTGTTTTGGACTCCAGTTCTCAACAGCCCAACTCAGCAGAGTCATTCCACCTCTCCACTTCACAGACCTCCCTGTGCACTTGTCTTTGACCCTCATGTTGCTCCCAAACCACTCTTGGGAGGCAGATTGAATCATAAACTCCAGGAAAGATGCTCTCAGGAAGCGGGTCTTTATATAAGCTGTTGACATCGAGTCTCTGCAGAGGCCTAACTCAAAAGGCGTCTTGCAGAAAGCTAAACTCTTTCTACAAATTCTCCTTGGTAAACGCCGCACATGCTAACGGTCAGTCTTTAAAGGAGTTTTTTCAGCCGCTGGAGAAAGCTTCGCTGCTTCATTGCTGGTAGAGGTAGGTGAGATGGTAGCCATGTACGTGGGGTGACTGATATCGACACCTTCCTTCCTTCTTGCCTTTGAGGGCCTCTTGTGTAGCCTGAAGAGACAGGGTGGAAAAACTCCCTAAGAGGGCACTGGGGAACCCATTTTCCAATGGATGTTGCTGAACTATCCAGCAAGGATGCACAACATCCCCGATCGTTGGCCCTGCTGGAATCGGGAGTCCAGCAACATCTGGAAGGCCACAGATCCCCATCCTTCTTGTAATTGCCCAGTAAAGGAATGTAAGAAGCTGCCTAATACTGAGATCATTGCTCCATGAGGCTCAATATTGTCAACACTGACTGGCAGGGGCTCTCCAGGGTTTTGGATAGACATTCTTACTCCTTCCTGGAAATACCAGGAATCAACCCTGGGGCCACTTGACCGCAAAAGCCTGTGCTCTAGCACTGAGTTACAGCCCTTCTGCAATCCTTCCCTCGCCCTGTTAGGAGAAATTTGCACTGAAATGCAGATAAACATCAGGATTATTCTTTTCAATTCTCAAACTGCTGCAGGGATGTAGAGAACTGAAAACGAGAAACGCAGCTGAAAATGACAGATCCATCCATCTCTAGTCAGTGGTGAGAATTATGGATTTCATTAGACGCCCCCTGCGCACCCCTACCAATCTGAGCACAGTTGATGCTCCTCACTCACCTCTTCTTTGACGTACTTCCCGGAGGCAGGTCAGAGTCTCGTGACAGTGAGCACACCTGTTTTAATTTCCCCTGCATCTTTGCACCGCCTTGGAGGCCCCAGGTATCACGCAGCTTCATCAGCTTGCCACAGTCAGGCAGAACAACCATATCGGGACTTTCCAACCGGCAATAAGCTTTCTGGAATGAAATACGAAGACATGCACAAAACCAACACAGGACTGGTCGCCTCTGACTCTACTACGTGAGGATTCCTGGCCTAAATTAAGCTGTGAAGCATCAAACCACACACTTGAGAATGTCCCGTTCGGTGGCTTGCAGCACTTCAAAAATGCAGCGCTGGAACGGAGGACAAGTGTCATCTTTCAACGCTCAAAAAGAGCTCTCACACGATCGACTGCTCCCATTGTATAGCACCCAGATATACATCTCCATTGTTAAATAACGGTGCAGAAATAGTAGAATACAGGACAAAGCTGGAAGCGTTCAGGCATGGCCAACTTCTTTATAAAGTGGCACAACCACTGGGTGCTGCTATGGCTTTCTCAGTGAATCATTATGGAAAAGCTGCAATTTAAATGCAAAGCCTACGAGGCCCTTTGTCAGGTGGATGTTTGCAGCTGTGCAAAGCTCCAGTGAATGCCTCACCCCCACCTCAAATTACCCCCTCTCCAAAGATTCATGAGGACGTGGTTTTGCACTTTTTACCCAGCCCAGAAAGTTCAGCTAAACTTTACAACTGTTGACAGTTCAGCCCTAACTAGGTTAGCAGCAGGAATAGGAGAAAGGTTGTAGCTCAGTGGACAGATCATCTGCTTTGCATGCAGAAGGTCTCTAGCATCTCCAGGCAGGGCTGGGGTAAGCTCTTGCCTGGTAACCCTGGAGAGCTGCTGCCAGTCAGTGTAGACATTACTGAGCTAGGTGGACCAATAGTCTGACTCTGCAACATTCCTGGCTTGACCCAAAGGCAGCCATGCTCACTGCCCCAACAGCTGGCACAAGCAGACTGTCCACTAGGAAAAAACATGCTTTGAGCACCATTAAAGTTATTTAAATGCAGCCTGTTATTCAGTAGCCTTTCTGCTTGATTTAGATCCTTGTGACGTCTTTAATTTTCCAGAAGAAAACCTCCTCTGCTAACTCTCTTTTTTCATGGGGCTGGGAAATCACACATTAGCAAGCCCTGAGCAGCACAGAACACCATCGATCATAGCAGGGATTTCAACAAAGCAGTGATGACTCAGTCTGTCCCGCTCATCTCCCAGCCTTAATAAAAACTCATAAAAAGATCGAGTTAATATACTGGCAACACTGGGGCATTTGCCAAGGATCTCTTTGGTGCTATCCGATAGCCCCCACACCTCTGAGAGAGGTGTTATTGAACACGTTGCCTTGCTAGGTCAACCTAAAGGCCCATCTGGGCCCAGTATTCTGCTTCCAACAGGGGCAAGCACTGTAGGACGGTAACAGCTCTTGGCCACAGCACCTGGTGCATGAGAGAGACTGCCTCTGAACAGTCCTATTGCCTCTTTATTGCCCCCAAAGGAGCTTATAATAATAAAAGTGGGTGAGTGTGGGGAGAGAGAGAGAGATGGTAGGATCCTGCAGGTAATCTGGTTCAACCCCTACTCAATGCAGGATCTGCAATGTAGGGCTCAACTGCAGGAGGCACTGGGGACCTTTGGCCTGCCAGGCGCTGCTGACCTACAGCTTCTATCAGCCTAGCAAGCTTGGCCAGTGATGGCTGCGATACCTAACAACTCCTAGTGCCCTTGATAAGATTTTGGTTCTTCTTTGGAGGAAGCCACGGCTGTTACAGTGGCATATGAAAACTTTAAATGTGTGGTGCTGATATGGCCTCTTGCTTCCTGTCCCCGCCTCTCTCTGGACCACTTCAGCCGGGATAGCTCTGTTGGTTAGAGCGTGGTACTGATGAGGCCAAGGTTGCAGGTTGGATACCCATATGGGGCAGCTGCGTGCTCCTGCTTTGGGCTAGGTGATCCTCAGGGTCCTTTCCAAGTCTATGATTCTATGATCTGCCAATGCTCTGGCTAGAGAAGAAATCTACTTTCAGTGAGAGATTCAAATTTTGTTTGAGGCAGGGTGGGAAAACATAGTAATAATATAATAATAATTTATTATTTATATCCCGCCCATCTAGCTGGGTTTCCCCAGCCACTCTGGGCGGCTTCCAACAAAATATTAAAATACAGTGGTCTGTTAAACAATTAAAAGCTACCCTAAACAGGGCTGCCTTCAGATGTCTTCTAAAAGTCTGGTAGTTGTTGTTCTCTTTGACATCTGGTGGGAGGGTGTTCCACAGGGCAGGTGCCACTACCAAGAAGGCCCTCTGCCTGGTTCCCTGCAATGTCACTTCTCGCAGTGAGGAAACCGCCAGAAGGCCCTCCTCGGAGCTGGACCTCAGTGTCCAGGCAGAACGATGGGGGTGGAGACGTTCCTTCAGGTATACTGGGCTAAGGCCGTTTAGGGCTTTAAAGATCAGCACCAACAATTTGAATTGTGCTTGGAAACGTACTGGGAGCCAATGTACATCTTTCAAGACCGGTGTTATGTGGTCTTGGTGGCCGCTCCCAGTCACCAGTCTATCTGCCACATTCTGGATTAGTTGTAGTTTCCAAGCGGGAGATAACTAGAGCATGTGCCACTCTGGCCAGACAGTCCGCGGGCAGGTAGGGTCTCAGCCTGCGTACCAGATGGAGCTGGTAAACAGCTGCCCTGGACACAAAATTGACCTGCGCCTCCATGGTAGTCTGGATGTTGCCCTGCTACCCAGCTGCCTATTGCCACCCTCCACTGCTTTCTCTGCCGTGTCAAAGGGAGCATCGCTCTTACCAGGAACTTGGCCATTTGGTCGGTCTTGCTGTAGCGGTACAATCTGCACAGCTGCTTCTCGTCGAGTGCTGAGAAGAGGGAGACAAACCTCCAAAGCATCCTAGAGCAGGCGGCAAAGTGGGAGGAGAGAGGGAACTTAAACACGTCACTGTTGCGTGGAACGTGGGACAGAGAATGGTGCCAGAAAGCGAGACGGTTGCAAAGAGAGCTAAAGGCTAAAGGCCAGGGGACATGGCTCAGGGGCAGAGCACCTGCCTTGCCTGCAGAAGACCCCAGGTTCAATCTGTAATGGCATCTCCTGGAAGGGCTGGGAGAGTCCCCTGTCTGCAACCCCAGAGAGCTGCTGCCAGTCAGTGTAGACAACAATGAACTAGGTGGACAAACAGTCTGACTCTGTATAAGTCAGCTTTCTGTGTTCATACGGAAAGAGCTGCAGTTCCCAGAGTGGTTTAACAATCTGTCCCTCTTCAAAGGGAACTCTGGGACTTGTAGGCCGGGAGAGGGCATCTCTCAGCACCTTTATCAAACTACAGCTCCCAGAATTCTTTGGGGGAAGCGATGGCCCCTTAAAGTGGTATCATAGTGCTTTAAAGGTATGGTGTGAACAGCGGCTAGCTCTGAAATAACATTATAGATTTCTTTAGTTATTTGTTTTACTAAAACATGCATTTTTTTGTAAACGTTTTGCCCTAGCGTATGCAATTTTGTACATGTTACATGGCTCGAAAAGTGTGCTACAAAATTTGGAGAAGTGCAAATTTCAAACGATGGCAGCTTTGGTTCTTGCAGTGTTCTGGGAAGTACAGATTTATAAAGGTTCGCCTTTAAAAAGTGACCTTAATCAATTTTCTCCCCCCATCCCTGGTTGCTTGTCTTACAGAAGTATTAAAGAGAGTTGATAGATACAGGAGCCTTTGGCCTCCTGGTGGCCCAATTGATTAAACCAAATCAATTATTGAAATCGGCCTTTGATTAGCTACTTTTCATGAGCAGTATGGTATGTCTTGACAGACTTCAATGATACTTAACAGCCCTTCCCTGCTTAACAAGATATTGAACTACTGCCAGTATTGAACCATCTGGGTTTTTGCACTGCCATAGCATTCTGCCATTGTCCTTGTAAATCACCCACTTCTGCCCTTTCACAGCCCTATTTGGAGAGTACGGTAAACAGCTTTAGAAGAAAGAAAGAAAAATAGATTATCTTATTATCTGCTTGCAGAGAGCTGGGCAATTGGAATTCTTTCAACCCTCTTGGATCCTTAAGTATTCCGGTAACGAAAAATAAACATTTGCTCTTGGCTCCTATACAGATAACTAAAGAGATTCTTGCTAGAATTTTGCTTTGGACTCTGCCTGACAAACCTGTAAAGCATGCAACTTTTTCTAAGGTGGAGGGGATGACCTGAGACCTAACGGGCTAATTTCATGAATCTTGCACCATTAATGCTATGGGGTTTACATCTGAGCAGATGCCTACAGGATTACCTTGTTAAGTCTTGTATTACTTACCTTGCTTGCTTCCCACCTACACAGCCTGGATCTTTGTAAACAGACAGATTTAAAAGAGCCTCAGCGAGGAGAGCCAAATTTTAATCATTGAGGGCCAATTTTAATCAATGAAGCTGAGAGCTAAAATCTTAAAAAAAAAAAAAAGCTATCATGGTGCTGGTGATTAAATTGTAATGGGTGAGGCAAACATGAAATAAATAATTGCCTCCCTCCTCACAATGAATTATAGCTCTTATTTATTAAATCGTAAAGTGCCCCCCCCATCCTTCAGTAGTTCAGAACAACTGAGGATTTGGTCATATGCAAAATAAATTAAAGTATATTTCCATATGACCTCAATAAGTCTGTACTTTAAATACAAAAGATACAGAAAGAAGCAGTTTTGATAGGGGGCAAAAAGCAGGGAAAGGGTCCCCTCCAGTAGCAGAGGGGTACAGTCAGTGCTTTTTTCTGGGGGCACACAGGGGTACGCATACCCCTAAACATTTTGTGAATCTAAGTTTGGCCTCATTGAGGGGCAGTATTTCAATATGAGTGGGAAAATTAGAGTACCCCTAAACATTTTTTTAAGAAAAAAAGCACTGGGTACAGTTGTTCCTTGGGGAATTGATTCAGGACTAGCAGTAATGCTACCTGCCTTAGGAGTCTGCTGGTATGTTGCAAATAAACGCAGGTTATGGAGGTGCCATGACATTTTTTGTTAACTCTATTTCATCACAAAGAACACAGGCTCTGTACAGAAGCTACTTCCAAGCAAGGGAATGTCTTTGGTAATAATATATACCAGAGGGAATCGTTGCAATACAGTGGTACCTCGGGTTAATAACTTAATTCGTTACGGAGGTCCGTTCTTAACCTGAAACTGTTCTTAACCTGAGGTGCCACTTTAGCTAATGGGGCCTCCTGCTGCTGCCGCGCCGCCAGAGCACGATTTCTGTTCTCATCCTGAAGCAAAGTTCTTAACCCGAGGTACTATTTCTGGGTTAGCAGAGTCTGTAACCTGAAGTGTCTGTAACCTGAAGCGTCTGTAACCCAAGGTACCACTATATATCCTCCGTCCCTTAAAGGAGTGCTGCTCTTCAGGGAAGGTTCTGGGCATTGAGCTTTGGGATGCTGTTGCGCAGCCTCATTCTGTGGAAGGGCCCCCTTACTTCTTCCAGTGCTTCAGCTCCCAGGTCTTGCAGTAGTGCTGAAGGAACATGTTGATATGGTCCCCCAGGATGGTCAGGTTCTTCCGGGTGCAGCTCAGCCTCTTCTCCTTCGGGAAATCTTTCGGCAAATTCAGCTTCCGCAGGCATTTCTTGAAGGGTCTCAGGAACTCCTTGCACTGGGGAGGGAGAGAGAAGAAAGTGGTGTGGGGGCTGTAGCCATAGGCAGATTCGTCAGCTTTAGTTTTTTCCAGGCTTAAGTTCAATTCCCCAACATTCGCAAGTTATTTTGTGGTTTAAAAGCAAACGCATGTGAACTTTCGCATTTCGGTATGTAATGCAATTCTGCCTAATATGCAGATTTTTGCAAAGCGATCTTTCTGGTTATAATGCATTTTGTATGTTACTGATTGGTGGGTTGGTTGCGTTTATATCCCACCTTTTTTCCCTAGGGTGCTCAAAGCAGTGTATACAGTTCACCTCCTCCTCATTTAATCCTCACAGCAACCCTGTGAGGAAGGTTAAGCTAAGGACAGTGACTGGGGACAGAGTGGGGATTCAAACCCTGGTCTCTCAGGTCTTAGTCCGACACTCTGACCATTTCCACACAGGCAAACTAATGTCAGTGTACTGGAAGAAGCAAATATCACCTGTGTCGAAGCAATGATTCTTCACCATCAACTTCGTTGGACTGGTCATGTTGTTTGGATGCCTGATTATCGTCTTCCAAAGCAACTACTCTATTCTGAACTTAAAAATTGAAAGCGTAATGCTGGTGGTCAAAATAAGATTTAAAGACTCTCTCAAGGCAAATCTTTAAAAATTGTAGTATAAACACTGACAACTGGGAAACACTGGCCTGTGAGCGCTCCAGTTGGAGAACAGCCTTTACCAAAGGTGTCATGGGCTTTGAAGACACTCGAACTCAGGACGCAAGAGAGAAATGAGGTAAGAGGAAGGCACGTTTGGCAAACCCACACCGTGATCAAATCTCGCCTGGAAACCAATGTCCCCACTGTGGAAGGACGTGTGGATCCAGAACTGGCCTCCACAGTCCCTTACAGATTCACTGTTAAAACTGTATTTATGGAAGACAATCTTATTCGGCTACAAGTGATCACCAAAGCATTACCACACACTGGCTTTATTCACTAATATATGCATGCTTATGCACACTTTACTATTCTATGCATTTTTGTATACTGTACTTTGCCGGGGAACCTCACTGCAAAGTTCAGAGACCTGCACATTTCAAAGGATAGCTGTTTCGCTTTGTGTATTGTTTTGGAAACTGCAGCGTTCTCCTTGATACGTGAACTGAATCTGATTTCTCCTCCATCCCTTGAGAGTGTGTGTATGTATTCTTAGTATTCCAGGAGCAATGCCCAACAGTTTAATGGCCTACGGTTTAAGGAACCATGTCCTATGGGTAGAAATGGCTTTCTTTCTCACTATTTTGAAGGTGTCCTGTGTCAGTCCATCTGCATAGTGGACAAGCGCATCTCCCGACGGCGCGACCCTCGTGAGGGTCTCTCTGTGTGACGTCTCACGGTCTCGGCAGGTTGGAAGCTTGAGCTCAGTCGCCTGCAAACATTTGCACACCCGAGAAGTCACTTTCTTGGGTCCCAACAGGTAAAAAGTAAGCAAAACTGCAATCTCTAAGCAAGAAGCCATCAAGGAAAGTGGCAGAAGAATCAGCTGAGACAATGATAATAGTGTGGACATACAGAGCCAGCTCTATCCTTAGGCAAAATGAGGAAACCGCCTCAGGTGACAGACTTTGGGGGGCAGCAGCAGCCCTCAGTGTGAACATAAAAAGAGCCTGGCTGTGGGGTCAGGTCAGAGACCCATCTAGTCCAGCGTCCTGTTCTCACAGCCACCAACCAGATGCCACAGTGGGAAGGCTGAAAGCGGGACCTGATCCCAAGAGCACTTTCTAGAAGTGCAGTTCCTAAGGATTGGTATTCAGAGGCATACTGCGTCCAACAGTGGAGACAGATCACAGCCATTGCAGCTAGTAGTCATGGACAGCCTTAAAGGTAAAGGGAACCCCTGACCGTTAGGTCCAGTTGCAGAAGACTCTGGGGTTGCGGTGCTCATTTCGCTTTACTGGCCGAGGGAGCCAGCGTACAGCTTCTGGGTCATGTTGCCAGCATGACTAAGCTGCTTCTGGAGAACCAGAGCAGCGCACGGAAACGCCATTTACCTTCCCGCTTGAGCGCTCCCTATTTATCTACTTGCACTTTACGTGCTTTCGAACTGCTAGGTTGGCAAGAGCTGGGACCGACCAACGGGATCTCACCCCGTTGTGGGGATTCGAACCGCCGACCTTCTGATTGGCAAGCCCTAGGCTCAGTGGTTTAACCCACAGTGCCACCCACGTCCCATGGACAGCCTTACCCTCCATAAATTTGTCCAATCCATTTTTGAAGGCAGACAAGTTGGTGGTTATTGCCAGCTCTTGTGGGAGCCAATTCCATAGGTTAACTATGTGCTGTGTGAATGAGTTTCTCTCCTGCGTCTCCCAATAGCTGGCTTCACTGGATGACCCCAGCAGATCCATATTGTGCATAAGTTTATACACCTCTGCCATGTCCCTCGCCCCCCCCCCTATTTTGCAAACTGGAAAGCATTGGTAAACCACTTGGTAACTTTCCAAATGCATAGTCAAAGGAATAGGTTTCTTCTCGAACAACTACAAAAATGTACCCATTACACAGACCTGGCAAACCTTGTTCCTCCACTCTTCTAGGCCTGCCATTCTTCCGGCAGTTGCTTCTCCCATGGCCGACTTCTCCGTTAGCCAAATCCTGCCTCTTCCCTTCTCCTTCTCTGCTCCCTAGGGACTCTCTTTGGGGGCCAAGGGACCCAAAGATGAGCTGGGTGTCGTGAGCCACAGTCCGGCCTGTGTGGGTGTGTTTGAATCTAAGCCGGCTTTTGTGACCTCACCTCTGAGGCGAATTGGTTCCAAATTCTTATGACAAGCAAAGGAAGAGGGATTGCTTCCCTGAGAAGAAACAGGGGAAATGTTTGGTTGTGTGTGTGGGGGGGCTTAAGTCTCATCTCTTGATGGCCCCCATCATTTGAATGCCTCCTCAGATGTCTGAAGGAATCGTGGTCTCTTTTCGAGGAATTTTGGTTGTTCTGTGGAGGTGTGAACGACGACAACAACAAAAAAAACCTTCTGCACTGCCTCAGATGCACTCTTTCTTTATTCTCTCATTCCTCCTGCAGGAGAGACCTAGTCAATGAAAGTTGTTGGCAGGTCTAGTAAGCATTGGTCCAAATTAAATCGAGAGATTTCCCCTTTAAATACAGGTTTGTTAAATTTATCCTGCGGGCGTTAAACTTTCTGTAAAGTGATATCCCAGACAAGCATTGGAATCTGTCTCAGATTTACTTTTTGAAAGGAATAATAAGAATAATTATATCAAGAAATTTCCCACTCCCTGTACGCTTTATTCTCCGGAAGGTCACTGTGCCCTTTTGCACAATTTTCTTCCTAACAGTTCTCTCTGTCGGCCTCTTTTCTTCCATTTCAAGCTTCTAAGAAGCCTCTGATTTCAAAGGGGGAGATGCCCTCCTTCTGCCTCTAGGCCACTCTCCTTAGTGCTCCTCTGATATATTTCCATCTCTCTCACGCGGTTGAAAACATTTTATTCTCGCCCCTCGATAGCCCCCGTATGTCTCTGCTGAGGCCCTAATCTTTGTGCTGTAAGGGAACACAGAAAACTGCCTTATACTGTTAGGCTGGTCCATCTAGCTCAGCATTTCCTACACTGACAGGCAGCAGCTCAGCAGGGTTTCAGACGGGGATCTTGCCCTCGTCCCTTCTAGAGACGCCAGGGATTAAACCTGGGACCTTCTACATGCAAAGCAGATTCTCTGCTACTAACATCAGGGCAGGTGTTGGGAACATGGCAGTGGAGCTAACTGTTCCCAAGTAATCTGAGGCTGCTTTGTCTTGTGTGTCTTTGCTCTGCTCTCTTCATCCCTCTTCAGGTTCTGGGGGACCAGAGGGAAAAGGAGCTTGTCCCACCATCAGTGCCCTGGCTCTGAGCCTTCTTGCCTTGGGGGTTCCCCAGCTGCCTCCCACCTCCTCTGCATCCAGCCAATCCAAGACAGCTGAATTTTGCTTTCCCCCTACAAAACCAAGGTTCTAGTCCTCTTGGTTGTGGGCAAAAAGTGTTTTAAATGGGAATGCAGAAAGCTGCCTTTGTTGTTCTGCCCACTTTTGCCTCTGGCCTCATCCACCACTGGCCTGTGGGCTCCCAGAAGGGAATGCACCCCTGGCCTAATAGCAGGGCCGGCTCTGCTGAAGCTGAAAACCTCAGAATAAGTCTCTTGGAATATCACAAAACACAAGCAGGTCTGTGACCTTTCTGGCTATAATAGCGCCTCTGATGCTGAATTTGGGAATGAAGCAAGCAGCGCCTCTCTCCTGCGTCAGATGTTTGGGAAATGCAAATTAAGCCGCCAACGAGGAGATGTGTGTAACAGATGCCAACAATACAAATTACTTAAGGCCTCTGGAAGCCAGTTCCTTTGTTCTGATCAGCTCTGCTCAATTCACCAGTGGACGGGACTTTGCCCTTTTAATTTACTGGTGACTCATTACCAACTTGGCCACAGTGGAATCTGTCGAGTGTCTTTATTTATGTCTGAAAATGCTCCTTTGCATGAGAATGAAGAAGAGAACTTCCATGTAGCTGTCTTGAGATCCTCTCCTGTCTACTGCCCTTGGTAGAACGCGAGGGGCCAGACGATGGCCCAATTTGGAGATTGTGTTGCAGCACTGAAAAGAGGTTGGCATGCTGGACTAGGGAGATCAGCATTCAAATCCCCCACTCGGTCATGAAGCTCAGTGGGTAGCTTTGGGCCAGTAATTTCCTATTGATTTAACCCAGGGGTGGGGAACTAGTGGATCTCTGGGTGCAGCTGGAGTCCTTTTCCCATGACTATTGACCAGAAGGTCCTGGGTTTGGTCCCCAGAACCTATAGCACAGGGATGGAGAATCCTATAGACTTCCAGATGTCCCTGGACTACAACACCCATCATCCCTGACTGTTGGCCATGTTGGCTGAGGCTGATGGGTGTTGGAGTCCAACAACGACTGGAGGGCTACAGATTCCCTGCCCATGGCCTGACCTAATCCTTAAAACATTGTGAGAATAAGACAGAGGTGGCAAGAGATATATTGGAGCTCTTTGGAGGGAAGATGGAAGATAAGTGTCATAATAATAAATTTTAAGCATTATTTATTAGTTTAAAACTTAAGGATCAGGAGCAGCCCAATACTTTTTGGCAGCTGGGTCAGACCCCAATATGATGTTCCCCAAACTGCTTGGGCAGAAGGGGTGAGGGGAGATCTAAATCGGTAACAATGAGGCGGGAGGAAGATCAACACCAGGATCTGCTGCCCTAGTAAATCCTGCTGCTTGAAGCAGTTGCCTCACCTTGCCTCATGGGTGGGCTGGCCCTGCATCTGGTCCAGCAACCTATTATCACAGGGGAAGCCCACAAGGAGGATCTGAACACAGCAATCCTCTCCCTACCAGTGAATGCCCAGCAAAAGTTGCTTTTCCAAGTCCACCTGAACTCTGCAGGACTTAGGTCTGAACAGACATGTTTCAAATGATACCAAGGCTGCAGTACTGTACCAACTTACCTATAGGATTGTGCTGTGTTTTCTCATTCGCACGCCACAATCCTATGTGTGCAGTGATGACAGGTGCCCATTGGGACTGGTAGGGTGAAAGGCAGGGAGCCCAACACTGGGGGGCGCCAGCCTACTGACTACCCTGATTGAAGCCTCCCTGAGGAATGTGTGTATATAGGATTGTAGTTTGTTAAGGGTGGTGAGTATTGCAGCTCTGGGAGGGGGTAAACTGGAATTCCTATGACCTCTCTCTCCCCCTCCCTCCCTCTCTCTCTCTCTCTCTCTCTCTCTCTCTCTGTGCTTTAAATGTAGGGTGTGTGGGTACCTTTGCTTTGGACAATTACCGTAATTCCAGTGGCCTTCCTCCAAATAAAACTTAGTTGAATATAGCCCAATCTTTTTGCCACACCTTGATAAAGGAAAAAAGCAACGGCCAGATCAAGCATGCAGGCTGCCAGTTGCCCACCCCTGTGCTAAGAAGACACAAGTTTCATATTTCCAGAAATGACATCCATTCCAGATAGGGATTCAGGGACTCGGCCTATGCAAAGCCTTGGCTGAAATGAACCAGTGAAACTGGTTATGCCATTGCACTGGCCACGAAAGTGGGTTGACGACTACCCAGCTCCGTATCTGTTTATGCAAGAGTCTGCGTTATGTAAGATTGTGCCCAGCAGATGACGTTGCTTTGTTCTTAGTAAGTGGTGAGTCAAAGGTTGACAAATCTCTTTGAACTTCCTTTAACCGCAGACGGACCCTTTCGGGGAAAAGAAAGCAGATACTAAAATGGAAGTTCAAGTGGAGCTATCCCAGGTTGGGGGCGGGGAATGTAGTATAAACACCAACAACTGGGAAGCACTGGCCTGCGAGCTCTCCAGTTGGAGAACAGCCTTTGCCAAAGGTGTCGTGGGCTTTGAAGACACTCAAACTCAGACGAAAGGGAGAAATGTGCTAAGAGGAAGGCACGCTTGGCAAATCCACACCATGATCAACTCCCTCCCAGAAACCTATGTCCACACTGTGGAAGGATGTGTGCAGTGCTTTTTTTCTAACAACAATGTTTAGGGCTACTCTAATTTTCCTACTCATGTTGAAATACTGCCCCTCAATGAGGTCAAACTTAGATTCACAAAATGTTTAGGGGTATGCATACCCCTGCATCTCCCCAGAAAAAAGCACTGGGTTGTGGATCCAGAATTGGCATCCACAGTCACTTACGGACTCACTGCTAAAACCCTGTTTTGGAAGACAATCTTACTTGGCTATGAGTGATCGCCAAAGAGTAAGATATTTATTGCAGTAGATCCCAGTTGCCAGCTGGATTTCTCTCTCTCTCTCTCTCTCTCTTGTGTGTGTGTGTGTTCAAAATTTGCCTCATCTTCACATTGGTACTTGCAACATCAGAGGCTGCATGTTATGTACTGAAGTTCTAACCCTGGGCCAGCAGGGGGATACTGTAGATAGTTTTCACTCAGGTCCATTATGCAAATAAGGGATTGAAAGTGACAATTCAGTGACTGGATAGTTACAGAAAATTGTTACTGTTGCGTTCTAGTGGAGCTCTATATAAGCAGGCTGGCTGAACCCTTCAGTTTAGTTCAGTTCTAGCCTGTGAATAAACAGGAGCTGTTTGAAGAATCGCTGTGTCGTCTGATATGTTCACCCACAACTTAACACTGCAGTTACAGGGTGAGTTGGGAACATGACTGGAGAAAGAGTTAACTGCTTGCAAGGACCTGGAGAGTTCAGAGTGAGCTTTGTTGTTGTTGGCAGATTCTGAACCTGGAGAGAGTCTGCTTTAGTTTGGCACATTTCACTATGAACACATAGTCTTCCCCAGAGCCGATTTCTTGCATGTCAAATTGATGTGGCGGTGCCAGTTTGATCACAATTCTCCAGTGCTCGAACGACGAGAGGTGGCAGAGGGCGCTTGGTCCCCTTGGAATAATATTTGTAGATTTGACTGAACTTGAGAGGGGAGTGGGGAGTTAAGAGGTGGGACTTGCATTTTTCATTAAGCCTGCCATCCTATTTTCTTCCGTAGTGGGTCAGTGATATAATTGTGTTATGCATTTCCAGAGCAACACAGAGGATGTGAAAGTTACATTGCACAAATACCATCGAGCATAATAGCAGGTCTGATTGCTGGACCATCTACAGGCAGCAGTGATCATTTTAGCTAAGCAGGAACGGGGGACCTGCAGCCCTCCAAATGCTGTTGAAGGTCAGCTCCCACCAGCCCCTTACCTTCATGGCCTTGGATGGGAGTG